ATTTCCGTGTTGTCGGGGCAAATCTAATTTGTTGTATTAATAGTAAGTACTAATTTCACTGCTTCAAAATTCGACATCCTTCTCAACAAATTCAACACATCATTCTGACGAACTCTGACGTTAGCAATGAATTACTTCTTGTTTTCAAAATATCATTTCCCTTTAAATCACGCATTTTAGCGTTGTTTACATCATATGTGCGGCTTCTAAGAGCCCACAGCAGTTTGTAAACAGAGTAATTTTAGTCTCAAGTTTCTTATTTCTAATTTCTCGCCGACAATTAGGCAAGAACAAAGCATACATTAGGACAGCCATGTCTCACACTTGGGCCTCTTTTGAGAGAAGAGGAAGTTGAAGACAATGCCATAGTGATGCCGGCCATAATGGCGCCACCTTTTTTCCATTTTAAGAACAAGGAAAATTCAAAATGCTACCTTCGGCTCACCTATTCTTTGGTCACACTAGGTGGCCGGGATATCAACGCAGGGAATGGAACGAGAAGTTTGTTTTTCAGGAAGTAAAAAATGCGTGTAGCCTGGGAATGGCCTTAATCATGTCTGCCTCGAAACATGTTAAAATTTACTTTCAAATGTATAGTCTGTGCGAAATTGCATGTTGAATAAGCAGATGCGTGTAATTCTGTTAAAAAAAACCCTCTGGATCAATCTTCTTTGTTCCGCCTCTCCCCAAATTAGACAAGTCGAAATTACGCAATTGTGAAAGTACTTTGCAGATAATTCCAGGAGTGTTTAAACACAAAGGCTGATAGAGATCAAATAGTCAGATAATGATGTATTTTTGTCCTAATGTCTAGTTTACCCAACCAGAGCTATAGCGGTGGAACAATCCAGTGACTGTAGCCGATATCTAAGACTTATCATTTCATCACACTTGTCATAACTCTACCTGTTGAGATTAAACTGCAATTTTATTTCTGTTCAAAACGCGTTTTTCATGCAGTGGCAGTCGAACTGCGTCAATCGTTGCGTCAGTCGAACTACAGCTTCTAGTAAAGTACCATTTGAAGAAAATATGATGATCAGAAAGATGCAAAACTGATGAAGAACTATCTTAGGTCGAGCATGAAGATTCAGTGCTACTACCTTCATGAAATATAGATTAACCGTCCTGAACATTTTCCGAATATTTCATACGACGAAACAAATATGAAAATATTTGAAATAAATCTACTTCCGAAATGCTATGCAGATGAAAGTTCCGGTTTTCTTTTGCATAAATTAATGATAGAAGACCAATATTAACTTGGAGTTACCCTTGAGTTACCCTTGAGCTTTTGTTCAACCCTAAAAAGTTTTGTAATAATGGTAGTTACTTTGAAAAATTGAGAATATTCTAATGACAATATAATTCATTTTGAGGGAGATATAGTGGTCAGAAAATGCAATACTGGATCCTTAAATATCAACTCGCTTTGGAGTAAACGTTAAGTCTTGTTGAAATGATTAGAAACACACGTGAAGTGTGTTTGTGTGTGGCACAGTCTGAAAGAAACACATCTTTTCTTATGTATATCCTAAGGTAAAGTTATAGACATAAAACAGTCATGATATTAGGAGCCTTAAGGAGGTGCTAATCCACTGTTGTCGATTAATTAAATGGAATCCATACCCACGGAGAGATACTTTTTTAACTGATGAAGAACGAACATCGTAATTCTCATTCCACTAAGTCCTGTTTGCATTACACAGAAAACCCGGAACAACTTGAGCTAGCTTTCTCAAAAGAGTCAGTTTTTCGTGTTTGACGCCAATAGCCGGGTTATCACCGGCAGAATGACATGTCTTGGAAACAGGGTTTAAATTAGCCCGGTTTTAAAAATGTTTACAAATAAAAACTAACCTGGGTTTGACTTTAAGTTAAGATTTCAAACAAACCTGTTGTGCGTATCGACCAGCCGCGGTCGCACCCTGAGTTAAAAATATCAATCATGATACTTAAATTGCATAATTTTTATACGGTCAAAACAAGGAATTAGACACTCGTTACTTGCGCTCAATTTGTTTGTTTTAGATTCAGAGGCTAAGACATACAGGTAGACTTCAGAGGTAGACAAGAGACTGGCTGGCGATTGTCTACCAAGAGATGAAAAGCTCTGAGGAAAATGGTGTGAACGGAAAAGATATTTATTACTTCGTCGTCTTCTCGACAAAAAATGTCAATGGGAACGTTGGAAACGGAATCGCTATAAGCAGCGAAATCAATTCGCGCAGTTCCAAGTAGTTCAGATATGTTATTCGCATGCTGTATATATGCTATACGATGCCCGCGTTTAAAAAACTGCATAATTCATCTATAAATAACGAAAAAGGACAATTTTTGCAGGTAATAACGAATGTCGACCAGTATGGTGACAGCATAGTGTTACCTGGGGCAAGTGGCTAGGAAATTTAATCCGTATCAGAGTAAGGACACGCGTCCTGTGTGAAACCGCAGATCGGACCAGACTCGCGAATTTCAACTCATTTATACATCTTCTCATTCGACAAAATTATGTTTCTAATACGGTATTTAAGATCATGCGTGTACAAGGACAAGGATAGAAGATCTCTCAGATGATTCATGATTGAAGCCCTTTGGATTGTTGTGGCTATCTTTTGCGCAGTGCATCCGGTAGTTTTTTTTTCATATTAAAATGCTTTTCTTTTTTGATCACGAAATCCCCTTTTTCCAACTCAACGCTTCGTTTCCCAGATTATAAGACATGCAACTAGATTTATAGTCCTCAGCACACGATCTAAAGACCTCCATGGGATTAACTATAAAAGCAGATTCCGAAGTCTGCATGTGAACTTAACGCACAAATGATGAAACGCGTGTGCATTACATGCACCGAGTGATCGTTGGCGTATTGCTAAATTAGAACAACAAATATAAAAGTGGATATCGAAATATCCACGGCAAAGATGGTGTTTTAATGGTGTGGAAACAGAAGGCTTGGATTAACTGATACACCATGCATTTCTAATCTTTATTCGTGAACACAATTACTTCAATTTCTAGGGGCGGACGCTAGCTTCCCCGGGACTCTGCATGGCCTCATTTATTATCAACATTTTATTTGCAAGGTGCCAGCTATTTTTACGAAAGCAATAAAAAATAAACCTTTTCGCAAGATAGATCGAGGACACCGCGTTTAGGTTAATATAGTTAATACATTTCATTTCGAGGTTTGCCCAGCCGTTTCTGATCTATATTATAGTCTGAATCAATATGAACACGCTGAACGCGACCTACATCTCTTAAATCAAGGACTACCACAAATCCTAAACCGACCTTGCCAATCCTAATGATCAAACTACTACCATTATGTGGTTAAGTCAAGAAGAAAATGAAAACTAAGAGTAAATGCATTAAAACTTACAGATTTAAATGTTTTGCCTCTCACAGACTCTAGAAAACGAGGAAATCAAGTCAGGATATGTTCAAAAGCCAAGCTTTTGGTGACCGTTTTAAGGTAATTCTTGTTGACGGAATGCGGAATAAAAATCACTTCTAAATCGTTTCTTCAACTCTCGTACACTGGATGAACACAGTTATTTCATCATTTAACTAAATGATTCTGGCCTTGACCATTCCTCACGTCAATACACTCGAGTACTCAAGATGCAGAACACATCACCTAAGATGTCAAGGAGATGTTTTGACATCATCTAAGAACCTTGTTCTTAATTTGCTTTTCTTTTTTCTTATATTTGTTTTTTTATTTACACACACGCGCCCAATTGGGAGCCTTATGGTCTATCTGAAGTCGGAACTCTCTCTTCTAGGAGAAAAATTTCAAAATATCCCGGAGTAATCCGACACAAGAATGGTTTTACCTGACAAATGAATCTTCAATCCTTAGGATTGATCATTCCAATGTCTAGTCCTGTAGACGTATGAACACGCACGTAAAGTTAAAACACTTTAAATGATACATTTGAAAAAAAATTAAATGAATAAATGTATAAGCTCGTGTTCTGTGGGTAATTTTTATGCTTTTACGTCAAATTAATAATTTAAAAACTTAGGTTGCAGACGTGCGTTTAAGCCAGGCGATGGTGGAAATGGGTCCTTGATTAATTTAAGAACTCATTACGAAGTTCGTCGCAGGGAATTGATTAAAACACATAGCATCGTTACAACGTGGGGCAGCTGCAATCAAAGATCCTATCTTTTCACGGTTGTAAACTGATAAGCTGTGAAATGTCTTGATGGAAATCCGTGCAGGATATTATTCGACAAATCTTTTTTACAGAACTGAAATATCATTAGCACAATGAGATCAGAACGAGTTATAGTAGGTGGCTGGTATTTCCTCCAAACTCCCCTTTAGATAAATATAGTAAGCATTTATTACATCGGATATTTAGTTTGAAGTTATCTTAAAGCTTTTCATGATCGTTGAAAATGACATAAGCAACACATGGAACGCGATTGAAGGAATAGACATTAATTTTGCACGCAGGAAACCTCTTCTAAACTCAGGTGTTTTCAGAAAGGAAATAAACGGAATTTAGAACTCATGACCGACTGTCAAACATGTCATTTTGTCACTGACGAATATTATTAGCTTCAGTTAAAACGGACACAACGTGGTCCAACCAATTAAAATATCTAGCAAGTGTTAATTTTTGTCAACTTTAAAGCCGTGAAATACGTTGTTTTCGGAAACGATTGGAATTCTTTATTTCACAGTGGGTGGGAGTTATTGAACCTTCAGCTTGCGGTGGTATTTCCCGTGCGAATATATACAGAATCAAGTTTATTTGGTTTTGTACGAGCACGAAGCTGGTTAAAATATATATCCATCGAATCTGAGCAAAATTCTACGATAATATATTGGGGTGCTGTGGAGATTGAAGTCTTACTGTGGTTATAAGCTGCCACACACAATCTTGCCAGTCCATTTATGAAAAAGAAAAGGATCTATTTTGATAAATTCAGAAAGCATTTCGTTAAGGCATACAAAAATAACAAACACAAGAAAAATGTTTTGTTTCACAACAACAATGCTTTATTTTAAAAAAGTTTCTGTCATCTCTATATATAACCATCATATTTGACCAAGAAATCTTTTCGAACGTTGTGAAAAATATATACAAGACACCTTCTCTTCTTCTTATCCACCATTTCAAAAAAAAATGATTAAAGTTGAAAGATCTTGAATTTTGGAAGCGATTTAATTGAATTTCTCAACTTGAAGCTTAATCATCTTCTGTCGAAATCGACTTTTTCTTTTTCTTCTTTTTCAAAGATTTTGGTCGTTCCTGTTCCTCCGTTGTTTCCTCATTTTCCACTTCACTTCTTTTTCTTTTTCTCTTCTTTTCTTTTGGTGTTTCCTCCGTATCAGCACTTTGCTCTTTTTTCTTTTTCTTCTTTGATTTTGGCGTTTCCTCCGGCAATTCTACTGCATCTTGTGAGAAAGAATATTCTGATTTATTTAACAATCCCACTTCTACATCAACAGCTCATTTCAGCAGAGAAGAAAACAACATTAAAAGACATAAAATGGTTTTTACCCTCTTCCATATCTTCACTGGATTTCTTTTTCTTCGTTGAGGCCTTCTCAACAGGAGTCTCCACTAAACTTTCCTGCCCATCAGTCGTTTCATTCAATCCATTTTTCTCTTTTTTCTTTTTCCTCTTCTTCTTTTTCTCAGAAGTCTGACTGGAAGTCACTTCTGAAATCGCTTCTTTCATTACATCAATATTCTTTCTAGGAGCTTCGCCACTTTCGTAGAATTTTAGACGCTCTTCAACTTGTTCGTGCATCTTATCACCAAATATGCACGATTGTGTTTCTGTTGACATGTAGAAATAGCAACTTAAGGTCACAAGACAGAACATTTCGTGCTTGGAAACAAAAGAAACTAAAGTACAAATTATCAGATCTGTTTAGGCAGTTGATAAACAGACCACATCAGACCACAATACATATTTGTTTAGATCAAAACATTATCACTGGAGAAGGTTACCTGAGAAGCAATCAATTCTTGAAGCAATTGAGCATTTGTTAGCAAGATATCTAGAAATACGTCCTTTGTTTTGTGACGCAGCACGGCCAATGAATGAAGAATGAAAAATCAATCCATATTTTGGCGTGTTGCCTTTCTTCTTCAATGCCCTGAAACAATGGTGGAAACATATCATTTTAATGAACTTCTGATTATAACTGGACCAATATTTATGCAAGCTTTTGAGTACAGTTGAGAGGTAAATGTATTGGTAAGTTATCATTTTTATTTCAAACCTGAAAAGTGCTTTTTCTGCACCAAGTATTTGTACTGTTGATGCTGGATATTTGGCAAGGTTGGTGAGGCTACCAGCATGAGAAATAAGACGAGCACCAACCTGGAATATAGACAAATAAAGCTCACTAAATTGTTGATTTCAAAGGGGACTTCCTGAATGCCCAAGGCAGGATGTACCATACCTGTTCACCAATAAGTGCAGTCAAATTAGGAGCAACTGAACCCATTTTTGAAACGAGATAATTGTGGAGTTTTGTCCTGTACTCTGTAAGACCAATCACTTTTGATGCAAAGGACTGGATGTTGATCAAATCAATGGGAGATATATCCATACCTAGAAATAAATTATAGTTTTCTTACAAGATCACAGGTACAGTATATAGTGAAGTACAGTGATATGCACCTGGAAAGTTTGAAGAGTGTAAAACTGTTAAAAAAGTTGCTGTTGTTTGCTTACCCATGGAGGACCGGGAAGCATCATAGATTGCCTTTGTCTTTGCTTCATCTTCAACAATCTCTTCAAGTCCTTCAAGTTTATCTTCAGTTAAATCTTTACGAGATTTGATATACTTCACTACCCGAGCATAGAGAAGATTATCTGCAATGATCTTCACTAGTTCTGGAAAGTGGTAAGAATACCATTCCCTATTAAATGGAAAATTATTCATTTAGTTATTCAATGTTTTAGCAGGAATCCCTCCAAACCAACACGTATCTCACCTGATTCGCATGGAGAAAGTATTGACGTCTTTGTCAAGCTGATCTAATAAACTAATTGACTGGATGATCATGTTATCAGCTCGATGAACATTGAATTTCACTTTAGCACGAGAATAACTGTGCCCTAAGCCAAGCTGAGCTTTTCCAGCCATGATATCTGATAGACCTGTTATCATTTTGTGAAAATACAGTCTTATCCCACGAATGACCTCATTGACAATCTCACCAGCCTCGCAAAAGATCTCACATGATTCCTGGATGGCTGCACCAAGCTTTGGATCCGAGACACCTAAACTGACTTTTGATTTCTTTTTGCCAACTGGAATGTTGCTCTCCAGGAAGACTTTGAGATCATCATGAATGACACCTAAAAAGAACAAGGAATATGTTTCATTGTCTCTTGATCACTCAGACAAGGAATCCTTTAGTATTTAAGTGCAGAATTGTTCCTCTCTCTTGGACTCTGATTTCTGTGAAACAACTGGTAACCAACACATGTATAATAAACGTTTGTGACCAAAATATAAACATGTATACTAAAAATTATTGGAAGATTTTAGCCAAATCAAATCTCTTGATCTCAATCTCTTGTCCTGGAATAAAATGCACAAACTACACAAGTATAAACTCTTCATTCAACTCCTTACCTTCCGAGACACAGTTAATATTATCCAGAGCATTTGCAGCAGACTTGAAAGGCATAAAAGCGACCAATTTTACAAGTTTCCCAAACCGAGCCAAATCAGTTTGAGCCTCTTGTACTTCAGGTAATAACACGCCGATTTCTTCTTGTGCAACGACTTTGAAGATACCATAGCCAGAGGCATGTTCGTAGATAATGTAAAGAACCTAAAGCGTGAAATCATGTTAGAAAAATTGAGAGTTTTTATAAATTTTAAAGAAAATATAAACGTACCATTTTCTTCCCTCGTGCTTTTCTATCTTCATGAGTTTACAGTCTCGCGTGGGAAACACATGCCCCACGCGTCTCGCAGGTGTGTCACGACACGTGTGAAGACCTCGCGTGTCACGAGGGGAACTATATACTCTAGCGGATGTATGTTCCCGGAGATCCATGTCCTTTTCTCCGGTATTTCAATCTAATAGGAAGATTGAAGAAGATCGCACCACAAATTGTCGTCGTATTTACTCTGAAAGTATGCGTCTTGTCCAGTTTTTTCACAATAATAACACCAGAATTGGAGTTGAAGTTTCTGAGAATGGCGACATTGTCGATATAACGGCTGTCGATGCCTCGATTCCGAACGATACAAGATCATTTTTGGAGGCAGGAGACAGCGCGCTCACAGCCGCTCGCCGGTAGCTATATTGCAATCATTTGAATATGATTATTTCCTAAGAATGATTTACAATATAAAGTACGAACTATGGATGAATCTATGAAGCATATAATGTTACATTTCTATGCTACGTGTTATTGTAAATCTTCAGGCTTTTTAATACAGTGGACTGATTGTCATTGAGTTAAACTCGATACTACAATAGTGTATTTTATTGCACACTCTGTGAAGGCTAATTTCTGGCTGTTATCATATTTAAAACTGTAAAGATCGTTGAAAATGTTTGTAATTCATGTGAGCGTACGTGTGCATAATTAGCGAGGGAAGTCATTAATGTAACAAGGGAAAATCCAGCTTCATACCCAGGGTCTTTTACAGGGAAAACCCTTGTCGTGCACATTACGTTCGTGCACAAGACCTGTCGCAGCTAATCAAACGCTTTTCTTTAGAGCTGCTTCAAGTGGAAAATGTGTCATCAAAAGAGAAGATGTAAAAATCAAAGCTCCCATACAGAGTCCAGAGAAAATAATTTGTTTAGGAATGAATTATGTTGATCACTGTGTGGAACAAAATCAGCCAATACCTGAAACTCCCATATTATTTTTTAAACTACCAAGCGCAGTTATTGGTGCTGAAGATATCATTGTTTGCCCAGATATAGTCAAAGTTAGTAAAGACAGCGTGGCTTCTGGTTATCATAACTCAGTTTCTCTGTTTCTGCGTCTCTAAAACTTATTTGATGTATAGGAATTGGACTATGAAGTAGAATTGGCGATCATGATTGGCAAGACAGGACACCATCTGAAGGTTTGTAAATTGAAAACGGCTACGATTTCATACTGCTAACGTTAAAACGATCTCATATTTCCTTTAGCAAGCATCTATTTTGTTTGACGAAGTAAAAAAGCTGGTATATTTTCGTTATTTTTAAAGGAATCTGAGGCAATGGATCACGTTTTTGGCTACACTGTTGCACATGATGTAAGCGCCAGGGACTGGCAACTACGTAAAAATAACGGTCAATGGGGATTAGGAAAATCATTTGACACGTTCTGTCCTCTTGGTCCTTGTATTGTCCACAAAAATGGTGTATCAGGTACCTAAACACTTGCTGTTCTTAAATCGTAAAGAAATAAGAAACGATCAACTTGGATTCTCTGCTTCTCAATTTAGATCCACACAAGCTGGGCATCAGATGTCGTATTAACGGTGAGACGATGCAAAATTCAAATACAGAAAAAATGGTGTTTAAAACAGCTGCAGCAGTGTCGTATATATCACAGTAAGTAGGATTACTATTGGTTCGTCTTGCTGTTCAACAATTGGCCGAAATCTATCATCCCTGATTGGTTGATCAAGATTGAAAAACGGCGATATCATTAACAGCTGAATTCACTTTAATGTCTTTTACTTGATAAAGATTTATGACACTGAAACCAGGCGATGTTATTTTGACTGGAACTCCACCGGGAGTTGGGTGTTTTAGGAAACCTCCTGTATTTCTCAAGGTAAATCTATTTGACTAAAATCCTCGTAGACCCGTTGTTCATTGGATCTATAAACAGACATGGCTACATTTTTCTATTTCTTTGATTTAGAAAGGAGATGTGGTTGAAGTTGAAATTGACGAGATCGGAACTCTTCGGAACACAGTCGGATAAAGTTGCAGCGAATAAAATGCACAATTCATAAACTTACAAATAGATATAATAATTTATAATAAATTTTTGACTAAATAATTTAGCTTAAGAGCAAAAATATTACAATATTTCTACAAAGTTGAAGTTCATTTTTAACTCTATAAATACGTTTTAGTTATCTTTTAATTTTGACCTATCCAAAGGCATATACGATCCTCATGAATAGACATATTGGCTTGATTGTATGAAATCAATGATAGATGCAAATTCGAATATTTCTTGACATGTATATAAGAGACTTTATAATCCGGTCAAGTTGGAAAAAACAAAGATCCTTAACTCCCAAGTTTGGAGTATCGGGGAAACAAAAGCTTTGTCATGGACACTGTTCATCCTTTGGAGGAATCCTGTCCCCGACGCCATCAACTGACCTCAATCGTACCACCGGATGGATCGTTTTATCGCTTATTGAAGTTGGAAGAAAAGTTTACTTTGGGATCCCATAATGTATATGTTGTTAAATGTTTGTCATGAAGCTAGAATGAAATATATAAACCTAATTTCTCTCTCTCTCTCAGTAGCCTTTCCGTCAAAAGAGTAACCGAATTGATAGATTTCCTGGACGCAATTAGAAACTCTGCTATCAAAATCATACGAGAAATCTGATCAAAATACGATTATTCATTTCGTCTTAAAACAACACGAGAAACAAGACAAACACGACTCATTCTCCTGTTGACTGCTGTCTTCGTCGGCGCTGAAAAGCAAAGATTTTTCATCAATTCCTGAGCTCAGCAGGCTCTTGTGTCGCTCGCCCTCCTTGATTCCATATTTCTTTAAAATTTTCCGCCTCATCGCCTGTCTGTCGGCTTCCATTTTCAAATGTTGAACACGTAGCTTTTCTCTGTATTTTAAAAGTCTTTTGTACTCATCATCGCTGCATTTTGGAGGTGTTAAGCCAGAAATTGTGTCGCTGGAGAAGTCTAGTTTTCCCACAGCATCGCTGAAATCATCGACCGATTTTGAGACAACACCGCCGGCAACGAACGATGTAACCGAGGAATTCATATTTTGTTTATCTCAGTATTGACCGAGACCCACTTGTCGACAAAAGTCCAGCATAATTTTCATTTCATCAGCTGTTTCGCTCGATTCAAAGAATGAAATAACCCAGGAACATGCGGAACAACGTCCAGCGTACTTTTTGAAGTCGTTTGAATTTTTAAATGAATGCACAACGCATAATTTGTTAGCAAATTAACCCATCACGATTAATGCTTTCAAATCCTTCTTAATATGTTCGTTTGTTTAAGAGAAAATCATGCATGAAATGATATGCATAATCAACGGGGTAGCTATTGTATCATACAAACTAGCTTCGCCAGGACCGGTCATTTTATTGCGTTTAACCTAGCATGACCTGGTTGGAGAATAATAATCTTTGTGCAGAGAGGTAATGAAGAATAATTTCATTAGAAAGATATTACCACCAACAACTTCGACAATGAGAAATATTTATGAATTATACAAAGAGGGTGTATAACCATATACCTAGCTTTACTGATTATAATAAATAAATAATGTCTGGTTTCTATTAGATCCTAAATCTTGTAAACAAGTCAGGTTCAAGTGTTCCACGATGTAGAATAAGGCGGATCTCTGCTAAAACTTTATAAGCAGATCAGGTCACCACATCACTCCAGTCATTTAAGAAGACAGTATTGTTCACAATTTAGTTACAATTATAAGAATCTAAGCAGATATTAGTGAGCTTAAGCAAGTGACGTTTTTGACAACACGTACGTTGACCGGAAGTAAAGTTTTTATTTTTCACCAATCACAATCCTTGACCCAGTCTTTTGGCGTTACTCATGCCGTTTGTGTTGTCAAAAACGTCGCTTGCTTAAGCTCACTATTAGAACGGTTCGAATGCAGATGATTGGTCAATTTCCAGTCATGATTGTATCACGCGCGAGAAAAATATCTTCTTCAATCGTTTTTATTGTTAAAGCATGTTCAAAACACTGCATTTTTTTAAAATAGATACTACGAAATGTTTGCAACGAGAGTTTTTGCTTCAGATGCCGATGCACGATGAGAATTTTAATTCTTACTGGACCTAAGTAAGCTTACCCAGTTGAAATTTCTTGTAAACCTCAGAAGCTGTAAAAAGCAACGAGTCGATAATTCCGGCAACTGTGAAAGTTCCACCTACGATTGCAAAAACCTGAAAAATATTGATACGATTGGGTGAAATAATCGCACTTGAAAAGGATCTGTGTAGTTGTGGAAAATAGCCGGCCAGCAGTTGATATTTAATGAACTAAATCAGGAGAAAATCTTGCCACTTACAGTTGTGATAAAGTGATAAAATGGTTTCCGTCTTTCCACATATTTCACTGTAATTGGGCTTAGGTCATAACGGAACCATATCGCTAGAATAACATATGAAATTTTACACATATATTTAATGACACTTTGTATCTATAAATTCCAAAAACTGAGGACATTCAGTATACCTGGCATAACTCGTCCACCGTGGCCATATGAAACATAGTCCTGAAGTTTTAAAATGCATTGAATTACTAGAGCTTAATAGTTGACAAGATTACTCCCAAATTCTTCATAAACAAGCTCCCTTTCAGTGGCGTATTTCGATGTGGATTACTGTACGCTATACGTACCTATTTCAATCCCTCGTAGGGTATTACTATTACCTTATATGCCCAAGTGTACTGAAATGAATACAGCTGAGTTCCATCCAATTTCTCGTAAATTGTTGGAACGACCCTCAAGACATAGTCATGTGAGGACAGACCTATAAATCACGATACGAGCAGAAAATTAAGTCAAACTAGTGTCTCTCACTAGTGTCACTAGTGCCTTCTATCTTCTGTCATGCTCGCTATCATCTTACCATTCGAATCTTCCTTGTTTAAATTATTCAAAGATACAAACGCCGCATCGATATTTTCCATCTGGTAAATCGGAAATACTCGTTAAAACTTCAACACTTTTGTACATCACAGTTTTGTCGTATGGGGAAATGTTCACAGTACACTCACATGAATCTCATCACCAAATCGTAAGCCATCAATCACATGAGCCATGTCTACTGAATCCGGCTATAAAGAAGAACATCGTTGAAACAGCTGCAAAACGGTGTTATTCCGAGAAATACGCGATGTATACTCATGACATAACATGGCTTGAAGCTGTGAATCTGCACGATATGTCACGTTTCTACTCCTTTCTAAATTCTAATCATCTGACAATTGTTCCACATCCACACCTGCTGTCCAGCACCATGAGTTGAAACATGAAAATTTCCTGGAACCTGGAAAGATTTTTTTAAAAAAATAAAGAAGAATCTTGCATTTACCATTGCTGATTCTAATGTTCAAAGAACGAAGTAGGTCTTGGCCGTCTTGCTGGAGTAAGTCGATACTACCTAATGTTGAAATGCTAGAACAACTCGGTGGTCAGGTAGCTAGTCTCTACCGTGCATTATCTCTCTACTTAACGGCGCCTTTCATGGACGCACTAACAGATAAATTAGCGAGTTTAAGAGAGAGACCAAATCTACGACGCGGACGTGAAATAATACTCTCGATATTTTCTTAGTTTCAGAACAAGGGGTTAAAAACTATTGACTTTGACAGGATCTCTTTCAGCGCATCTACGAAAGCCACAGCACGGAGATGAGATGAAAAGCTTTTCACTTTATTTACCATTAATTCATCACAATTATATACTGTACCTTGTTTATCTCAAATCGTCCTTGAAATTTACATCCCTCTATAAAATTAAATCATTATAAACTTTGTCCAAAGGTACATTTAAAAAAATCATTTGTAGAGTACGTCCAACGTTTCAAAATTTCCATCATATACCTCCGTCATTTATTTCCCACTTTTGAGTATTTTCTTGAAAACCAACCTCATGCCTTGAAGGTACATAAAAAACTTAAATATGAAATAAAAAACCTTTCACTGTTTTACAACTTTGTAGTGGAGTTTATGAATACTTTTGTTGATTGTCACATGAAGATTTGTCTTATGAAGAATGTCAAAATAAGGTCTCTTCACATGCTTTTGGGGAAATGAAGTTTAGTGATCACAAGCAATTACCTTCCCATTTCATCTTGGATATCCAAACCAACGACTACATAATAAATATTGCACAAACTTTAACACATTTACAACATCAATACAGAATTGACTGAATTATAAAGAATTTCTTGTTATGTGCATTACGTACCATCACATTTCATCCTTGGTAGTGTTAAATTAAGACTAGTCTTCATTCTCTCTTTTGATGATCCAGCCATATCAACAAACAATTCACTAACACTGAAATTTTATAACAATTTCATTTCTTAGTGCTTGAAGTACTTTTGAATGTACATTGTACAGACTTATACACCAAAAGGTTAACCATTAGCTTGCAATGCACCCATATGTTCCCTACTTTGTCTAATGCCAGATGATTTAACTTATCAGTGGAAGAGTACTGTCAGTTAACGAGGGTAAACCAACTATGATTTTTAGCATTTCACTAGATGCAGGTAAATTCTAGAGGTTAAAAGGGTTTTAATTTCAAGTGGAATTTGAAGTGTGTATAATTCCACACAAAATTAAGACCCTTTGAACCTCTGTCAGGTAATGAGTTAATCTATATTATTTTACTTACATTTCAGGGGAAATGAAGCTATAAAATTCTGATAGAAAAAGGAATACCATGACCAGAGCACTAAGAATTGAGACTTATTGAGAAAAGATATAAATGAGTTCAGATGTGGAATGAAGGAGAATGAAAATAAAGAGAATTAGAGAGTCTTACTTATTGCACCAGCATGAGTAGGCTGTGTCAGGTCTTTAGGAATTTTCCGATAAATATCAAACCTATAAATGTGGTTAACAATTTTGAAATAAAGTTATGGAATGAATGAAGACAAAAAATAGTAGTTGAGACAAAATATGTTCAAGGAAGTATACCCATTATATTCAAAATGGATGCATACTGGATGCAATCATTACAATAGAGACATGCAATAGAGACAGAAGTTCAGTCCTGTATGGCTGTATGATATGGTGAGTTGCACAAAAACACATATATCATATCATTTTTTCCATATTTTTATTGCAAGTGCAATGTGTCTGTTGTCCATCAATTATTTCCATGACAACTTCAGACATCTGGCAAAAAGCCACGGTAATAACACGTTGACACTTGCATATATATAAAAGATATAATTGTACAATTTTATTTTTCCGTTATATCACTTTCTTACACAGTTTTATTAAATCATTTATGAAAGTATTTTACCAAGCTAAAATGAGTAATAAAACAAGCCTGAATTTAGCTAATTCAATGATTAAATTATAAATTAAATTTATAACAAACATTGCCAAGTATCTACAATACGAGCAAGCTGGAAGATGCAAGTCGACTAGGACAAAACATGGCTTAAAAGCAACCACTTGTGGACTATTCTACCTGACTACATTAATTTTCCTGCTATATTAACAGTTTAATTCAATGAATCCTACCTTCTGATATCAAATTGCATCTTTATTTTCAGCAAATATAATAAATTTTGATCTGTAGTTTGATGTTTCTTTGAAAAGTTTTTTAAAGTTTATTTTGTTTAGCATGCGCCTGCGATGTGAGGCTGGTCAGCTGAACCAAAACAACACGTGCTCACTTCCTATTGGACAATTTCGCTCAATCTGATTGGTCAATATCGCCCGAGTTTGGTATGCGCCTGTTCAATGCCTATTGGTCAATATCGGTTGATATCATTGGTCAATATAGCGAGCCTCCAAAACCGAGCAGAAACCTGGTCTTTCGCCATGTCTATCACATGGTAGACACGTGGTTTATCGGATACAATTGTAAATGACGTAAGTATCGGCGATAAGTCAGTGAAATCTTTGCTCGTGGATTTCTAATACGGATTACCATTAGTATGTACTTGTAACAATCCTGTCTTCGATTGAAAAAAGAATTCAAAATTAAAGCAATATCTTTTAAATTTCCACAAAACATTTAATTCAAATTCAAACAATCCTAATATAGTTTTAATGCCCATAAATTATATAATGTGCATGCACTATTTACAAAAATATATCTACACAAAACAATATGAAATGAGAGAGTGGGAATTATTACTTAGAGACGGTAAATCATGATTTTTGGCACTTCTCTCAATACATGTAAATTCTAGGGGTTTAAAGGGTCTTAATTTCGAGTGGAATTATACACACTTCTAATTCAAGCCAGGAACAGTGAACTATAGGTCCTCTTCGACCTATAAACCACCTTGAAGACCCTTTAAACCTCTAGAATTTACTTTGAGAGTGTTCTTCGTTTGTGATGGTACAAACATAGCAACACTAGAAATCAAGTTTATTTTAGGAACATCGTGAATGCGTACTTTACTAAATGCGATCAAAGATTCCTTTGTCTTATAATCAATTTGGATTTTGCAAAGGTTGATAAATATATATATATAGATAGATACCTACTTCATTCCTTGAAATCATTTTACCCTTATTAGGAATCAGATTGAAAAGAAATGACGAGGCAATACACACGATACTCTTGCTTCTGGTGGATAATAACCAGTCATGTATCATGTATATGTTAACTTAATTCTGAAATCTAAATAAAGTTATGAATGATATTCTTTTTATAAAGACCGTAGCTTTCCAATCCTGGTACATCTGTCTCTTGCCATTTCTAGCTAAGAATTTATGGTATTTCTATGAAATATCCCACTCATCATCGACTTTACGTTGGTGTGGAAACAGTAACAAAACAACTGTTTTTGTGAAGACTATTCTGTCGTGAATCTGGAGTTGACGCAGCCATATTTGAGTAACTGAATAGGCCGCATTGGGACGGTGTAGGCGAAAGTCTATCAGGAGATAGTGTCGTATTAAGAGTTCTAATTTCTCGTTCCCAATTTAATAATTGCCCCATAAAATGAAAATTAGGTGAAATAACTGAGCGTCTCGCCTTGACGTAATCGTATGCTTGTTCTAAAGTGTACTGTCGTTTGCTCATCAAGTATGCTAAGCATATAGTCACGGAACGGGAAATACCAGCTTGACAATGAATAAGAACTTTGCCACCAGATGTTTCAACCGAGTCTACAAAAAAGATAACAGGCGCGATTAGTTGTCTGTCATGCAAAGTACAGCGTTTAGGTTTGTTCAATTTGAAACCAAAAGGTTAATTTCTAAACTATATCTAAAAGGCTTTTTAACAAGTCGCTATCGTATGATGCAGTGTTGTGGAAATTTTGAAACAAAACACAGGTCAGTTTACTGAACACAAGCCGGCTATATTTATTTATGTAAATGTAGAAGATATAATTGAAATCATTATATCAGACATTTTACATTCTAGCTCAAGGCTATTAATGATGAAATCACTGTTTTATCAGCGGGAACAATTTTTCTCATTAAATCTACTATATTTTCAATTGCACTCCGACGCTGATATCTTCATCGAATTTGAGAAAAGAAAACTGCACTGCATTATCATGAAGATGCAATATCGAGTTCTATTCCACTTTCGTATCCCGCTAGCAAGACAGGTCATCATATTTCGAAAGATGACTCATCTACAAGGCGTGGTTTATGCGTGAAAAGTGCCCTTCCAGAGCAGCTGCAGATATCCTCGAGTACAAATTATCGCATAATTAAACCTGTGTTTTGCCCTAATGTACAAAAACCATACAAATTATAAGCCCCACTTTTATCAAAGACTTTACAGCGATAATTTGAGCATGCTTTGATGTTTAATAAACATCAGAAGGAAGTATGCTTTAATACCAAAGCTCAAAACCGTAAGAGCTAATATCCGTAGCTACGAATAACGACAAAATGTTCAATATCGTTGTTTATTTGATAAAAACAATGTTCTAGTAACGGAAAGCTGGTTGAAGTGCCGAAAACCAAGACTCCTTCAGCGACAATGTTTAGTATTCCAAACATCATGTATTTAAATAGACGCCGAGAAAGAGTTTAGTTTCAAGTCAGTGGAGTTCGCGTGATAAACCTTGAGGTCTTTAAGAATAATTAAGCATGCATTGCGATAATTTGAGCAATTTGAGAGAGGGAGGGAGCAAAAAAGTGTGAAGCGACCAATAAAACGGTGTGCCAGAGACTAGAGTGCAGCAAGATGGTTTCCGCAGGAAACTAACAAATGGATATATTTGCTTACGACATATTGGCATTAAAAAGCACGTTCGTTGTTTGATCTAGAACTATGTAATGGTCTTGATACAGCGAAAGGAAACAGGCGTAGAATTTATCTTATATAATACAAACGGACATTACAGACCACTGTTTGTCAGCGTGTTTAATTTCCTGTACCGCGGGGAAGTACAATTGTCCCTAGTATCGTAAGGCTAACATGCAATAGGCAAACAACTTTTTTTTTAAAAAGAAGATTGATAACCAATTTTGGACCTTCGCCTGCACTAGAAATAAATGAATATCCTAAGTTAACTGACGACTCACCTTCCCCCCCCCCCTCTCCTCCGATAGGAACCTTGCGTGCAAATATTGGCCTTAAACTTACCTATGAAGTCAACTGCGACGCTGAACCAACGACTAATATCTGCATTATAGCTGTCATCAACCGGAACATTCTTGTATAGAAAACTGCCTTGGAAATGGTTATTGATAGTTTTTGATACGTTCATTACTGCAGTCACACCAAGCTTATCAAGCACATCTCTTGAAGAGCAATGTGATTCATTTCCAAGGAATAGAAAAGGAAGTATTTCGACTGGTGCTGATTTTTCATCCGACTCCTCGGAGCTTTCGCTATCATTTCTTTTATTGAAGTCTAAATGCAGCGATGCAGGACCACGACTAGCAGCCATTTGGCTCAAATCTTTCGATGAAGATTGGGTCCATTCACACATCGTTGGATGTTTAGCCTTGAACTCTTGAAAGCCACCTGAAAGAGCATGTATAGTTTATAGTAAACAAAAGGCGGGAACCAAAATGCTGCGATTTTCAAAGCATCCCCTCCTCTTTTCTTGAATTAATATAGTCCCTCTTGAAATTATAGTCAGTGTAAGATTTCACGGTAAAACTATTTTCCTGATTGAAAGATTGAAAAGCGTGCGACTTACAACTGATGACTAGCTAGAAGCACCAATCGTGGAAAGATAGCAACCGAGCCCAATAAATGTTTGTTGAAGTATCCAATTTGAACGATAGTCTGGCAACAGCTCGTTAAAAAAGGTCATATAGCCCTTAAGCGTTCAAAATATCGTCAATAATTCCTTGTACGTTCAAACCAAATGATGTAATAGGTAAATTCGCGATGCGAGAAGAAAGATGAGTTTGCAAAGTGATAAATAATGAATCGTTACACGCGGTCACACGTTTGCAAAACTGGTAGCAAAATGAGCCAATCATCACCTTGAACTGTTGTTTTAGTTTTCGTTCTGACCATCGAGACGTAACCACGTGTGTAATAAGCAATGCTTCGCAGCTGATTTTGAAAAGGACACACGCTTTGTATTGTCTTAAGATAATGAACAACACATCGTACTGTTTCATCTGTATTAATGAGCTGGTCTCCTTATTAAAACAACCTCTGACACGGGGCGCTTAATTGCCTCGCACGAGAGGTGTTGAAAGCGAGAAGACTGGATGAGGCTGTTTGATCTAATTCACGCCACAACGGTTACTATTTTTACACATCAAATAAAAATACAACAGCTACTTGTTGAAATAAAATGTCATACATCCTTGCCGGGTTATTCTGTAATATGATGATTATTTCAATGTATTTTAGATAGGAACAGGCTGAAACCTAAAAATTAAGCGGAAAGAAAGTTCCCCTCGCGATGTTGGATAGCCCAAAGCGAAGCACAGAACGTGTAAATTTGCTCAAATCAACAACAGTACACAAGTTAACCATGCGAGAGGATTCTAAGTTGACTTCTTCAGAAAACAAAACAAATGAAGTGAATCAGAGCGAGTCTTGAGCCAAACAAGTTCTTGTCTAAAGATTGATATACGTTCATGTATAGGAACAGGGACGTTCCTTGAACAGGACGTTCAAGTATTGAATTTCTTCCCCAAGAAAGAATGCTTCATTACATTGAACAACGTGAGCAGAACTTTGATTACCACAATCAGTACCTCCTACATTGATAAGATTAGACAATCCCGGTACTAATCTGGTTTACGTGTTAAGTTGGGCATGCGCTTACCCTAAACCTTAAACTAGAAGACAGGCTAGACAGCCTTGTAAACTGAAAAGGATTGGGTTGAGTTTCATAATCAATGGAATTCGTAAATGATCTTTCTCTCTTCATATTTAGTATCATTTTTAGTCCGAAATCTGGATTATGGCAGACATTCTGATGAAAAAATGCACTAAATACACCGGCCTGAACTATAACTTTTTCCCATTCTTAAAATTCTTCAACGATGACAGTGACGTTGTAAAAATTGTGCAAAGATATTGGGAGAATTCCGTCTAATTTTCCGAAGATGGTAATGAAGCACTTAATAACATAATTCTATAATAAAATATGACACGTCGCCCCCGAAATTCCTGTTTTAACACAAGATCTGTTTCAAATTACGGACCTGGCACATTTTCCCCGAAGGTAAGCAAGATATGCTTGCGTTGTAGAAACTTACCACACGGAGAAGGCACCACAAACCTTCCAAAAACTAACTAAAATTATACGTCAAAGTCGAACAAACTAACTAGCTATTTAAAGTTAATTTTTTATAAACTTAATCGTTGTGTGATAAATGCGACAACTAGCTATCATGTGCATTCTTCAACTATTTGAAAACGAGACAAATCACATGCACTTAGCCGGAATTCTATTGTTATCGTTCCACCACATTCAAGCACTGTTATTAAAACATCAGTTCCAAATTTATACACGTCAAGAAATCCTAAAGAATTATTCTATCCATAATTATCCTATATAATACTTATAGTCCTGCTTTATTTCCCCTGACAGCACACAACAGAAAGTTGAAGATGAAAGAGAATACCTATGATGTGACCGCAGCTAAGATGGGTCCAACATCTTTTTATATTGCATCGCGTGTTAAGAATTTCAAAAACATTTCTCTCCTGCTGTTCGATATAATTATATACTTCTAAATTCGCAAACGTTTCCCTCAAATCCTCTTTAGACTTTAGACATTCGCGTATATGAATGATGAGCATGTAAAATGTTCAGGATTGTTGTGCGTGGTATAAAAAACTACTAATAAAACCATAAATGACTACAACTATTTGTAACCGAAGCACAACTTATGTGTTAGACTTCAAGTATATTGTAGCGAAGATTACATTACTATAGGACGATTTATACTGAAGTAACTTCATATCACACCAACCTTTTAAATAGTAGATCTTCTTCTTCAGTTCATTTGCCAGCATCGACCCAAGAAGCGAAAGAGTGTTTGGACTGGTATTGCCTAACTCGAATACATCATTTTGTGCTCCGTCATTGTAGAGGACAATTGTTTTAACATGACTATCTCGCAGGCTGTTCAATGTTGTTTGACAAGATATTAATGTCTCTAGTGACGCGTTATTCTTTCGTAATCTCCGCCTCAACAATGTTGGACAGCATATGTTTATAGCTTGCTTGATATGCCCACTATTGTGTGCTGTATATGAACGACAATCAATCGTTTTGAACGTCTTAGGATCCTTGAACAGTTCCAAAAGGCCAGCTGAAGTTATAGATGAAATTCTAGTATAATTCATTATTGTCATCTTTCAATCAATACAAATATTTAGCATTAGCTCCTATGCTTTTGCGACTTTCTTTGTTTGCGGTGGTATTAAATATGCGCATTTTATATCCAGCCACTTGTGGTACGGGGAACATCAGTGCTATTTTTAGCTGCGTCGCCAAATGACGTAGGTATTAATAGATTCACATTCCGGCCAGCAAAACCCCGTGATGGAGACAAAGCGCGCACGCGTCACCACGCTGACAATGTAGAATAGATTGCCTCTAACATCATTCCATAAATATAGTGAATGAAGTATAATTAAATGATCACCTACTGTTTCTGTTGTCACGTTTGTAAAACCGGACTAACCTGATGTCAGTGAGACAATGTTTGAGTCTGGTCTTCGTATCCTCGTATTGCAAGCCTTCTTTCTCTTTCTACGGAAACGGACTTTTAAAACACAAAGAAAAAAATAGTAAAGAGTAATCAATCAAGCACTCGATGCTCGCGAATCATCGCTGTCATGAGACTAAAAAAACTTACAATTGAAGAGAAAGTTCACAAAACTCAAAACCAAAGGACATTTGCTTGAAACTAACCCGACAATGTCTCATGCAAAACGAAACTTAACTTCTCAACTATAACACAACAAAATACCATATGACTGAGATATGACTAGTTAAACTGCGCTTCTCTATCAAAAGAAGAAGAGAGAAATTCATATGGAATTAAACTTATTAAAGGCCAACAGGATCCTTTAGAAAATTAAGTTTGCAAGCTCAATTAAAAATGCATTGTGCATGCAACTAGAATTCCTATATTGCTTCTTCTTTTTTAGGTTCTTAAATATCTTCAGGAAATTTTTGCCAGCAGGAATCTTTTGGTAAACTTTAGGAATGTCTAAGGCGAACAAAATGTGTCATCACTTCGGAGAATGATGAACTGAGATCATTGCCACCAAGAAAGAAGAGATTTAGACCCATTTTAGTGATTTAACAGACCACAGTTAGTCATGAACCATGAATATTATAAACTAGCAGATCCATCACTTGTGTATCGTCATCTTTCGCAGGAAATACAATATAAGAAACTTACGAAGAACAAGTCTGAAACATAAGAAACATGAGACAGTAATTTCAGGCACAGTTTTGGGTGAGAAAGATACCTGATACAACGATAATCTTAGTACCAAAGGTAAATTTCGCTGGCACGTGTGAAAATTTCGGATTCGTGACAAGACAAAACCGGAATTTACTAGTATATATGAATGGATATTAGGTTTAATTTCCTCCGCTCAGAACCAAATCGGTTTTTAAAAAAGCTATTTAAAGACAAATATTTCTGGTGAACTCTGAACTTGGGGATTCTCAGGTGTCCTGTGAGGAATGTTTATTAGCCACATATTTTTGGTAACAATTGGCATATCTTGTTAACACGAGTATAATTATTTCCAACTAATCTTGTAATGAGACAAACTAACCTTAATGCAAGCCAAGAAATGTCGGTCACGGAGCTAATTAGTAACCTAAAAGGAAACTCTGAAGAGCAAAGCGGCATTTTTTTAATAGTGGGAAACCATAAGACACAGAGATGAAGAGATTGGGAACGTTTGTGATTCGTCCGACATCCGCGCACGGAATCAGTTCATCATGAAATGCTTAATAATGGAATGTTATAGGCCTTACTTGCTGTTGTAAAGCTCGCATTTGATCTAGCTGCATACATAAACGAAAATGAAGATTTATAAGGCCCAGGAAATCAGAATTACGAGACCTTGCAATGGCTGCTTTTATTAAAGACCCTGGGTACGAGGTTGGCTTTAATTCAGATCGTAACAGCCTTGATCTTTCTCAAATCATCCAGAGTTTAACGTATTTAAAATGTTTGATGGACAAAGAAAGTTGACGGAACAAATATAAAGTTCCTACACTCTTACTCTTAGCATGACGGGGAAGTAAAATGATTTAGCAATATTTGTCATGTTTCAGCTTTTAAAGACACAATGGCATCGCATGCCTTGATTAATGCTGCGTCATGAGGTTCAAACTACGCAAAACAGATCGTATCTAGACATGGCTTTCTAAAATAGATTTAAACATGACCTTATACTAACATAGTAAACAGCGCAGTCGAAAACAACACAATGGGAATGAAACTTAACTCTGTCATGTGGTTTTAACGTGGACGTCGTAAGTTCAGATAGGTCAGATCCCGTCAGATCCCGTCAGATCATAAGAGAGCTCGGAGGTTGTATTTAGTTTATGACGTCAGAACATGAACACACGTTTTTGTCGCTTATCGCCTCATTTTTCTTATTGCTTGATCTAATCTTATATCTATATTGTGTAACAAAGCTCTACCCTAGAATCATCTTAAATACCAGAATAATTGTTTTTAGTGGAGATTTATTCTTTATTGGTCATATTTACCAGGAACAAATGAACAACCTCTTACCTTTGTCCTGGATTCCATCACTCATTGATACCTTTTGATTTGATTTGTATATGAATAGTGTTTGCGTAAACAAAGAGTTGTTGCACGTCAAAACAAGCTAAACAACATCCTGAAAGCACTCTCAAATAGTGTAAATAACATCCTGTTTTGCATGAATAAAAACGCAAACTAACGTTTCAAACAGCAGTAGCGTGCTGGCTTCAACGTTGGAAAGACCAATTCATATCCTTCCACGAAAGACCCTTGGTACAAGATTGATTCATATCTCGTTTTTTGTCGATTTTTTTGCGCTTCAAAGTATGAATAAACCTGTGGTGGTCTCAGTTCTCATTCTTCAGTGTTTACTGGCTTCAACTCTTGTGCTAGCTAGCTCTGAACAATGCTCTAGTTGCTGCAACCAAGGTAAAGATTTTCCATTTTATTTGTCAATTATTTATATCACAGTTTTCTCATGTATAATTCACATCTCTTTCACCAGATCCCTGCAGCAAAGACCTGATTGCATACTACAAATTTGATCGTTCATTTCGAGACGTGTGCTATGGTCATAATGGACTAAATGTTGGTGCAGTGACTTTATCAGAGTCCGCCGGAGTTAACAAAGGAGCTGCATTTTTCAACGGGGCAAGCAAACTTCGTATACCAAGCCTTAATGGCTATCAATGGGGATACCAATTCTCTGTAAGTCTTTGGTTTAAACGTACTGGTCAGACAGGCAACTATCAAGGGATCATAAACAATGGTTATTATTCGTACGGAAGTTGGGAGATCAGAATGGGTCGAGAAAGTTCCGGGCAAATGATTGGCGGAGGAGTTGTGACGTCAAATTCTCTTCAAACTTGGAATTACCAAACGACGGCTAGTCTCAATCACTGGCATCATGTTGCAATGACGTACGATGGAACGACTCTAAACTTTTATATCGATAACCAAAAAAAGAATGGCTCGTCTAATTGTTGTAAAGGCAACCTCATCAACAAAAGTAACGATGTCGTAATTGGCCAAGCTGGTCATGGTATGGCACATGAATTCTTTTATGGTTACATTGATGAAGTGAAATTGTTCAAGAAAGCTTTAACAGCTGATGAAGTTACACAACTCTACCAACTTAAACATGTTTAATATAAAATAAATTACAATATATTAAAGCTGCGTTGATTGCAGAACAAACTTTACTTGGGTATAAAACAAACGGTAGTTTTTCGAAAAAAATTGTATAATGTGTGGATTAAAATTGTCCGTGACAAAGATCGACTTCATTTCATTCAATAAAGTTTGATTGTTGTATGTTATATTAGTGACCTTGTGTTATTATTTACAAAATTTATTCCAGATAGTTTGACGGTACCCAACCAGTTCGAGTTCCTAATCTCGCTAGCCACCAGCCTCCTTCGTCTTTCTTCATCACCTCGACTCTGTCACCTCTTTTCATATCCAGTGTGTCTTGCGAGTCATCGGAATAATTCGCAATCACGTGATAATATTGCGTGCTGCTGGGTCGTGCTAAATTCTCCGTGCTGCGTGTTTGTTTCACCGCAGCATGTGATTTCAATCGACTGATATTTTCAATGCTACCAGAGTTCTGATTCCTGGTCAAGGTGGGTTTTTTGACCCGACTTGGAATAGGTGGACCACCCTTCTTTACGCCACCTGGAATGTTCTTAGGTCGTGCGGGCGGGGAAGGCCTTGCGGGCGGTGGACGGTTAGTTTGCGGACGCGGAATTATGCTAGATAAAGGACGGTTATTTTGCGGTTGTGGTTTGTCATTCGATAGATGAGCCTTAACTGGAGGCTTCGGTTTCTCTTTTGATTTTTCTGCAAGATACGTTGATGGGGCCCAACCCTCTGCGCCACACGATTGCACGTACCACCAACCTGAATTGCTCTTCTCCAGTACCTTGACAGGCGCGCCTTCTTTCAATGATATATTTAGGATGTCGTCATCATGGTAATCGCTGATGACAACATACTCTCCCCCCGCTTCGGTCCGCTTTGCCACGGCTGGCTTTCCACCCCCAGGACTCGCGCCCCTTGGTTTTGGTGCCCTTGGGTTTGGTGCAGGTTTCGATATCACGGGTCTTGAACCCCCGGGTTTTGCTACCTCCGGATGATTAATCTTTTCCCGCCGTTCAATATAAGACGATGGTACCCAACCCTCCTCATTACCTATTCTACAATACCACCAACCATTGGGTGACTTCTCAATGATGGTCACGGACACACCTTGCTCGACACTCAGTCCCCCGTTGACGCCCTGGGCACGATAGTCTGACATTGTGGACAATATAGCCTCGTTAGAGATGACGCAGAACCCTGATCACGTGACGGAGGCGATCTTACTCTGTTTTTTACCTTGTGAGACTTACGTACCTTTAATAAGGAAGTAAATTCAACATCAAGACCTTATTATTTCACTCTATGAGATTTTAGCCGAAATACAGAGTCAATGATAACAATCTCTCATGATAAAAACTTAAAGTCTTCAACGAAGAGTTGTCACTGTATGGTTGTAGTACGTTGACTTGTGAAAAAGCAGATTGGTGATACCATAAGCCCTAATTCGACAGGCTAAATTTTCAAGCGAAATGCGAAATATTTCGCCTGCTTCTTCTTTTGAATTGTGAGCAATGAAGCAGAATTAATCAATTCAAAAGAAACAGGCGAAATATTTCGCATTTTGCTAAGAGAAAGCGCCCGTGGAATTAGGCCCATACTATCGGCATGGAACTATTTTCCTTGAAAGCAATTTCTAAGGTACTTACAGAACTTTTTCTTGGCGGTGGTTTGCTTGACTGACTCCCTGAATGAAAAAAACATGAAGACGAAATTAACTGCCATAATTTTCTTTCAATTTACAGTATTTTTCGTTCAAATATCATAGTTACATACCTCCTTGGTTTTCTTTCGGATTTCGTCGTGGTTTATTCGAGAGTGCATGTTCGTTGGATAACGTGACGTTCTCGTAACCATGAGGTGTTGGTAAAGGCTGGTTGGGATCAAATTTCTTTAAGTAGATAGACGGTGCCCAACCATCTTTCCCATTGTACCTAAAACAGAAAGAATTATATTGGGTGTTAAACACGATCATAGCTTCAGCCTTTAAGCTTTGTTCGTCCAACGAGAGAACACTCTTTATATATTTTAAGCAGTTTAAAAATGACAGTTTGGGATAACAGTTGATGTGAGTTTTACAATGTACATTTTTGTACCTAATGAGCCACCATCCATCAACATTCTTTTCAAGCACATCAACAACAACACCTTTCTGGAAACCAATTTCATCTGGTTCATTTGCAGTGTAAGCTGAGGAAGCAATGTAGCGCTCCTCTGAAAAATACATTCAAATAAGGTTTAGTTGCTGTTCTTGTCCATTTGTTCCTACACTGCTTAGTGTTTTATGCAAAAAAAAACTGTGGGTCTTAATATAAAAAAGATTTCCACAGATACCTCCAGGTTTATATTTAGTGGCAATAGCACTTTCAACACTACCATCCTCTGGCTCAAGATACGAAGCTGGTACCCAGCCTTGTTCTTCATCCATATTCACAAACCACCAGCCTACAGTAAATCAACCCACTTGATTATATTCTACTCCTCAAGGAACAGTACAACACACCATGTCATATGTTAAGAAAGAACAATGAATCTAACCATTTTCATTCTTTTCAATGACTTCAACTATATCTCCTGCCAAGACACTGACTTCACTTTTGTTCTGCTTCTGATAATCAGCAATCACTATATACTGATCCAATTGCATTGGCTCTGAAATCACTTTCCCTTCAAAACAAAACATGATAAATTTGTTAGTCAAATGTATACTATCAGTTTCTGCACCTTCACTAAACTTCCAGTACCTTTCTCCTCCTTTGGTTTCTTTTTGTCTTTCCTATCAACAAATGACATGAGTGAGCAATTGAAGAAAGTAAAGAACAAGTGATTTCAAAATATATTTGACATACTGTTCAGTTTCTGGTTCCATTGATGTGATGTCCTCATTTGTAGGCTCAAAGAAGTCCAAAACCACATCTGATTGAGAGATCTTTGCAGGAAGTTTGATCAAATTCTATCAACAAAATAAAAAATAACATTGTTTGTATTCTGATTTGTTGATTTTTCTTTCTGAGAATGCAAAGAGCACTGACCTGGCAATATTCATTAATGGGTTCCTTCCTTTTCTCTGCAACATCACGTATGTTGCTTCGACCAAAGATGATTTTTCCTGTCATAAAAATAAAAGCTCAGTAAACACCGTCGTCCTGATTCAACCACCATGATTCAATTTGTTGCTTGAAATCTTACCTGGTAGAAATGGGAGAGACCTCAAAGAAGGATCCCTAACACCACCTTCATCTGGAAAATCTTCAAATAATTTTGTCTAAAAAACAATTGATATCCACCAATATTAAGGTTTCTGACTTGCAAATATTCAAAAGTTATAAGGTAAATTGAATTTAAAAATGAAAGTACAACTGGGCATATTGTGGCTTAATAAACAAAGACGTTGAAGCTCAATTGTTGAAGGTTACTAACAACCGATACTTTAAATAGTTCAATGTTTGCAACTTGGATATATGTATTTTGGGATGATTTTTTGGTGATGATTTTATAAATTATTAAGGACAACATAATACATTCTTAACATATTATTAATTTTTTATACCTGCAAATCAAAAAAATTACTGTATCTTCTAAAAATAACTACCACACTATTGTCTGACCAAGTGACATTGATAACATAAACCTAAAATGAAACAGCAAATTACAGCAATTGCAATAACAACATTGAAAGAACAACTATTGTTGCAATTCATGTTCTATTATTGTTGGAAACTGTTGCAATTTTAATATAAATAGAAAGCAAAATTTGATTTTTTTTCTAAATATCGATATGTATAAATATATATACTCTATGATGTTGGACAGAAATGTTTGATATGCTAGAGGAGAAGATATGTGTGAAATTATGTTTATTGAATTCTTCATGGTTGTTATAGAATAACGAATTATGCTGATACTTTTAATAATTTACTCAAATATTAATTAAATATCCGAGTTAAATGAGTTAATCCCACAATTTGAGACTTACCACATTGACTCATTAGAACTATCAAGCTTTATTTTGAATCTTAAAAACGTTGCACGCTTGCCGAAATCAATTTAAAGTCAAGAGTCAAAAAGAAAGGCAATACTATAGTGGGCTATACATAGAAACAGATTAAAAAACAATACATACATAATGTTTGGTCGGTTTTCTTCTTTTCTGATATTCTACCACAACAGCATTTTTGACACTCCTTGGGTTCATCTTTCCAGCTTCAAAAGATGTCGAAATATTCCATCAACAATCGGATGACTGGTCAATAATGCATCATTTAGGTTTGACAAGCACAAAATTACGCTTTGCCTTCACTTCCGACATTTCCTGACGTGGAATCACCCCCCGGGATAATACCAGTTTCAAAGGGCAAATTGTTATGTGATGTGGCTATTATGCGGGGGGAATACTCCGAAATATTTGTCATTTGTGAACTTAGGAAGGTATAATTTTAGACATGGATAGACGTTTGCAGATTTTAATCCCATAATCTCTGGTTAAGCCGTAACACAACTGTCGGTGTGTACCGAACCGAAGCTGAACACTACGAATCTCTTCTCCGGGGGAGTAATCTCTTCTCCGGGCGTATCGCCCACTCGGGGAAGCAATTGAGAAGCGTTCACTATTTGTCCTCCTCAAAATGGCAAAGTAGGAAGTGAATGGAGTGGGGGCTTGGCCTTCTTTCACACCCCCTCAGACTAGGCTCAGACATGAATGGCCGTCGTTTCCAAACAGGCTGGTCATTGTCTCCTACTTTGGTAAAGGCATCCTTTACCTTCCCACAGACAGTTTGTCTTGTCCGCCCATCATCTGAAAGTCTTGTCCAAAATTAGATAAATTTTTCTCAAACACAATTTGATTAATAAGAGGATTTGTACGAACAAATGCATACCATCGGCTTTTTGAGCCTTGAGGCTATCTTAGCATTTGGAAACTCAAATAACATAACGATCTGCTATTTTTAGGAAAATGGTGTTATTAAGTCGAGATTTGACCGGGAGTGTTATCACTGGCATCACTGTGCAGGCATATCAATGACGCTATACCCAGCAGATTGAAAATAAACTGCAGGTTTTCAATTGTTCATCTGAATATTTGAAAATGAAATGAAAATGACTTACGAATTATCGAGGCAAAAAATTAAAACAAACTCATTTTATCTCCAATTATTCATTTCAATTCTCAGTTAATGGTTCGTCGTCAGACTATGAAGTTATATTCGGTTTTATTTTTTAATTTAAACAACAGCGTTATTAATCTCCCCCGTGGAGTCGAGACAGCATATGGCTGTTCATATTCGTCATTAAACGACAGGCGTAATTGTGAAACTGGGGCAAATTTCCATTTGTAAACGTTAAACTCATGGACGTGACTTTGTCAGGCGTGCGCAGATAGAGACGTCAATGATAGCTGGATAAATAATAGTTTGTCATGAAAACAGAACAAATTTCGTTGATTCAACACTTGGTTTCCCAGCAAAAGTAATGTCGAGAATTAGCCTCCGTTCAGTATCGTTTTGTCCTCGACAAGTCTCAATTCACACAATTCGATTGGGTTTATGAAATATATTGAATTAACAAATAAAATTAAAAGTTATACTAAATCTTCACCCAAAATTCACGTTGCAGCTATGTCGAATTAATATCGCGTCTCTCGAGACAGACCGTTTCGCACACTATGACCCTCTATCACCAACTGACTCAATTTTGTGCAGATCCCTTATTTTACCCATATTGCTTCCCATTTCTGTGCAGTGCGTGTCATCACCTATTATTTCGTGCGCCCCGTTGTCGCTCAGTCCCGACACACTCCCCCCATATATCTTAGTGCTGTGATATATGTCTACAAAGGGTCTGAGCTAGTGCTACTGATTCAAGCTTAAATGCAATCTAATATTAGTGTCCTAATATGGATAAGTGTCACCGTTCATCTTCTTCTGCTTGATCCCGTAAGCGGATTGCTGCCGCTGCTGCTGCATCACGTTTCGGTCGGGGTTGGAAGGGAGGGGTGTCTGGGTTTAACGTGGTTGGAGGTGGTAAGTCACAGGAAAGTTCTATCGGGTAGAGTTGCTGTATTGCACGTTCAAGAATTCCATTTGGCGTCCTGATCTTTGCTCCCCGTACTACGTCATCACGCCCTCGAATCAGCTCTTCGACTACGCCCATCTTCCATAAATTTCTGTTCTTCTCCTCTCCTTCGATGATAACAGCATCACCACGGTTGGGATGATCTGCGTTTTTCCCATTATCTTGTCGGTGTCGATCTCTTAGCCCACGAACGTATTCTCTATACCACCGTCTCCACAACAAATCCTTGCATCTACGAAGAAACTTCGCTCTCTTCCGAAGGCTGTGGTCCTCAACGTGATAAGATTCCACTTCAGGTAAGATAACTGGATTTATCTGCAACATTCTTGCGGGGGTGAGAACAGTTTGTTCTACGTCGTCTTCAACGTATGTTAACGGTCGATTGTTCATTACAACTTCTATGTCTAGGATCACGTCTGATAATTCTTCAAAGGTTAGATTACCGTTCCCGATACTTTTATAAAAACATCGTTTAAAGAGCCCGATCAACCGCTCGAACTGTCCACCCCACCAGGGTGCGCGACTCAGGTTAAACCTCCAATGGATCTCCTTGTCCGTAAGAAAACCGTTTATGATCTCATTTCCAATTGCCTTTTTCAGCCAGTTTGCCGCAGCCTTGAACGTAGTGGCATTATCTGAGTATATGATTTGTGGTCTCCCCCTTCGAGCGATCAATCTTTTTAGGCTAGGCAGAAATTGGACAACCTCCAATGATTTCAACAGCTCCAAATGAACTGCTCTTGTGAGGCTGCACGCGTAAAGTACCAGATACGCTTTCTTTTCCGCTTTTCCTGCTGTTTTGTATTTGATTGGTCCAGCGAAGTCGACTCCTATCACTTGGAACGGGGTTTCTCCTTGCGTTCGCGTAACTGGTAGTCGTCCAGGCGGTGGTCTGTGATACGCACGAGCGCGGAATCGCACACATCCATGACATTTGCTTCGTACCTGCTTCACAAGGCGACGTAGTCTAGGTATCCAGTATCGCTCACGAACTTCAGCCATGGTCGCCGGTACTCCCCCGTGAAGAGTGATGATGTGCGCTTGTTCGACTAGTTTCTTTGAAAACTGCGAATTTGCAGGCAAGTATACCGGATACTCGCCTTCGATTCGCCCGCGACACTCTAGAATTCCGTTCTGGTTAGGTTGGAGGTTTAGCTCGATTTTCGTACTCTCGAATTCCGGTGCGTCCCTAGCTCCATCTTGAACTCGTTTAATCCACCACAACCGTGCGTCTTCGATCTCCTGCGTCTTTATCGGTCCCAGGGACTTCGCTTTCCTTTGGGTGTGTTGAATGAAGCGGTTAATCCAAGCACAAATTCGAAGGGTTTTCCGCAACGTATACCGCTCTAGTAGTTGGTCAAACACCCCGTGTGCCGTTTGATTCATCGTGACCAAAACTCGCGTCGACGGTTTTTCCTCTTGCTTCGAATCCGAACTCGCCACAGGCACAACTTCCGGTGGCCACGTCTCCTGGTTGTTAAGCCACGTAGGACCGTGCTTCCATAACTCGTTTCCCACCACATCTCCTCCGCGGCTCCCTAGGTCAGCGGGATTCTCGTTCGTTGGGACGTGATGCCATCTGATCCGGTCGAGTTCTTTGACCTTTTTCACTCGGTTGGATACGAATTGCCGGTACTCGCCTTGTCCATTGATCCAATATAACGCGACTGTCGAGTCCAACCAACAGTGTATCTCGGTCACCTTCTCCATTCCGATCGCTCGCTCGACGTTCGTCACTAAGTTTGCGGTCATATGACCAGCGACAAGCTCTAAACGGGGAATCGTGAGGCTCTTCTTCGCAAGTCTGGACTTTGCACACACGATACCTTGGGTTGTTCCGCTCTCTTGCTCTGCGACTGCGTAGACGACCGCAGAAACTCCGTTCTTACTGGCATCCCCGAATCCGTGAAGGGTGATTGACTGTACTGGCTCTCTGTGAGGGGCTAAAGTTCGAGGGACCGTGTACTGGCCTGGCAGGTTTTCGTACCACTCTTTCCACCGTCTCTTCAAAGAACCGTTAAGTTCTTCATCCCAGGCAAGTTGCTCTTCACACATTTCACGGTACAGTAGTTTTGCTACTAGGGTAGTTGGGGAAACCAGGCCGAGTGGGTCGTACACACTTGCAACCTGCGACAGGGCCTCCCTTTTCGTAGATGCTGCGTCTCGTTCTTTGTTTACTACAACACTTAAACGGTCTTGAGCTTTGTTCCAACCCATACCGAGGATCTTTGTCTCAGTCCCCTTTGTGCCCAGCTGCTGTTTCGCGAAGGTAGTTTCCGGGTTGCCCACGTTGCCTTCATTGGCGCTCTGGTCGGTATCCTCGAGTTCAGAGGCGTTTGAGTGCCATTTATGCAGGTGGAAAGTGGCATCCTCAAAAATACTAACCGTCTTCGCTTTCTTCTCTTTGACCTCTTCAACATTATCACCTCCCTCCATCACATCATCGACATACAGGCCGCCTTTTATCTCTTCCACCAGAGCCGGATATCTTTTCTCCCAACTCTTTAGGTGTTCGTTCAGGACACCTCCAAGAAGGAAGGGAGAACAGGTCAGCCCAAACAGCGCCCTAGTAAACCGATAGACTGTGAGGTCGTCACTATCTGGTGCCTTCCAATGGAAGCGTAGGGAATCTCGTTGGTTTTCGCGTATCCGGACTTGCAGGAAGGCTTTCTCGAGATCAGCGGTCAGCACGATGGGGAGGAAACGTAGACGAACTAAAATATCCCACAGGTGGTTCTGGAGTGGTGGGCCAGGGTTCAAGCATTCGTTCAAGGATGGATCAGATGCCGATTCTTTGGCGGACGCGTCGTAAACGACCCGAAGTTTCGTCGTCTCTGCGGTCTCCTTTACGACGGGCTTGTGGGGAATGTAAAACTCTTTACCCTTTGCTGTGGCAGGTGCTGGTTCGACAATACCTTTCACGAGCTGATCTTGAATAATGTCGTTGTACTCTTTGTAAATTCCTCTTTTCTCGAGACGTTTCACCAGGTTGTTAAGTCTCCTTATGCTTCCTCTTTCGTTCGACGGAAGGTGTGGATGATGCGATTTCCACGGTAAGCTAGTCTCGTACCAGCCTTCTTTGTCGCGTGTGAGCTCGTCTTTAAAATCATCGTAAATCGCTTGAGAGCCTTCCTCGGTGGGATCTTCAAGACCGAGGACGTCTAACCGACACAATCGCTCGAAATCGTTTTGAGATGTTGTGGTCAGTAGCATCGTATTCTGGTCCAACTCGATTCCAGGACTCATGATCATCCAACCAAACCTTGTAAATTCCGCCACGGGATCACCGTCCTTTCCTACCAGGGGTTTGGTCCTTGTTTTTATCCGAGCATACTCGCCGTTTCCCAGCACGAGGTGAATGGGTAGCTCACTCTTTGTGTCGCGTTCGTCCATTTTGACCGAATTCAAATGTTTATATCGTCTCACGAGTTGGTCGTAATTGGGGTTACTAGTTGTCAGAAGCTCGCTCTTTTCAACTTTGTTCAAGCTCACGTTTATTTTGCACGAATCGTCCAAGGAACTAACTTCTACATCGAAAACTTCTATTCGCTTTGTTTGCGAAGTCATCAACATGTCTATTCGCTGGCTCTTTATTTCGCTGGGTTTAATGTTTAACGCGTTGACAAGCTTCGCGGACGCATAGGAACTGCCGGCGCCAGAATCAATAAGTGCGCGAGTCATTACACCATTAACTTTCACAACAACAACTGGAAATATCCCTTCCGCGCTTGCCCCATCTGTCATCACTTTCTTAGCCCCGGGTGATTGGTCCCCTTCTTTTGTATGATCTTGACCAGACCTTTCGTCGCGTTCATGCTTGTACTGTTCGCAGATGGATGAGTGATGACGCTTGTTGCAATGCCCACAAGACGTCTTGCTGGCACAGTCCGAAGCTCGGTGAAATTTCGTAGCGCAGTTAAAGCACAAACCCTTTCTTGCTAAAATTTGCTTTCGGTCACTGGGATTCACGACATTTGTGCATGAAACCGCCTTATGGCCAAGATCGCCGCAATAAACACAGCCCAAAAGTTTTTGTTCATTTCCGCTCGCGCGAAACAACTTCTTACGGTAATCATCTTTGCGCGGAGGGTCGCTTTCGTTTACCGGATTGCGTTTTACCCACTGTCGCAATGCCTCAGCTAACTTCTCGAAATCCCATGTTTCCCATTCAGGATCGGTTCTAACTAAATCGCCCCTGATACCTGACAATTTATCTAATGTCATCGAGACATTTCCGTTAACCTGATCGAGTTTCCTCAAGGTCTGCAAGGCTCGCACGCAATAGGTCAAAGTCTCACTAAATTCGGCAATTCTACGGGGGTTACTGTTCGTAATATGAGGTAGATCGAGAATCTCCCTTATATAGCTTTTGACAATCTCGGATTCCTTGCCGTAATTGTCTTGGAGAATGGCTTTGGCTCTATTGTAACCTTCGGTTGAAAAGGGCAGGGACTCGACGCATGTTTTGACCTTTGGACCCAATAATTCTAACAAATACGTAAACTTGGTAATGGGGGCCACGGAACTCTTATCAATCCCTTCGGTAAATTGTCCCCAAAACCTAGGCCAGTCCTTAAATGACCCATTAAACTTCGTGATCACAAGTTTCGGTAGCTTTGCGTTTCGACTTGGGCATTCCTGAGTTTCCGGTTTGGGTGGGGTCATTTCCCTTTGCATGCGTAGTTTCTGTTCATGCAACTTTAGTTCTGCTTCACGTTGCTGCTCTAGTCCTGCAGCCTTAGCGTTACGTTTCTCTTCAGCTAACCAATCGCTCAACTTTGAAATCTGTAAATCAGCTACTTCGAGTGTCGCCTCAACACTGTCGCTCCAATCGGAAATTTCGCTCATGCTTGTTTTTCTCGCGATTTTCTGTTCCTCAACTTTGCGCTTGCACTCGTTAGCCGCGGTGTTTACAGATTGCAGTGTTTCGATATGGCGTTTTATAGTTTCACGCTTACCTGTTGCCAGGATTTTATCTGACCTTCTCGTAACCAATTTCAGCTGGGATAATTTCGTCTCCAATTCGATGTCTTCCTTTGTCAATTCTGGAGGTATACTTTCTCCCGTTGGTTGAACGGCCATCTCCGTAACTGTCTCTCCAGCAGTACTCTCTTTTTCTTCTTCCATCGTTGTTCAACGAGTTCGCAATCCCGTCTCGGAGGTGCCAGGTGTCGAGAATTAGCCTCCGTTCAGTATCGTTTTGTCCTCGACAAGTCTCAATTCACACAATTCGATTGGGTTTATGAAATATATTGAATTAACAAATAAAATTAAAAGTTATACTAAATCTTCACCCAAAATTCACGTTGCAGCTATGTCGAATTAATATCGCGTCTCTCGAGACAGACCGTTTCGCACACTATGACCCTCTATCACCAACTGACTCAATTTTGTGCAGATCCCTTATTTTACCCATATTGCTTCCCATTTCTGTGCAGTGCGTGTCATCACCTATTATTTCGTGCGCCCCGTTGTCGATTTGTACGAACAAATGCATACCATCGGCTTTTTGAGCCTTGAGGCTATCTTAGCATTTGGAAACTCAAATAACATAACGATCTGCTATTTTTAGGAAAATGGTGTTATTAAGTCGAGATTTGACCGGGAGTGTTATCACTGGCATCACTGTGCAGGCATATCAATGACGCTATACCCAGCAGATTGAAAATAAACTGCAGGTTTTCAATTGTTCATCTGAATATTTGAAAATGAAATGAAAATGACTTACGAATTATCGAGGCAAAAAATTAAAACAAACTCATTTTATCTCCAATTATTCATTTCAATTCTCAGTTAATGGTTCGTCGTCAGACTATGAAGTTATATTCGGTTTTATTTTTTAATTTAAACAACAGCGTTATTAATCTCCCCCGTGGAGTCGAGACAGCATATGGCTGTTCATATTCGTCATTAAACGACAGGCGTAATTGTGAAACTGGGGCAAATTTCCATTTGTAAACGTTAAACTCATGGACGTGACTTTGTCAGGCGTGCGCAGATAGAGACGTCAATGATAGCTGGATAAATAATAGTTTGTCATGAAAACAGAACAAATTTCGTTGATTCAACACTTGGTTTCCCAGCAAAAGTAAGTGATTATTAATGAACGTAATATGTGGGGATAAACATGATACCGTTTGAGCGTAACAGCGTGTTGAATGTTGAATTACAATTAAAGCTCGCAAAAGCATCTGTCATTTGAAAAAAGGTGTGAGGGGTTAAAACTGCTCATTTTGTATTCACCGTATATTTAAATCTTGCCCGAAACATAGTGAATACTGGGAGGATTTGTAACAACGCTTTTGACGGTCATGAATGTTTTAAAAGGACAGAATTTTAATGAAAAGTGGATATAAGTTGATTATTCTTCGGCAGGAAACAAAATCTAATGAATTAATATCAGATAGTGGAGTCGGAGTTAACATGCAAATGTCTGATGAAACAAGACTTTCAGAGGAAATTAACATTCTGCCAGGCAGGTGTTTAAATATGAAAGTTGAAAGGAGAAAAAACGATTGAGCTTATCTTTGAAACTCTCGCCAATGGATCTTACAAACTTGAAAAATATGAAGTGATTGACGGTGAAGAGTGAAATGGCTGGGAAAATGCGAGATAGCAAAACGAATCAAAACGAATTTGCCAATTGATTTGGTCGTCCGATATCATGCCCAAATTACATCCAAAATAAACATATTTTCTATTTTTTTCCAATATACGTTTGTAACAAGTCTCTAATTGTGAAAGAAGTTATGAAAAGATTTTAATAGAGTGTGAGGCAGAAACTTTATCATAAGCAAATCTTAGATACCCGGTTGTTGGGCATATCATGATTTGCGTCAACCTGCTTCGAAAACTAAATATTAAAAAATCAGAAAATGTGAAAGATTGTTTACAGATCATTCATATCCACACAAAACAAACACGTTACAGACTTATCTCTGTTGTTTTAATAAAAGTTTAATACCATTCTTCTCCATTTAAATTTTAGTAAAAAACTCTGATATATGCGATGCAAAGAAGACTGATCTCACAGATTATGCAAGCTCTCCAGACGAGGCCGAGTTCTTGAACAATGTGAAATCTGACATCAATTTTCCTCGCGACAGACAAGACGTGTCTAATTGCTTTATTCATGAACCTGAAGAGATCTCAGCCTTGTACGACTCGAGAACTCAATTTCCAATCATCACTCCTGCATTTGACGACGGAATGGAGCCGAACAAAACACAATTCATAAATGACAAAGTCTTTAAACTAACGGTGAATGATGGGAACCAAACGCCAGTTCCAAGTGAAAAAAATGACCTAATTAAGAGGCGACAATCTTTGCAAAGCTTGGACGAGCTAGAATCAGATTTGAGCACAAACAAATATTGTACTGATGCTGATGTTTTGAAAGCACTCTCTGTGTTTTCTGAAAGAGCAAGCCCTGTTAACAAAACTGGCGATACTCCTCAAGAGGGTCAAGTAAACGGTAAGCTCAGAAAATGTTTCTACGTCTATATATCTTTTCCAAATTTCTAATCTAAAACTTTTCTGTTTGGAATAAAAGCCATGTTTTCCGATAATAAAATCGATAAAGCTAAAAGGAACTCCGAAGGCAAATGAACTTCATCTGATAGTTTGAAGAATGAGTAATGAGAGAAACCGCATAACTACCTCGGTGCATTTATTGGTTATGAACATATAAATGAGATGATGACTTTGGGGTAACTGCTGACTGTATAGATGCATATATACATGCAGGGGCTTTGCTCAAAACCTCAGTGTTTAAGTGGTCTGCAATCCCTAACATACAATCACGAGACTCATGTGTACAAGTTTGCATTCATAGCCCGAGATAGTTTCGTGGAAAAAGTGAGCAATCAATCTGACAATAATTCCATGATTTCGCTGGAATATTGGAGTGACGAGGAGGGTCGCTATCCACCACAAATGTCTATTAGTCCTCCGCCATGTGAGATGACATTTCGGAAGACGACATTGAGCGTTAACGAGACAAAGAAATACAACGACATCCAAAGATATTTCAAATCAAACAATGATGCTAAGGTAGAAAACTAAGGCGAAACTTAGAGGTCTTAAAGCAATTAAGGCACTTTATTAAAAGCCGTTTGACTATAGACATAAATACATATGGTGTTCTGTGCTATAGATCACGATATTTAGTATTTGCTTCAGGCAAGTAACTGTAAAACAATATTTTAAGGATCTCTTCAGGTCCTCTGATGACTCTACTAGAACGCAATCAAAACGTCCACTCCTGAGATCCTTGAGTCCCATCAGCTCCTCGAAACCTTCAGTTCACCTCGATCAACTGAAATATCGAACAACGCCAAAGGTTACAGAGAGCAGCACCTCGCAAGGCATCACACCATCACTTCTCATCAACTCCACTGAAAATGTCGCAAAGTCGATGAGATCAACACAAGCGTACAACTGGAAGCCCAGGCCACCCAGTGATGTTGCAGTCTCATCTCCTTCATTGGTCCGACCCATCTTAACAACACCTCCAAGAGCGAGAAAGAATATGCACTCCAATGCAATGAACTATAGCCACCGAATGAAAGAAGATAAATTATTTGACGCACAGAGGTGAGAGAAACCAAAGCTAAAACTGATAAGATAATTTTAGGGAAGATTCATCATTCATGTTCACGTAAAAAAAACGTTTTGAAAACATACCATTCAGATTTCAGACACTAGGGGAATATATGCATATGCATTCTCACCAATTAAGAGTCTAATTGCAGCCATTGAGGGAAAAATGGAAACACTCCAGAAATTACAGTTTCACTAACAGTTTTACATATTTCTTGCAGATTTTCATTGCCAAAGAGAAAAGTATCTCGAACTCAGTCAAGTCAACCATCGACAACCAAACTGTTTCCAGAAATATCCAGCATCGCTAAAACCCAGTCCACTAGCAAAAGCATCTCTGATTTCAGACAATCTTCAAGTACGACGGCTACATAAATGTGTTTCTGTACTGTAAACAACTATTCTTAGAAGAGATTTTAGCTTTTTAATTCTTTCGTTGTTTTAGGCATATTTGGAAAACTTGTGAGAAAGAATACATCAAGAGAAGTTGAAAATGTTAGCAAAGAAGGCAATTATGGTTAGTATACGAACATCCAATAAACAGCTCAACGACTAGCCTAGGTCGTAGCCTCTGAACCGAGCAAACAATGTTGATTGACCGCGCATGCCGCATGTGGACACGTTATTGCATGGTAGATATCTTAATGTTCCCACACCTACCTTTTTCATTCAGATAAGCAAAACAAAGCCACAGACTCGTCAACAGCGGGCTCATCACGAGGCAAAGGGGAAACAACGCGAAGAAAATTAAGAAGGATTTTAAGCTTGCATTAAAAGGGTGAATGAAAGAGTTTTAATAAAAGAACTGGGTTCACTTTTAGTTTCAAAGGGCTGTATCACAAGAAAGTATAAGAACACTAGCAAGATTAGTAGTATCAGTTTTGAAATTTACTTTATATTTCAGAACTCGTTAATGAAATCAGACCCTCCATTTCATTTGAATGATGACATTTTACATAAAAAATGCTTTGCTGAAAATCTTTAAAATATACAAAATCCACATAAAACAAACAAACTGATGGAAAGTATTAAATTGATTATTAATACTGTTCTCCAGAATATCAGTCTGAAATCATGAATATACATGCAAGCGTGAAGATTTGTTCTTTGTTCCTTCGCTGACACAATTTTAAACTTGGCATTCAGGCCTGCAATATACGCGATGCTTCGTGCCTCGCGTGATACCACAGCAACACCAACAATTTTGCTATTTTAAATTTACCTAGCACGCGTTTTAATTATCAAGAGAAAAAGATCCTTAAAAGAGATTTGATAGTTGAGTCTGATCTGCTTTGAATTTGGACAATAGTTCAGCGAAGAGTTTTGAATTTTCATCATCAAAATAAGAGAACACGTTTACCTCTGTGAAAACGTTCAGACATTTTCTCGCTCGCAAGCTCTCGCGGAGTGACATCACGACGCCTTTCAAGCGACCTTGAAACTTTTTTGGCGTCCAGTACTTTGGATGAGGGCGCGTTTGTAACTCGGCTAGCAGTACGGTTTGCAAGTGATACCGAAGTATCTGGCTACCAGTTCTTTTGCAGAAACGTGTACGAAGCTTGTCTAGCACATATAAACAATGCATAGCACAGAGAAATTGAGGATTACTGAGAATTCTATTTTCCAAGTCGTTAAAAGTTATCCTCCATAAAAACTGTTGTTCTGTAGAATTCGGCTTCGCTACGAGAGAAATTGAATCGATGTTTTCGTCTTGCAAATGAAAGGACTGGAACACACGCTGGATTTTTTTGTCCAAATTTCTGAATGGCTCAATACTGCGACGCATGCGTATCATTGGTAGGAGATTGACCCGGAATTTGGTTGAAGGATCCAAAAGGATAAACAGACTGATCTGGTCAGGCCAGGAGCGACATGTGATAAAATTTTCTTGGCTTTCTTGTGAAATTTCCTGAATTGATCGTTCGATAACATTCATTAAGGACTGAAGTAGTTTTGTTGTGCTGAGGTAACGACCATTTGTAGGACCTTGGATGATGATATCTTCCCAGCTTGCCATATCAGGCCTAAAGATTGGAGACAGTTTGGTTTAGACTAAAAGCATTAGGCTAAATGGCAAACTCTGTGATGCAAATTCACCTTGAAGTATAATGATCATCAATCCTGATCATCACAGCTCCACTTTTGACATCCCCTTCTAACACACAGCTTTGCCTTGGAAACTCCTTCATAGTACACAACAAATTGACTTGATTCATGGACATCATCTCACAGCGACAGTCGTCCAAGCAGACTGGATCAAAGTGGAATCTGACATCATAATTACTCATGGTCATGAAGAGGTCGTTGATACATACTGCTGCCTTGTTGAACTGTCGGCGCATTCGTTCCTCGCTTTGTCGCAAGAAAAAATTGACACTCTTGAAAATATCCATCTTGTTCTTTGACGCCATCCTGCGAAGTAATTTTAGAGCTGTGAAGTATGAACAGTAAATTCACTCCGAGTATAAATGTCTGATATATTTTAACGATATTCTCCTTGACGCAGAAGGTGAAAAAATAAGAAAAAATAATTAAGTTATGTGCCGTGAGGAATTAGAAGAAGCTAGCTCTCACATGTCCAATCTTGTAAACAATGTAATTCATATACTAGCATCATGTATACATCGTATGAATGTTAAAAGACACCGAATGTTTGTTAAAACAGTTCAAACAAGAGAGACGTCAGTTAAATTTGCGGTAATCATCAATGCTAACGACGGCAATTAGATGACCGAGCTGACAACACAGCTGCTGGATTAGGTTGCTGAAAATGCCAACAAATTGTTGATGCGTGTTCATATTGTAGTTGTTTCTTTGTAATACATGTTGCAATTTACTAGCGGAGTAGAGGTTCCCCTGTAACGGTTTAACACCATTGGAACTGAGTTCACTGATGTAGATTGTCTCAATATGAACGACTAATGTTGGAATTAAGGGAGACTGCCGATCACTTAGTTGTCAAAAATAAACATATCATTATTTGGTCAAAGTGAACAAATTTTAGTATTTTTTATTGCTCAAACTCGGCAATAGGCATTTTGTATAATATAATAATATTAAATAATACCAATTTCAATATTAAGTAATACTAATTTCAATATTAAGTAATACTAGTTTCAATTGTGAGTATATCATCAGGTTAGCATTCACACATCATTTGAATCATAAATTTAAGACTTACCTTATTCCTGGGTAACTGTGGATATGTAATTATAAACACACGCTGTCACGCTCAACCATCAGAAAAACTCGACTGTCAAAAACGAGTCAGCACACAGCCTGCATAGAAACCCAAACCAACCGATTTGTATACACTAAAGTCACACTTTCACGACTTTCCCAAACTTTATTGACTGCAAGTTTAAAGCCCTACAATATCGTAGGATATCTAACATAATATTAATCGGAACTCCGGTTCTCTCAAACGCCGGTTATCTAAAGATTGTTAGGGCTTGCGTTGATAAAAAACTCTTTACTTCATACGGAAACCCAGTTAATAGCTTGACCACAACAAAAGTGAACAAAACTCGACAATTCAGAGCATTGATAATAAAAAGGCAATTAAAGATCACCTTAGAAACAAGGACAATAATCTTGTAAACTAAACGTGCTATTGTCAGAACTATATATCAAACCATATTAAAAATGAGTTTCCAAGCAAAGGCTGTTGTTGAACAATATCACTCGATATTGGCAAACAACTTTGAATCAACTATGAAGACATTGGCATTGCAGGACATTCGGTATTGATCCTCCACTGAACTGGTATAGTTAATGTGCCCGCAATAGGTTAGAACTCTGGCAAATGGAAAACATTTCTATTAAAGGAATGACACTCTCATCCTTACTTATCAAACTCATAGATATATCCAAATACAGAATGATTAGACAACGGAAGCTCAGTTAATATATAAACGTTACCTTTCCCATACATGCTTTATCTATCTTTTATTTCTCTTTATCTTACAATCGTTTTAACATCGTGAAGTTTTGTTGTTATAATTGGGGTAATTAATAAAACTCTTCTGCCTACTGAGATTTTGAATTCACTGGCATGCTGTTGAACCTGTTTATTCGGCAATATTATTAAATGTGGTATAGAAACTGTGAGTTACAGTGTGCTGTTCTTGAACTAATCCGGGATATACATACACTATATATTATATATGGCTTATTTAATTATATGTATAATTATATACATGCATACATCGTCGTTATAAATACTGATTACTATCAACTAAAATATGCACTAAAACTTTATCCTTAGTTAATATCTTTATCTAGCCTAATCTCTATCGCATTAAACTGTTTTTGTGAGATTTTTTCTCCTCAAAATGAAGTGGTATAAAAGTAACCGCAAATACCGCCTACATATTATAGCTACTTTATATTATTTTGGAATGCACAATATAGATTAATGACAGTAAATAGGAAAGCAGCAGTATGCCACAAATTTGGAAGAGATGAAGCCACAGTCGAGGCCACGGTAACTTTAATTACTACCGATGCCTTATATCACAATATTCACTGATTCCTGAAGATATTTCCTGAAGAACCTCCTGAGTCATTCCTGCAAATAAGTTCACGCCTGTAAACACATGAGGACATCTTCCTTTCTGTAGACCGATTTCCAAAGATTTCAAAACTCCGGCCACCCTCTTCTGTAAACGTGTTCTCATCCAAGCTTTCGCGTCGGGTTTCCTGAAGATTTCAAGCAAAACAAACGCTCGGATTTGATAATGAGAAAGTTGTTTTCCCTGGCTGAGTGTGTTCGTAAGCTTATCGTTAAGACAATGAAGTGCGTCTTTAGCGCACTCGAACCTCTCTGAAAGTACAACTCGTTTTTCAATATCGTTGAAAGTAATACTCCAGAAAGAATCTTCCTGTGAATCAACAGCTGCTGGTTTTGCCACAACATGGATGCCTTGCTCAACGCGACATTCCCTAAGAACTGTTTTCGGAACACTCGAGAAAATTTTCAACAAATTTTGGTAATTCGCGCAGGAGTGAGTTGCACGAATGGAGGGAAACAGATTGACTTTGTAATAATCATCTTCTGGACTGAATCGGAACCGTAAACTTATTGCTGAGCTTGCTTTAAAAATAGCGATCGATGCATTCGTTGTGTTGGCCTGAACCTCTCCCACGGCAAAGATGAGTGCATCCAAAAATATTTGATGTACTTTCGTCGGGTCAAGAAACCGACCATCAGTTGTCGTCGTAATAAAATCATCCCAGGAAACTTCATCGAATCTAAATGAGTGAAAAAAAATAGAAATTGAAGGATATTGTGTAACAAGTTAAACTATAGTTGGAATTTTAATTTTGCTTGAAAACATTTGCAATTCAGTAAAATTTTGCTTTTGTACCTCTGAACGAAGTCGTCTTTTACTTTGAGTTTCACACCTCCAGGAAGGTCGCTTTCTTCAATAATCAATGCGTGAAGAGGAACGTGTTTTAACGAACACAACACGTTTATTTCACGCGCAGATACGTTGTTACAACGACAATCGTCTACCGAGAAAGGATCGAAGTCAAATTTAATGTCGTAATTTCCGAGCTCTTGAAACACGTCAGTGACCAGAGGAGAAACGCGATGGAAAGAATCTTCGTTGATTTCATTTAAAACAGCAGCTTCTGCAAGAATTATGTCTTGTCTAAAACAGAATGTTTAATGTCTTAGTCAAGTCAGTGATCTTCGGTCATTAAATCCTTCGATTAGAGTTGAAAATTCTTAGAAACTGTTGTACGATAACAACCCTGAACATGCATCACTTATCCTTTGACTGGCACACGACAATTTAAATTCTTGATATAATCGCATTATTTACACCATCTTATTGCATTCATTCTCTGCTACAAACTATCACGAAAATCAAAAAATTTAAACTTACTTTTTGCCCAGTTTCTCGAAGTCGATTTTTTTATATCTTTGCGACACAGGAGTTTCTGAGATATCAGACATGGTGTGCGTGACTGTAGTGTGTTTATTGTGTTTGCCTCTTTATTATCTCAACGAGGTTAAACAAGGTGACGGAATGCGGATGAGAATAGCTGGAAGAGCTCATGTCGTACGAAGGCGGTTCTTTCAGCGCTAAACAATAACGCGGGGGCTGCAAACATTCAATTAACTTGTTAAGCGTCGCCAGCGAACCAGCCAAATTAAAAACATTGGGAAAAATAGACGACTGATGTAGATTTTGAAGGGTGACTTCTGCCTTTTATCTTTTCGACAATTTTCACAAAGTGAATCGTAGAAACTCAAAAAGGTTTTATGAAAATATCTTATGTCAAAAAATAACTCAATGAAAATAAACTCAACTGATGCGTATTTATAATCACGTAGCTGTGATCTTTAAACTCACTTTGTCCGTGTCAAACGTGCTCTATACGTACGTCATATTCATCAGTTTAAACCTGTTGTCATGGTTTGCAGGGTTCGGCTAACTTGCTGACAATGCATGTGGTTTTAGCGTAAACACTGTTACATAACCCAGCGGAATTTCTTGCCATTGCTAACTAGATCATACGTGCGTAAAGTGAAGACGCCTATCAATACGTCATTGATCTCTGTTTCCTGAATAATTGAAGTTGAGAGGATTGGTATCAATGTATCGGTGTGTTGGAAGTATTAGCTGCGTGTATGAAGAGCCAATTAGGAAGTTCAGGACGTTCCTGAATGTAAAATTGGCAACTGATTCTCGCTACATATGATAAAATCTCGCGAGGTATGATAAAAATGTTAATAGGCGAGCAAATGGAAAATAATAATGGCGTACGAATGCTGAATGCACTCTCAATGAGATTGAAAAAAAGATGAATGCTTAAAAAAGATGATTTGTTTATTACAGAGCAAAAATCTTCCGCATGCTTTGAGTCATTCCTAAAATTCAATGAACTGCAGTTGCCAAAACACTGCGATTTTACGACTTGTGCTTCTACCCTATGTCTCTTTTAGTAAAATGTATGAATAAAATGAACATTATGTACATACGAAACTCATCATGTCACAACTTGCCGCGTGGAATCAAAGCAGTTCAAAGCACCTCCTCGCATCACCCGTATATTTTACTGTTAAAGCGCCTGGCACAAGACTGACCCCAACGCGTTTGGCTTTTTTCTCAGATCACATTTTAAAGACCAAAACGGGAGTTGAAAGGCATGGTTGGTAGCGGCGAAGTTTGGGCAGGAAATCTGAACATTTGTTAAGAATAATTCAATACGTTATTAATTACGACACCGATTAAAATAAACACGACTCTGCATCAAATTTCAAAAGTGATTTGATTGGTTCAGGCTAATTCATTCCCTGTGTCATGTTGCGATACCCTGACGCTACTTAAATCAGAATAATTTGCGTTCGCGCATCGGACAGAAGGACTCGAAACTCTCAAAGCAGTGAGACACTCAGGCGCGAGATGATCACTTACATTATGCTATTGCTAGTTGTCTCTCAGACACTTGCTGAAATCAACGGAACTGAAGCACCGCCATTAAAAGCTGAGCTTCAACAATTAGGAGAGGACAAATGTGACGCATTATTTCAATCGGTAAGCGCCCGATATTCTTAGATATTAAGCAATTGCAGCGCGCGGGTAATTTAATGCAATATTTTGGGTCAATATTGGCTCTACTTCAACTTTCATAGTTAAACCTTAAACTCCAGGTTGAACTCCAGGGTTCTGTGATGTACATTCCAATATTTTCTTTCATGTTACTTCTGTATTAATCAATACCTCATCAGACTTTCGGGCAGGTTGCTAATATCATTTAGTTGTATGTTTCCAGAAATGGAACTTACGAACCAGCAAATGGATTAGCACCACAATGAGATCTAGAATTCAAACTTCCGTTTCAAGGTTAATCCGGGAAAAAATCATCTAGATATAGGGGATTTTATGGTGTACGGCCAATTCCCCCCTCGGATTCTGTATAAAAATGTTTAAACGTAACCTTATTACCATGCTAGCCAGGAATGCTATTGACGTATGTTGGCTACTTCATCGTAAATCTTCAGTTTCCGCACATCTTGACTATATTTTCCGCAACAGTTTTATTATTTTTCACTCTGTTGATTGATGGATAAGTTTGTGAAGAGAACAAGGGATTATTCAGGGCTATATGTTTAAACATATTTGAATAAGCTGTGTCAAGCTGTTTTTACTTCAAACGAAACATGCAAGATCAGGTTGTTTCGACTCTTTTAATAAACCTTGAAGTAATGAAGTTACTTTTGTTATAACTTCAGTTCACGAAGTATGGCAGTCAGTTTTGTAATTGTAACAACGGTGAAAATGGCAGAAACGGGCTGAATGGAAAAGATGGTGTAATGGTATGCATTATTATTTACTTAAATAAGAATTTTGCTTGACTCAGAGCAGTAGCGTAGTGATATTATGGTTAAATAATCTGTTTGATATTATGTTCCCAGGGCCCCGAGGGACCACCGGGACCTCCTGGACCTCAGGTGAGCGCAATTGTATTAAGGAATGGTATAAAGACACGATCCTAATCTTCGAGACTTCATCTATGCATAGTTGCTGCAAACAGCGTTTGATATTTTGCCATTAAAATTTAGGGAGAGATGGGTTTACCAGGCAAACAAGGTCCAGCAGGTATAGGTCCAGGCAGTACACTACGTCTTGGCGAGACATATGCTATATGTGATATGTATACTGCGGGTACTATCAGATATAACAGAACATATCGGGTCGTACAACTGTGCAATGGGGAGCAATGGCTGGCAGTATCACTTGAGACGATAGGACGATTGAAACATCGGCCTGGAAAATCATGCAGGGATATCTTAGAAACAGGTAAGAATCTTACCGTAAGATTAACTTGGCCTTAGTTCATTTCATCTCGCTCGCCAGTCATCTCCGAGACCCAAAACCACGAATATTTTCATTCAGCTTGACGGCAACCAAACGGGATAACAGTTTCTACTTTCTGCTAAACACCATGTATAAATCAAGCTGGTGTAATTTTTGCCTTCTTTTTCTACTAGTACTTCCCAATTTATGGCATATTCCCGATAAAAGTTAGTCGTTAGTTTGATCTTGTTTCGTGTTCATCCATGATATGCACCAGGGAAAAAAGATGAAACGAATTCCGTCAGAATTCGTTTCATCTTTTTTTCATTTCACCATTCCAGGCAACAGTCATGGAAGTGATTTATACTGGATAGATCCTAATGGCGGTTCACCAGATGATTCATTTGAGGCATTTTGTGACATGGAGACGGACAAAGGTGGCTGGACACTCGTTGGCACAAAGAAATCCTTGGGGGCGCGCCTAATCTCCGACCGTTTCTACGAAAAATCAGCGTCGACACTACACAGTGATGCCCAGAGTCATATCCACCCAGACATGAGCGACTGGCGTGAAGTTATGTTCAGATTTAGCGACGACAACAGCATTCGGGTTATTTACAACCGTGCAGGTGGAAGCCCTGGCCAAGGAAAGATAAACTTTGATAAGTTTTTGATGGGTAAATCGATGGACAGTTCTGGACAACAAGTTGATGGCTTTTACAAATTCAGTCCGTCTGTAAATATGGGCAGACGAACACCTGCAGTATTTTACTATTCTATTGATAATCTGGTCTTTCAATCCTCGAACGGACTGTTGTCAGAAGGTTTTGGTCAGACAGACAAATGGATAAACATCTGGAACAGCAAGGATACGTCGAATTTTTATCTCTACGCTGACAATAATGAATGTGCCGGGCAAAAATGTATTGCAGGGTACTGCGCCATGAATACACCAATATGGATGATGGTTCGCTGAGCTCGTTGTCAGCACAGACTATAAACTTCTGAACTTTTTTCCTAATAATTCTTCTGAACCTAATAATCGACATAGTTTTTAATGCGTGAAAATACAATCAACACTCTATATAATTTGCGAAAATCTGTGTGATTTTAAATACAATTGTTTGTTATTAACGGCATTGTCATGATCAATGAACCTAAATATAACATAACCTTGATAAACCTCAGTGTGACCAACTCGCCGCCATGTTGGATAGTGAAGAGCACTCTCAGAGGTAACTATGACAACAAATGTTTCCCAAGATGGCGGTAGAAAGTGAAGAAGAAGATCTTGTTATTCGCATGATAAACAGCGCCTCTGCGTTGCGAAGCGAGACTTTAGATCTCGGATCTAAATGTATTTATAAAATTCCAAACGAGATACTAAATTTAAAACATTTAGAGGTAGGTTTATCCCGTAGACTATGGTAAATGTTTGTGCTTGTATTTTATCATTCAAATTTCAAAACATAACCAGTTTAATTTATTGCCTAGTCTCTTCATCTTCAATCTAACTATATAACCGAGCTACCTGACGAATTCTTCTTGAAGCTGACAAATTTAAAATGGCTGGATTTGAGGAATAATCGATTAAGTTCTCTTCCCGTTTCGGTGGGAAAACACAGGTATTCCTAAGTCCTAACTCTATATATTTTGTTATTCCTTGTCAAAATTTTGCGATTATGGCTCTAACATAAATTTAGAACTGAAATAAAGTATATTTCAAGGGTTATTAAGTTGTTTCAACGAGGAAATAGATTTACATTTGAAAACTAGTCCAATAAATTCCCACCATTTTCGATTACCTGGATCATTGCAATGTGATGAAATATACTCTCTCATTATCTTTCAGGACATTACGCAGTTTGTTGTTGGAAGGGAATTCACTGACTCATTTGCCTTGTGAATTAGGTAATTTAACTACATTTGTAGTAGGATAAAATATGTTGTCGTGGGATAAACTATGGAGAATTGTTATGTTACATATTTTTCAGGAATGACAAGGTCAATATGTGGGCTCAGTTTATCTGGTAATCCACTGGAATTTCCTCCATCTGAAATTATTCAGAAAGGAACAAAGGTGAACCATAACATTCCCTAATTTCCAATACCATATCACTGCTAATTGTGTGCTAAATAATGTTTACATGTTTCTAGGAAATCTTGAAGTATTTGAGAGAAATGTGTGACAACTCTGCTTGGACTAAAGGTAAGAATATTGAAAGAAAGCGAATGATAACTTTGCAAACCTGAATCCACCACTCAACTGGTAGAGCATTGCCTGTCATTTTCCACTTTACACACTGTAGTCACGGAAGGGGTTATAGAGAGTGTCTGTGTGTGGGGTTGCTATGAATGATGATTTTCCATTTTAGATGAAGTAAATCCACTTCCAGGGGCTCAAAGTGATGAGGAATCAGATGACACAGACAATACTTCAAGTAAGCAACACTCAGAAATGATTTTAAAGGAATTCTTAACTGATAATCTCAACAATTCTGTAGTTTCTAATATGAAAAAAAAACACAAGTTTGTTGCATGAAAATCAATGATAATTTTCTTAAATTGTGCGCATTATCATGGCTTAAGACGAGAGTGGAACGAAGTATATTTGAACAAAATTTTATATTATCATAAAATCACCGTTTGATGTATAACAATTATTGAACATTTATTTTACCAAAGGAAAAGTTAAAATGCGCATCAATTTCACTGGCTTGTATTGTGAAATCAGTGGTTTTAAAACATATGCCGGATCTTTCATCAAACTATAATCATCATTTTAATTCCTTCGTTCCATTCTCGTCTGCAGATGAGGAATTCCCGGGTACAGAGCTCCCGCGCGCGGGCGAATCTCCTCCGGGCTCTGACCAGCCTTGTAGTCTTGACGACAACCCAAGAAAAATATCATCATTCAAACTGCCACCAATTGTGCGAAATGCCACGACTGTACGACGAAGTAATTCCGAACGCGAGATCGTCAAAGGAAAAACGGTGAAACAATTTGAGCCAGCGCGGCGCTCGACCTGGGAGACAATTATGACGTCATTTAGTGATACGCGTATACCGTTACCATGGAAACGACGTGAGAAACGAACTGAAGAAGCGAAAGAACCTGAGGAGGCAGGCAGTCGAGATGAGAGACCAGCGGATTGCTCAAATAAAACGAAGACAAAAAAATCATCAAAGAAAATCAAGAAGAGGAGAATGAAGAGTGAACATTTGCCACCATTATCAAAATACGAGCCTGATAACATTGCTGGACGTATTGATGATGACGAGCGTCAAGATGAAAATTCTAATACAACTGACACAGTGGATGCAAGCGGTGAAAATGCTTTAATATCACTTGTTCTTGGAGATTTTGTTGCCATAAGAGTTCCCGAGGAACATTTTATCAAAGGTCAGCCTTGTGTTGGGAAAGTTGTTGGGGAAATTGACGAAAGAAACGAGACTTTGGTGCATTACTACACTGGAACATATGATGGAACATTTCGACCAATGATGAGCCGCAGCAGTCCTTATCTTAGGAAAGTTTCCATCGAGAATATTTTATGTAAATTTCAAATGCAATCTAATGGAAGTTTGTCACCCAGTACTGCTATAAGAATACGACAGATGATAGAAAGATCTTCCTCTTGATTCAAGAACTAAATATTCACAGAACTGTAGTTACTAAGGGACAATGCATTACAAGTGTGCTTCAGTGATATATGTAATGATATATAATTTTGTATTTGTATTTTTGTAAGTGTTCACGAAAGGTGGACGTTCATTCATTACTGTAGAAAGATAATTATATTTTCTTAAACCTTAAAATGTTTTCTTTGTAAAATTTGGCCAAAAATGGGACTTTATCAGAGTATGAACATGCACTTTGACATTCCCAGTCAAGCCCTCTGCTGATAATGATGCTAGTCTACACGCATCATTGTAGATAGAGTTAAGATGGTGCAATTCATTAAAATATCTTTCAAAATTATATCTCTAGATCACAGGAAAGGCACGTTGCAACCTTTATACACAACACACGACTTTCCCGAGCCTTTGAACACACCATCGACATTCCATCCACCTCCGAAGAGAATCGACCAGCTACGATATGAATACGACAAGTTACGAGTATCTTCCTCGGGTTCCGAAGAAAGCCGAGGACGTTATGTTCCTCGTAGAAGAGCTAGTGTTGACGAAGTTTCAGATCAGACTCTAAGCGACACAAGGCGCCAAAGAAAGAAATTAGATTCCGTCACGACTCCAGCCAGTGCGACCACCCTGAGAGAGGCAAAGGCGTCACGAGAAAGAAGACTGAGACGAACTGCATCTTTAAACCAGAAAGAATCTGTTTTGCAACAACGAATAAAGTAAGTGGAATGATTTTACTTTTAGAGTTGGGTCTGTGAACATACACATAAAAATACACATTTATGCTTTCGTATCCTAACTCATAAACCAACCTAACTATACTTTCATCTCGAGTCATTTTCACACAAAAAACTCTTTATAATTATGCTGGAACTACTCTGTCATAGGACACATTGTGTACTATCATATCCCGAGTATTTTGTTTCAAAATCTTGCTTCAATCGTGTTGTCAAGATATCAATAATCTTATTTTTATTTCAAGAAACAAACTGGCGTTAGACGACTGGAGAAATACAACGAGAAGCTTACAACAAAAAAAGCAATATCAAGCCTTGAGAAAAGGCGTTACAAAAGGTGTTCATCTTTGAAGATCACGCTCTTCTGTCAATTTTTGCCATGTTTATAAGATGCAACGTCTTTATTTTCGAATATTTTTCAGTCAAAGTACCTTCGCCTTTTGCCACTGAAGATACGGAGAAAACAAACGGAACTCAAAGAAAAGTTCACGAATATAACAAAAAGTTGCAGGAATTGTTGGAACTTAACGACAAGGAAATTACGAAAAAGTGAGTTCAGATACGAAATGAAATATTTTAAATATTTCTGACATGATGTTTTAAAACGGTTTTCCTATTTCGCAGAGTTCTCAAAGATCGTGAACTGGAAACACGAATAAGGAATCACATTGAAAAGATACACGAGCAACGAAGGCCATCTCAGCCCATCTCAGAAGAGGTCGAAGAAACAAAAAACAATTTGGAATTAGTAAGTAAAGACCTTGTTGAAATAAAGCTTTAAACGCCTTCGTTTCAAAGTTTATCTTTGATAGATACGCCGGGCAAGGCAGCCTGGGGCAAAGATCAATTTCAGTGGGGAGTAGTCTTCTTCCCTTCTTTGTCGTCGGTGTCTGTGGGGCCTGTCTTGAGCCTGGGGCCAGGGTATCCATCACCCTCCTCCCCGAAACCATGTACTTACGTAAAATTAAAATCTAAGACTTGCTGTTTTGTTTTTCAGGCTCACAAGTTGCACGAGGAACTGAATGAAAAGAGGGAGATGGAGTATCGTCTACGGGCATTTACTGGCGATGATTTTGTGCTGAATTCTAGATATTATAAAAACCATAGGTAATATTTGAACACTGGAATATAGTATTTAATATATGTAATGTACAGAGAGTTGTTCTACTGCAGTTCAATAAAATTATCAATCATGTTTTTAACAAATGTATGTTTACGAATCATGAAACGTTCACGAGTTTGCCCGGTTGTTTAAGAGTTCATCCGGGAAATCCAATGAAAATTTCATCTCCACAAGTTCACACAAGCAAACTGATGAAATTTCATCACGGCTCGAAAGAGAAAATCTATATAACTGAGTTAAAATGCCCTCAAAAGTAAAATCAACGATATTTGGTACAGTCAAAAACGGATCTATTTGATACAACTTCTGTCATCTTATGACATTCACATTCTACACAAAACTTCCATTCTTTAGTATCCTTTTTGATAGTTCTCGGTCTGAAGGCACTAACGAGAATGCAGAGTTGACTGTCTGAATGTCTTTGTTCCTCAGTGGCGTAGCCAGCATCGATAATTGGGGGGGCCCATATTCATATATTCATGTTAACAGTCTGTAAAGACAATTGATTTGAAAAGAAATTAAACCTGCGTATCACGAATATATGAATATTGGCCCCCCCAATTATCATTCTGGCTACGCCACTGTTGTTCCTGTAAAGTTGATGAAAATGTTGATAATAAATGTTTATGAATGATCTCTGGTATCGTTTAATTCAGAGACTCAGCCATGCAGAGACTGGGGAGAGTATTCATGAGTTAATTGAGGTGGTTTTTAGTCGATATAAATTTTTCTTCGAATTATATCCGTTTGTTTATTAACAGTATTTTTTTGTATGTAAAAGAAAAATTTGAAAAAAAAAATTTGAAAGAACCTAAAAACACCCAAAAGAGATCATCCAGCCTATGCCACAATCTAACCTGGTTATACAACCGGCTGCAATATACAGCATAGTTACAACTACGAAAGGTGCAAGGACAGTTGCTATAGGAAGAACTCCCCCCCATAACTCACATCTTAACGGCCGTCTAAGGGGGAGATGCACTACGGCCCCCAGACCATGATGTATGTGCACCTAACCGTTACGTCTCAGTGAGAAACAGAGTGGGCTGTATGCCACACGCCTAGCGCGTCATAGACGAATCAGCTACAGTGGCAAGCCTTGAGAGCGAAGATAAATTTAACGTATTTAAGCTTTTCCTGGTCTCGGGGGGCGGTCCCTAACAAGTATATGCATAGAAAACGACAAATAATGCACACGCTTGGAAATGTAAAGATTTAAACGCCTAAACGTTTTTTAAGTGTTTTTAGCGAGAAATGGTCGTCCGACCATTTGCCATTTTTCCCCAGACCATGTTTGTGCACCTAACCGTATACTTTGTGCCCCAATCCTAGCGCGTCATAGACGATCAGATACGTGGCGAGCCCTTAGAGCGAAGATAAATTTAACGTATTTAAGCTTTTTCTGGTCTCGGGAGGTGGTTCGTAAAAAGTATATTGATAGAAAACGACTAATAGGGCACGCTTGGAAATGTCAAGATTTAAACGCCTAAACGTTTTTAAGTGTTTTTAGCGAGAAATTTTAGTGTTTTTATATTCTATTAGAAATCTTATTGTTTTGAAACAATCCTTGTTGGTTTTTAACGTCCAAATAGTCATTTTCTCGAAAGGAAACTCAATATAAATCTAAAATGTTTTGTAAATTTTGTGTATCATGAAGTATGTTGATTAAAGGTAGTGTGGGCGCATGTTATTCAAAATTTAAAATGAAAGTTTCAATTTTTAAAATCAAATATTTTATTCATTTTATTTGTTTTTACGACTGGAACTAGTTTTTTAAAGAAACTTATGGTAAGTGTAATCGTATTTTTGGAAGTATACTATATTTTTTTAAATAAAACTTTCGCATATTCTGTATTATATTGAATAACTACTGCGCTGCGCACAAATCACTCTTAGTCTCTTACTGGATAATTCATAATTGATAATTCATTTTTTACCAGTCATTCATTTCAATCATTTGTTTATTCCAGTGCAATGCCTACAAATCCGAGGGTAAAATATCATCGTGTGAACGACACTGATGGTTATGTGGATGCTCAGGTATAAACTCGTAGCTTTTAAGTAAGAAACACTGTTTTATCCTGCTAATTGAGCTCGAAGTCTTCATCCAGAGTGCATTCCATCAACGTCACACCTTGGAGCATGAAATGGACCCTGATTTAGAACTGTTTCTATCAATTCTAGTTCAGAAAGCCACCACCAAAAGTACCTGTAAAAGCTATCTGTTTGGCTAGTGGTCTTTTTTTTGTGGGAACTATTTTGCTAGTTGTTGGCTCCTTGCTCTTCAGTGGTTATTTTGATGTCAAGGTATTTACATGCTTCTTGTGTTTTCAAATGAAACCTATTTCCCTTCCCTTCGAACACTCCTCCCTTATAACCTTTCTATATTCTTCTCCATCAACCTCTCTGTGGCCCCTAATAATACAACCCATTCCTTAACCTCCAACAGTCAATTCTTCAACTCTTCAATCTATAATTCATTTATTTGTAGTTCTCTATCAAATTCCTCTCATTTGCTTGTCTGATGTAAATTGTAAAATATTTGAAACATTGTATATTTCTAATATTTTTAATTTTTTCTAGTATGCTGACAGAACTTATCCCATGCTAATTCTTGGCTCTCTGATGTTCATCCCTGGTTTCTATCATGTCAGGATTGCATACTATGCGTGGAAAGGCTACCGAGGATTTTCTTACGATGACATCCCTGATTTTAATTGAGGTATATACAATCTGTGTGTGCAGACAGCTCTCTAGTAAAACGAGACACAATCATCACATCAGCTAACAGATTGCTCATCATGGAGGCTGCGTGCATGCACATATTAAAGGACTATTTAAATGATACAATATATTTATAAATAAACATTGTTATTCTCTGCACAAATGAAAACAAGTTCCAATTCAACATTTCTGAATGCATGCCAACACTGCAACGTTTACAATCTCAATGGAAAGATAATGTTAGTAAATATTTCATTCAAGCTTCTCATTTGCAAATTGGCTCACAAGAAGAAAAACAATCAACCTGTTAAAGCTTGCAGACAATCAGTTGTTAATATTGTAAAGAAAAGTGCACATTAAAACTGTAGAATATTACATATACATACTAAAGACAAAATTATAAAGAGATTTAATTCATACATTCCCTATACTATGTCTGTAGTAATGTATATATTATGCGAACATGGAAATATAATGTTTGCTGTAGTATATATTTGAACATTAAGCCCATTTTGCCCATGGCAGTGAAAGGCTCATCCTAGTTAGTATTCCATTACATTAGCTGGTTAGAAAATCAATTCGTGCGCGCGCTTCTTTTCCAGTACGTACGTCCATACCGCTGACCTTAATTTCTGTATCCCAAAATGTCATTGTCGCCTGCAGTTCACGTGGTTTATCCTGGTCAACGGTTTCTACCTCAGGCAACTCAATTCTCAGTTGACCGCACTTGCGCACATTGTCGTCCGTTATAAACATCACCTCCTTGTCTTCCGTGCAGTAAAGATTGAGCGTTGTGTAGTTCAGACCTTTCTTAGCAGGGGCATAACTCCGTGTGACCTTATCTCCGAGGGTGATAGCCTGATCCGCTATCACGAACTTATCAAAGACATCTGTGCACCACATTATCCCGTTTCTACGCACGATTTTCTCCCGGGGATGTTTCCCCGGGATGAATTTGTTAAGGACGCCGACCCCATACGTCAACACAGAGCGTCGGACTCTAATCACAGTTGGATCGAGGCCAAACAAGACCGCACCTTTCAGGATGGTTAATCCGACATCATTTGGTATGATAACTCGCACCTGGGAGGAGAATGCGTCGCGTATTGCGTGTTGGAGAAGCGGCGACTCCGCAAAACCACCAACAAGAAACAGAAACTTCACGTCGTTCACGTTCGGGCTGTTCAATAAATCCCGAACATGTCTTACAATGTCTTGTAGAACTGGATTGAATAGTTCATACATGATCTCAGGAGCTAACCGTAGCATACCTTGACTCGACCACTTCACGTTAGGATTGCTATATTTCTTCACAGCTGATTCAATACTCGATGTTTTGTGATTTTTTTTATAATAATCGATGAAAGAGAAAGGCATTCCTAGATTCATCCAGTTGTTCTTACTTGGACTGCTGTTTCGTTTCTTCGCCTCAAACGCAATCATAAGATCAACCCAGCCTGACGGACGTTTTAATTTGAATTGCTCGATGAAATCTTTGCCGAATATTTTCTTGAGTAGGGTCTCAAATTGATCATCAACGCCTGTAATAAGATCATTATGTATTTCATAAACCACGACGTTTAAACGGTCTTTCTTTGCAAACTACCTCATGCAACACCTTAGTAGTGAAATCTTTACAAGAATATCTTACCAGTAGCACCACAAGGTCCTCCAGTTCCTTTGTGGAGTTCTCTCAACACTCCAGAATCATTATCGAGCTCATGAACTGTCAGATCAACCGTTCCTCCTCCACAATCAACAACCACGTATTTTGTCTTTCCTGTGAGAAAAACAAGATTTCTGCGATAAAATATCATGAAACGAAATTGATCAACATTCATTCTAACATTCAGAGGGGCTGTTTACATGAGCCCGGTTACCCGAGATTCAACGAAGCACGAGAGGCCTTTGAGGTATTGAAATAAGTCTTTATGACACCAAACAAGCACATGCTATTGTTGTGGTGATTATACGACTGCCAAGATCATGTTATCTACTCATTTCAATACCTCAAAATCATCTCACGCTTCGTTGAATCTCGGGTAACCGGGCTTATGTAAACAGCCCCAGAGTCATAATAGTCGACTCAATTCCCATCTGAGCTCATTTTTGTCCACTGAGAATAATTTTTTCTCACAAGCCACAGACGAATTTTTCGCGCACATTTCTTGTGCAGTCATAATCTGATGTACCTTCAAACTCGCTTCCAATCTCCCAGTCCATCATCGCCCCCACCACAGACTTTCGTTTCACCTCGTCTAGAACACAGTCTCTCATACGCAGCTTTCGGCAGAATATCGATGCAGCTTCTGGTTCCAGCGCGATGATCACTCGTTCTGGATTGTCGTATTCTGTCAGACCAGCCTAAACAAGTTCATCAAAACGGTGTTAGTCTCTTCACCCCAACTCTTGAAGGGTTTGCTTGCTTCGTAGATTAAATACCCGAGATTCAACGAAGCACGAGATGATTTTGAGGTATTGAAATTAGTCTTTATGAAACCAAACAAGCACATGTTATTATTGGAATGACTACACGACTGCCAGGATCATCTTATATATTCATTTCAATACCTCAAAGTCATCTTACGCTTCGTTGAATCTCGGCTAAGCGGGATCATGTAAACAGCCCCTCATTTGATCAACTTATACAATTACATTGTAAGCTGCTTTTCTCATGAACTGTTTAGCGCCAGCCTTCCATATTGCGGGGACTGTAATCACCCAACATATATCATTAGAAACAAGCTTTGTGGACATTTGATCCGACAATTCCTCCAGGACGTGGTCTTTGAAAAACCGCAGTGAAAAGCTGAAGACATCGATAGCTTTGATGGATTTACCATTGGCTGCTTTAATTTCCGTCTCCTCGCTTAGACTCTGAAAAAAAAAGTGGTAATACTCGTAAATTTATTCTTAATACGAACGAAATGTTCTTATATTTAAGAATTAAGATGAATCTTTAAGCATATCGGTGTGTTCTCCTCTTTTGGTTAATTTAGAAAATAAAAAAACAAATCTGACAAGTTTCCTGTCAAGATGAAAAGAAATCGTCGAATCAGGAAATTCCATGCATTTGAACAAGCGGTTTCGGAAACTTCGAGTTATCGACATCCGGGATTTTAATCTCTGCATGCTCTTGTACATCAGTTTCATTCTAATAGCAATCTATTTTCATTTTCCTAAATCAAAAACCGTTTAGCTCATTCCTATCTAATACCCAGATAAAATATGATAATGAAAATAAAATATATACCTCGTTATCATACAATTTCATTTTAAATTTCTCGAAGTACAAGTATTTCTTCGCTTCAGCCGGCTCCAGATCGTGGTAGAAATCTCTAGCGCCAAAGCCGAAGGAATGAAAATGTTTATCAGGTGTCAGAAGCAGGGTGGTGGGTGTCTTCGTGTTGCTAACTCCAGGGTCCCCCCCTTCCCATCGCCGCATCATATGAATGCTCTCAGGGTCACGGGTAAAGGCGAAGGCATACCCGCTATATGTCGTGCCAAAATCAATCGCAGCTATGACCAGGTATTTTGATAATGTTATCGCATCGCGTGTTGGTAAACCAGAATCGTAGGAACCTTGCATCGAGTCACGATCGACAGACGATGTTTCTGAACTTTTACTGCTTTGTGAACCTTTACGTTTTAGACTTGTTGTGTAGTCAATAAAAACTTCTTTATGACTGGATCCCTCGCCGTCTGTCGAGTTATCTAGCACAGAATCATTGCTATCCGAAAATGTTTTTGTCTCAACGAATTCCGTGTTTACAGCAGTTTGATGAATGTCTGTGGAGGTGTAGTGTTTCTCATTTACATTATCTGAATCATTACTGTTCCAAATGACTGCCTCTGATAGTGGATACTCTGCAGGAGATGCACTGTCTTCGTTTTCCATGCTTGATTTTGAAGAGCTTGCTTGCAAAGTTGCCTCCATAGTTGGTATTTGTGGTTCCTGGACGATATCATCGTCTTCTGTGTCTTGTGTTTCGGTATCTCCAGGCTTGTCTTCATTCAAAATTTCTCCCACAAGACAAGCTTCAATCGTCTCCTCATTTTCGTTCAAACTCTCACTGGAATGCGTTTGTTTCGAGACTGACAAAATCTGAAAACATAATATTCGAAATATTCCAGAATTGTTCTAGAGAACCCTTGTAACCACTTCGTATACCTTCTCATCAAATGTCGTATAACAACTGTATAACTTTTCGTTTATCTGAGGAGGTAGTTATATAACATTTGTTGAAAATATTTTATATCAAAATAAAAATATTTGATTTAACATATGAGAAACGTTTTTCCTCTCTGAGATGAGCTCAACGTCTTATTTTCCTAAATCAGAATAAAATGATTCGTTTTGATGGAGTTTGGAGTCGTTATAGCCGTATAGAAATCGTGACCGGTTATGAAACTCTTGTGACAATTATCATTTATCTGTCACCAGCCGCATGCATGATTGATTACGAGAATGCTTACTAATTTAAAACACGAAACAACTTAGTAGAGAGAGAGTTAAACTGCATGACCCCTTAAATACCTGACCAATTCTGATCTGGCATCAAACCCATTCGCTGTTTATAAGCTACAAGATTTCTCTGAACAACATATAGTTGAGATTTCAGCAGGAGAATTAAAGAAGCAATATTAAGTCTATTTACAGACAATTGGTTGTAAAGTCTGTAATCGCCTGAAGAATGTCCTATGGCTGGTTTTAATTTCATATTTCGTTTATTTTATTTGAACGAAAGATAGATTTTCCAACGAGCTAACCGAAAACTATTTGAATATTTTGTTAGGAGTGTGATTAAGGAATTTAGCTTACCCCCTTGGAATGTTCAAGGCTGGTTTGTGAAACTATCCGCGAAATGGAGACGTTTGAGTTCCTATCGTGTTCTTCTTCCATGGTGATCAAAGATGGTACATCAGCAAAGCTTATGTCAGAATTGTTATCTTCTTCTAAATCACTGACAGAGTACAGCGATGAATCACCATCTATCTCATCTTTTGGCAACGTCAATCTGTCTTCAATACCTGTCCAAGATTCGTCCGACCTTTTTTGATCTTTTAGTCCTTCTTCGTCCGAGGAAATTGATAATATTTCTTCAGCATCAAATTCTTCACCGTCAGAGGGGTAGCTTGTCGCTAATGTGGTCCCTCCTTTATCAGGTTCCATATTTCACTTAATTTTCACACACACAAAACAACGCGGAAAATATCTTAGTGTTTATCAATCACGACAGCCGATTGTCATCGTTAATCACTCGTAATCTCCTTGCGAAATGACTTGGCTGTTAGCTTAGCAAACAACGATATAATAGATGATCTTTTACGCTTTCTTGAGATGTCGCGAGTGTGTGAACCTCTGGATTTAATCTTGCTAAGCACAGCTAAGGTGCACAAATAAACACTGGTATCCTGCTGGCTAAATTTGTCAATTAACAAAAGTATAATTTATAACCATACATTTAACATTCTAAAAATTATAAAAAAATGGATATTTTTAAATGAATTTTATTTTTGTAGAAAGATCCATTAATTAGATGGTAGTTTGGGGACAAAGCGCTAGGAATCAACTAGATTTAGTAAAGTTTTCTGTAAAGTTGGCAGTCTCATCAAGCGCCCAGCATGAGTTTTTGCATTTCTGAATAAGATCTTTGTCATAATACATATTTAACGTGCTGAATATTATGATGTATTGCGTGATATTTTAATAATGAATCAGTTTCTGTTTTTAAACAATTACCCAGAGTCTTTTGCTCTTGCCAGCCTTGCATCAAATTTGAAGTTTGTTTTAATGGTTACGGAATTCAGACTACGAGCAACGACAGAATTGGTTAACCTTTCCAAGACGACGGTGAGGTGGCAGGAAATACTGTTGGAAAATAAGCCTTTCATCTCTGTTGGAAAATTTGGCTTGAAGACATGCATAAGAAATGACTATTAATAGATCAAACTGTTAAGGATGCTTTAGCATCAAATGTGGTATAACAACTGCCTAAAATAGACAAAACACTTCTCGACGTTTCGACCTTGAGGGCCTTCGTCAGGAGAGTTGTTATAACAGTTGTTATACCACATTTGATGCTAAGTTGTTTGAAGACGCTGCTCCCTGGTTATATTGTTAAAAATGTTGCCGTTTTTTGTTGCCAAGGTGCGAATCAAAAACAATTAGCCAAAAAAAAGAATACAAAGAATGTGTGCACGGTGCACATGCAAAATAGCCGACCTCAGTTTTAAAGACCGCGACTCCTAGGTCCCATTTCGAGTCGCCTTAATTAATGTTTGCGTAAACGCTGGCGTCAGTGTAATTAATAAATACCATTGAGCTAGACAAACGTAGTGCAAAGCCTCGTTTGTTGTCCTACCAGTTGGGTTTTTGTAGTGAAGACGATGGAAGGAACAGGTCGCGAAAAAAACTCGATTGATTATTGAGTGCTTCGTCATGTTAGTGATGATTTACTCGTATTAATATCAAGGTGGGTATCGATGTAGTCAGGAAAGTTTCATAGCGACGTAGCGGATGCATGTTTTAAGGAAGAAAAGCCATTAATGGGAATTTTTCTAACTGTTTAAAGTATCCGTTAGTTAACACTGACAAGCGATGTAAACCTCTAATTGTTTGTTAGGAAAAGTTTGAACTGAAATTAAGCAGATTGTGAATTCGGAAACACACACGATGTGAAAATTGATTATAGCTTTCGATGAATATCCACGAGATCATTTAATCCTTGGGAAAACAAATCCCGAAATTTAAAACCGAAAATCCGTAAGCTTTTGTGTAACCATATTTACATAATTTTGTAACGATAGGAATATTCTCTAATTCAGGTAAATCGAAGATATATAGCTTAGTATTTTGGTCACAATGTGACTACACTGCTTCTGTAGTCAGCTTGTTCACAACATCTTTCTCATTCAGTTTCACGTTTTGACCACAGCATGACGAAGTGGGCAACTTTGATCGCAGTTTTAAAACAAAAGAACTACGAGGATGCCCTGGAAGAGCTTGCAGTGATTCAAAACTACGATGATTTACAAGATGCGTTGCAAGTTTTACCTTTCAAATCTCTGAATCAGGATTTGCCGACAAGTTTGGTACTTTTAGAGAAGCTATACGCAAAGTTTATGTTGTTTGCGACCGACAAAGACGAGGGAAGATTGATAATACGCCATGTGTTTAAGGTGGATTTTCTCTTGAGAAACTTTATTCAATTTGAGGTTGAAAATGCTTTGATTGGTGGGTTGGAACGGAACATGGAATGCGAAGATTTGATTGGTCACATAATGCAGGTGACATTCTCAATGGACAGGAGCGTTGTTGAGGAACTAACAAGTTATGGTACCAGGTTAAAATCCGCGCTTGAACATTATCAGAATTGCAAAACGTTGATAACGGATTACGGTTTCGACGTGGATGACATCAAAAGCAATCTTCAAACTTGTTTGACAAAATATCATTTCTTTATTCATAATCTTGAGTCTCTTATCAGAGTAAGCAAGAGGAAGCACAGTGAGGGTAAAGGATGTACAGTGGTGTACAAGGGGGGACACGATACTCCAAGGAAAACCAGTAAAACACGATACAACTCCAGTCACCTCACGCGCTCAAAGTCATTGGTCACAGATGTTACCTCACACAGAGGAAGTGTGGAGCGAGTACGCAAGAGACTGGTGTTTAACCAGGCTGTACTGGATGTTATTGAACCTTGCAAGGAGGATATTGAACAAGGGCCACGCTTGCTTCAAAATTTAAAAGAACTAGTCGAGAATGACAATAAAGTATGTTTCCTTTCTTTGTGACAGTTTGTGTCATCATCTCTTGTATGATTACCAACATACTGCTAAAACCAACTGAACGTTTCGCTCTAAAATTTATATAATATTTTCTGGTTTTAGTTTCTAGATGCCATATCTGAGCTCTCTTCACAAATATCAAGTCCGTGTTTCGCTCATATCAAACTGGAAAGAATTCTCAGCCATTTTATAAATTCATACGACACACTTCTTTCATCAGTAGCGTCTTTAAATGAAGCAAATTTAATTGAGACTGAGGAATCTGGCCAAAAACGCGATGGTATTTCTAGAACGGAGGACGACGAGAAATGTACTTTCAAAAAGGAAGAAAAGCCAACCACGGAGGACACACAAACTGGGCTGGTTAATAATGGCCTGAAGATTGACGTTACGACGCCCTCACCGTTTTACCGACGTTTGAAAGCGAGACGGCCCCTAAGGACACATTCTTGCAAAGAGCCAGGCTCAGGTAAAGAAGAATAAGAACCCTGGTAACAAAGAATGACCTTTAATTGCCAAATTTATTTCTTCAAATTATTCACGATTCATGTGGTTTGTATATATTTACTTGATTGGTTCCTGCGAATGCAGTCTTTGATCTTGTTTTTAGAAAAGCGAGCAGAAATTTTACCAAGAGTTCATCACAAGAACGAGAGTGAAGTTCAAGAGTCGAAGTTAAAAGAGAAACTGGAAATGAAAGATAAACAACTGACAGAAACACGAGCTTTGGTAAAGAACTTGAAGAAACGCGAGGAACAGTTGTTGGAAAAGTAACATAAAACTGTGTGTGTGGCTGGTTTGCAGCAATAGGGAATTTTCTGTAATTCGTTTCATGTTATCATATTCCAGATTAACAGCACAAGCCAAGAACCATTTGTTGAAAAGCGAGAAATTTGAGAACGTTTCTGCAGAGTTTCCACGAACGGAACAACTGATTAGGGAATATGATGACTTGTATTCTCAATCACGACTTGAGGCGATGGACGATTTGGATGACATTGGGAGTTTGAATTGTCTCGAGAGAAGTGATGAGATCAAATCACAAATAACATTTGCAGTTATGGTGGTAAGTTTTTCAACTCGACCAATTAGGATTTCAGTGATTGATAATCGAGCTCAATTTTGTGAATTTGACCCATTTGATTTCAACCAATACAGGCAATTGATTGTAGGATTTACCTGAGAATGTAATGGCATTGAAAAGAGAATTTTATTAGGTATCTTTCCATCTTGTTGGACAAGAACTTGAGAGCAGAAAAATGAAGATTTACGCTCTCCTTGGAATCAAACAGGAGAAAAAAGACGAAGACGAGTATGCTTCTTTAAAAAACGAGATCACACTTCAGTTTAGGAAATCTGCAAGTGAAATTGATCTCAAACATATTGTTGATGTAAGCTGAACATAATACGATATACTGTTCAGTGAATTGTAATAAAACCTGGAACGATAATTACGCCACCATCTTTTTTGATGCCAAAATTGAACATGGCTTTTCTGATTTCAATGCCCGAAGTATAGTTTTGAACTATAGGCATTATCGTTGCAGGTTTTGTTATAGTCACTCGTACTGTTTCATCACGTCATCCAGACAGTTCATAATGAACGTACTGATTTTCTATTTAGGAAGTATTGGATGGACTATTATCAACAATGTTTGAGTTCTCTGAGCTCTCTTTGTGTCAGCAATTACGGCATTTCGCGGAGGCCTGTGTACGATTCTCATGGACTATTTCAACTCGTGTTCAACCGCTGATATTAAGTTACGACGATACAAGCTTTACGTCATCAAGCCACAGCAAATCTCATAACTCTGATAAAGATCGCAACGCAATAAGATATCATGTCTGGCCAGCGTTATTAGACAGCCAGACAAACGCAGTCTTATTTAAAGGCATTGTGACAACGTAGTTTTCGCCCCTCGTTCCACTGCAGGCCAAGGAGTGACGAATAGCTATGTCGCAGCAAGGGGCAGATTTTGCGAAGCTCGTTTTCTTCCGTGTCGAACGGACTTGTAAAGCTTGTTCAACACAACATTAATATTTTGATAATTTCGTTTATAGTAGAGTTCATTGGTTAGTTTTTGCCGCAAATCTGTCCATGCCATCATATTCTGCATACATTGCGCAGCGCAAAATACATGACGTCATTAGGGTAACGATATTGCATATTAAAATGATATTTCACTGACAATATGGTGTGTGTCTGTAATATTGACCACAAAACACAACACAACAATATGAAATTTAATCGTGGAATAAAAGAACTTTAATCAGAGGGATGTGGTGTTATAACCTCCCGAAAAACCATGGCTTACTGCTTTCAATCTTCATTATTGTGGTTGAAATAGACTCGTTATCTTCGTCCACGGCTAATTGTAAGTGTGAACGGGTCGTAGCGAATGCCAAATGTTCACAACAAACCGGTTGCAAAGTCGTTTGCAATAATGGATATTGGGGAAAAAAATGCGAATTTGGACGGATAAGGTACTTCTCCCTGTTTCTTTACTAATTTAAAAGCTTGAGCGACATAGTTCGTCTATTAAATTTGACCTAATATTTGCCTACTGCTCGGCAAACAGTGCCAAACACTCAAAATCAGCTACAGTTTTAAAAGTAATTGCATTTTTAACTGTTCAAAATTTGCAATTTTGAGTATTATTACTTGAGATAATTCTACTACAAAGTGGTCGAAACGTTCAACTTTCTAAACTTGTTTTATTAAACATCTCAAAGAACACAATTTTGTTATATTTTATATTGTATATATTGTTAATACAATACATAGAATATGATATTCGGACCCTGGGCTAATACCGCTTTAAAATTATTGTTTTTATATTTAAACTTGAATGTTATAGTTTATTTCTGGCTGACAGTTGTTCAAGATTTTATTAAACATTTCTGAAATGCTTAATTAATTTTTTAAAAGGAAAAATAAAGACTGAGTGTTTGTTTAAAATATTATTGTTGAAGACTATCCAACGATGAGTTACTTTGCTGTCAAGTTTATATTTTGAATCATTTTCTGCAGGTCTTCTCTGACATTGACATAATTTGTATCAATCATGTTGCAAATATCTCCAATGCTGCAAATCTGTTTTGTTCTTCTTACAAATAGTAATAAAACTAGTACAACTATTTTTTGAAAGCAAGGGGAATGAATGCAACATCGGTGTTGATATATTGTCAGGAGAAATACTGTAGAATATTTTTTGACATAGTGTCACAAGACTGAATTACCTGTTTAAAAGTACATGTAAATTGAGAGGTGGAGTTTTTGAAATAAAGATATTATGATAACCTATGTGGGTATACTGACATTGGTTATGTAATATAGTATGTGACTCACAGCTTAGATGATTTTTGTCTATAATTTGGCCTGATTTCCATATTATTATTTCCTTCGTCATTATCTCTATAAAAAGGGCTTTGTTCAACAGTTCCTTATGCACTTAAAAGGCTTTTATCTGTTATATATCAAGAAATACTTTCCTATATACCTAAATTAATTTACCCACGCACTATTTTTACACTCATCTTGTATAGGTATCCTATGGCAAAACTGAAGCACTAATTATGGCTTTTAAGAATATTTTTGGAATTAATTCATAATTATCATTTAATATTTTAGACTGACTAGTGAATCAGGGTACATAACAGAAGGCATTGGTGATTATTCTGTTCATTCCAAATTTATGTGGCTAATTGATGCTGGAAATAGGTAAATACCATGAAGGATTTTTCAATATTTACACAAAATTTAAATTGCATCGCTGTATTATGATTTTCCTTGAAAGATAAGCATCATTCTCCCCCAATTAGTCTCGAAAAAAAATCATGATAGATGTTTATTTAATATTATTGAAATATGTTTAACATATTACTTCAATGTTTCTGTATTTTAGATTGAATGCTAACATCCATTTTCAAATCGAGGAATTTTTTACCGAGTGTAATTGGGATTATTTATATATTTTTGATGGAGACTCCACATATTCACCTCTCCTGGCCACTTTAAAGTAAGGAAGCTGTGCAAATCAGCTGGGAAATGATTATTTCCAGACAAGTTGCATCACATATCAGCTTTAGATACCTGTCAACATTAAATCTTTTTCAGTGGCCATTTGACAAGTGATGTTAATTCGACTCATCTTGGACGGATACCACAAAAAATCATTGCAAAATCTGGAAAAGCCTTCATATATTTCTATAGTGACCTTGGAGTCGCCAGAAAAGGATTCAATATTTCATATAGGTATAAAATTTTTGAATATAGTCTATAATCATCTGGCATCATATCAATCATATGTTTACCCTGTTATATTTCTGAAGCACCTAGTTGTGAATGTTTGTTGTATGCATTTTGTTCCATCTAATGTTAGACAATTTTAGCTGTGAAGTACCACTTATTATTATTAAGGTAAATTTTTTATTTCTTTAATATCTTTCAGAATAATAGAAAATTGTCCTTGTCTCAATGGGAGTTGTACCACAGCAGGTCTGTGTACATGTGATGCTGGCTGGACTGGTGCTCTCTGTAATATGAGAAGAAATTGTTCAAGTACTTCATGTACGAATGGTGTTTGTAATAACACATTAGGAATCTGTGTTTGCAATGACGGTTTTACAGGTAGGTAAATCTTTAATTATCTCTATCATCAGTTTCATGCCTATAGCCAAGTGAAAATGAAAATGTAAGGTAATTTTTGTTTCTGTGGGTAATTTCGTTACAGGTGATGATTGCAGTCAATCTGTCACATCATCTTATTGGACCAGTCTAAAAATAAGAAAGTCAGGCAAGTTGTATATCAATATCAATTTTAAACCATGTTTTTTCATTCATCATCTTTTAAATAACAAGGAAATTCTCATCCTCTATGTACAGATGTTGATATTCCTCCAAGATCCTCGCACACAGCTGGGATCATTGGGGATCACATGTGGGTGTATAATGGATACAGGTTCTCGGACCCTAAACGTAAACACCAAGACTTGTACAAATACAATCTCAAGGACAAGACTTGGTCAAGGTTGACACAAGAGAATGAATTAATATGGGGTCATTCAATGATTGTTTATCAGGTTAGTTCCAGCTCTCTCCTTCACAGACGCTTCAAAACATTTGAGATTAGTTTCTTTCTGAACATAAGTTTTTTTACATTTTCCAGGGAAAGCTCATTGTATTTGGTGGTGAACGGATTAAAGATGCAAGAATATTGAATACGCTGGCAGTATTTGATACAAACTCTAGTCAATGGAGTTATCCAGATCTGTTAAATTCCAGTCAATCAATCCATCCCATTGCTGTTACTGGTCATACTGCTACACTAGTTGAGGATAAAATGATTGTCATCTTTGGTTTAACTAAAACTGGATTATTTCCTGGAATACAGGAATATGATATTGGTAAGACTGCGCAGAAGCGTTTGCCAGTGATATTTGAGCTAATTCAAGTTATGAAATGAGAAACATAAAGTCATCTTTGATTTCTTTTTTTATGGCATAGAATTCTGCACGTAAAAAAGTCTTAAAATCAATTTACTTTCTTTAGTGAACGCTAAATGGAACATAATTCAAGACACATCAGCTCGTGGTAATCCACGACATGGTCACTCCAGTGTTTACGATCCGTTTTCCAGACGAATCTATGTTTATGGTGGTGTTGTCATGGAGAAGAATTCATTCGTCGCTTCGGATAGCTTGATGGTTTATTTTCCACATTCTAGAACTTGGTAAATGCAGAACCTTGTTGGGGAACTTTGAATGATGAAAGTTACGACTTGTCTGTGCAACAAATATTCCATATTTCTTATAAACTGCCTTAAACAAGATGTTTTAGGAATGCAAAAAAAATTATTCCTCGTCTTCCTTGGTCTTCCTCGTTCTATAAACTTTACGTCTTTAGATAAACCCATCAAAGTTTTTTAACAGTAGTGAAAAAAAAACTATCTTCGACATTTTGAATTAATTTTTCTCCAGGGCTGAATTAGCGGCAAGTAAATATCGTCAGACTCTCCATTCAGCTGTTCTAATTGATCGCATGATGGTTGTTTTTGGTGGAAACCCTTATCTTGATTATAAAACCCACCCAGCCAAATGTCACACGACAAAACTTCACGTATATGATCTGAGTGAGTTATCTTTCTTTGTATCTTTGTAAAATGTATTGTTACTATACCAAAAAAACAGATTATTTAAGAAATATATAACAACTCTTTTAGCTTGTCAAAAGTGGTACTCTGAAAATCTACCACAAGTTGTTCAAACTATGGCACGCTATGGACACACAGCTGTCGATAAAGAAAGGTTAGTGGTCATATTTTACTGTCCATTAGTGTCATTGGAAATTCTCATTTCTAGACTACACCTTGAGGTATTACAACCTTCTTGTTGTCTTACAATACTCACATTCTTGCGTAGAACAATGTATATTTTTGGCGGTTTCAATGGTGCGCTTTTCAATGACGTATTAACCTACACTCACGGTATGATTTTAAAATATTTGAAATATGTTTCTGTCGATGATAAAGTTGCGATTCACCGCAAGCTTATTCTCAAGAGACAGACGAACCCCCGTCACTTCTCTGCTGCTATTTTGATTGTTCTAACAGGTGATTGTGAGCGAATATTAAACAAATCAGAGTGCATGGGAAAATATTTTTCTGCTGGATGCTATTGGAACAAAACGAAATGCGTGAACAAGGAAAGTTTAAAGTCTTCTCCACAATGTCCAGGTATTAGTTTCACTGAGTTCTAACTCACCGAATGTTCTCATAAAATATCCCCAACATTATATACTCTTTTCAGGAACCTGATTTCAGCCACTCGCATGAAGTTTGCACATGAATAAAAGGGGCGGATGCTATAGACATTTTCTGATAAAAACATAATTTCTTCTTGTGTTTTAGTCATGTATCAAACACCTTGCAATGAGACGAAATCTTGTGATGAATGTAGCTCCAATCCTAAATGTGGCTGGACTAACGAGACTTGTCAGGTAAAAGCTTAATCGCAACGCTATATAAGATTGACCATAAAATTATCTGCCCGAATAATAAACTAACGACTGAATTGTTAGGTGTCTTCACAGGCACACGGGAGCAAGAAATGTCCGATAATCTCTGAAGATATTTGTCCATTCTTCTCCAACTGTGCCAGTTGTAAGACTGCTGGATGTTACTGGAACGACAGCAAAGGATGTCGAAAAGACAGAAATAATCACAGTAAGGGAACCTTGTTTTCTCGAGGAGAAACTGTTAGCAATAGACTTTTCTACCGCCTCCTTTATACCTCCAGAATTGACCGAGTCATGCAAGGTCTAAAATATTTGTTCCACATGGTTTCCCATAGATTGCAGCAGCACATGTACTGATCTCAAATCACCGCAAACATGTGTGTCTCGGTCGTGTATTTGGTGCGAGAATATTCAGCGCTGTGTTCATGATGATATGTACGTTGTTTATTATCCTTATGGACAGTGTTTTGAATGGACAACTCGTAAGAGCGATCATGAAGGTTAGTAGTCTTTAAGCTTGTATGACTTGCTCTCTGAGATCTTGTAGATTGAGTGGTGGTGTATTTCTGGTGATATCTGCATGCCACTGTTAAGGATCTATTCACATGTTCCATCAATGCTGGCTTTTGATGAGTAGTTCGTTTTATATGGTGTTCATCAATGGACTAACTAACAAACTCTCGTTTAGTTATAACATGTGAGAGTATGGTTACTTGTCGTGATTGTCTGACACTCCCCAGCTGTGGTTGGAGAGAAACTCCGATGAGAAGTGGAGCTGGTGATTGTCTTGAAGGAAGCGCAAGCGGTCCTAGAGATGGCTCGAATTATGGTTACTGGCATTTTATTGACTGTCCATGTAAGTCGTGGGCACATGTAGTTTCCCTATATCATTTGAGCTTTGAGAACGGGTATATCTTTGGGGAAGTGAAATTCAATCCAACGTTATTTAACCATCCGTATTTTCATGCATTTAACTTCAGTGTGTCAATGTAATGGGCATAGCAATTGTTCTGTCAATTCCAGTGTCTGTCTGAACTGTCGTGATCATGCAACAGGTAAAATCATACAAAACCATGCATGTGTGTGTAGGTGTGTGTCGTCTTGTAATCCTCCTCTCTCATGGTTCCATGATAGTGCAACGATAAAAGGATTTATTTTCAGTTTTCAAAAAGCTCTAATGCATGCAAACAACCACTAGATCGCCGTTTATCTTGCATGAGCTCAGTTATACTTTTTACCCTTGTTTGAGGTTTAGAGACCAAGAAAACGCCCTAAGAAAGTCGATTCTTTCATAAAGGATGTCTTTACATCACTCTTTCTTCAAATTTGTAGGAGAGAAATGTGAAACTTGTGCTTATGGGTATTATGGTAAATCACTTAATGGCGAGAAATGCAAACGTAAGTTTGTTACAGATGTTAGAGAAAACATCTAAATTAAGAACACTGGTACTCATCATAAGAACAACATAATTGGTAATTAGAACATTAGAACATCCTAATTAGAAGGGATAATCACTACGGTTTCAGTCAATCAATGTATCAATCTTTATTATAGCCTGTCAATGCAACGGTCATGCAGATACTTGTGATTCAGAAGGAAAGTGTTCATGCAACATGAAAGGTGCAACAGGAGATCACTGTGAAAAGTAAGAATTTATATCAGAAGTTCTCTCTGAGCTCTTCACAACGAGTTGGATCAAGATCAATGCACAACTTTAACCACAGAGAACAGTGGTATTTTCTTTCCATAAGCTGTGCCTCGCTATATTGTTATGTTACATCTTCTTTAACCACCCCATTTATCCATCACCTTCCCACTATAATAAATTGTTTCTGTTAAGGTGTCAATCAAGCCAATATGATGGAAATTCAACCAACGGCGGTTATTGTTACTGTGAGTTCATCAATGTTTTAGTTCAACAATGTCTTTCTTCTTTTTAAAAAATTGTTTATGACATTCTAAAGATTTTTATTCCGGCAATTATGATATATTTTGTCTGAGCTGTTTAATAGCTCGTTACGTGCGTTGGTTAACAAGACAGAAACGTTCTCGAAACGCTTGTAATATATCCGCTCATTTCGATATTTTCAAAATATTTTTACAGATCGTCTTACGCCTGATTACTTATACAGGATCAATGTCTCTTCAAAAACAATATTCAATTTTATTTGTTCGCCAAGAGAGGTTTGTAACAACTGCTTTGTAACCAAGGATATTCTCATTATTCAGTATCGAAGGAGAAATTATTAAGTATACAGATCTTAGCTACAAGCGATGCTGACCTGACACTCATCCATATTTTGTGTCTGGGAACATTCTTGCTGAACCCTTTTTGACATTGCAACATACTGTAACTTCTCTCTATTTTAGGATGATAAGAATACAATTGTGAGTGTGAGCATTGTTAAGGGGGATCCGCTCCATCCTGCCTTGCTGAATGTCTCCATTGGAAGTGGTGAGTTTCATCAATTCTTTCACCATTAAATGATCCGTGTTATTTACTCAATATCTCAAAAGTCCACTACACGCGCTTCGTTAAATCTCGGTGACCGGGCTCATGTGAAGTCTTACTCAATATCTTTCAATTTCAGATGTGTTGGAAGAGGTCTTTCATATAACAAACGTAGAGTTAACATCAAAATATGAAGAGAAGTTTTCAAAGGATAACTATCCATTTGGTTCCAACAATTTCCATTTTAAAATCTACGTTTACAATATTCCACAATATTCATCAGTTTCTGTGAGTACTTACGATCTAATTCATTCAAGAAATTACCCCAATAATTCGTTTATGGACTGAACCAAATATTTTATTCCCAGGTATCAGTTCACCAGCCCAACGAGAATGGAATCAATCTTTTGAAGTTCTTCATAATATTTTTAGCGTAAGTTTTATGACTTTATATATTCTGTCTTAAGTTGCAGTGTTGTGGATTCAGTTCATAACTGAACTATAGTAAAACATGATATCCCTTCTCTAAAAAACTTCCCTTTTTTCTCCATATAAACTCTCAGTCTTTGATGTCGTATTTTTTTAAGGTGCTTCATTGGTTTGTTGTTTTTCGCTGTCGTTTTTTGGAAAGCGAAAGTATTCCTTGACACATTCAGAAGGACGAGGGTGAGTGATTTTGAAAACGCATTTCCATGCTTGAAGTAACTTATTATGCTATTATGCTTTATGTTTTCTCTCCTTAACTACAGTAGCTACAACTTTAATGGCTAACCCTGTGTTCTGCTGTTTCTTGTAGAGACGAAATGTTGAATTAGTTTATATGACCAATCGCCCGTTTGCGTCTGTTCCCATCTGTGTCGATAAACCAGGTCATGTCCCTATGAAGGTTGGTTTAAATACTCGAATGACTTGCAGTTCGACCTATGAAGTGATTGTACCAAGCTCTGAGATCAGCCGTTGAAACTTTTTTGAAACATTCCTCGACATTTGCTCATTTTTGATAAATTTCTCTACCAGAGTAAACCATCGCCACTGACGTCAGAGATATGCCGAGGAAGCAAAGCCGCTGTCGTCACGGTGTTAGTCCGCTTACCAGTTTGTGCGCAGACGGAGACCTCCAGTGGAGGAGCGTCTCTTTGTTTGGGGAGTACGTTGGTCAATTATAGTGAACATCATAGTTCTAAGATGGTAAACTATATGAAAAATATCAAACGAAGACGAAACCCTTTTCGCTCTACACCGGGTTAAAATATTTTGAGGAATAATTTATGATGCATTCTTTGTAATAGATCCACTTGAATTGTGTTTAGTCCTTTTGCATATCAAGGGCCTGCAAGGCATAACAAATCTATATATTTATGGTTAGAAGACTCGTGCATCAAGACTGCGGCAGGGTTTTAGCCCAGATTCATGAGACGTTTCCCTTGCAGGCAACAGCTCGACTCAAGCTACTCTTTATAACCTTAAAACTCTCATCTGCATGATTTTCTCCGCTAAGCAAAAACAAGATAGAAAACAAACAATAAGGACAAACACACATTCCATAATGGATCCATTACAACAGAGCATCCTAATGTTTTATTTTTTAAATCATTGCATGGGGTATTCACGAGTGTAAGTAATGAAGAAACGCCTCTAATGTATATTCTCCTTCCAATTATTTTCATCGATGTAAATTTTCTTAGCTAGCATGAAAATCTAAAGCGTGCTGTTTCAAAAGAGGCAGATGAGTTATTTTCACAAATCAATAGTTCACGTTTTCGCCCAGGTTGGGACACCAGGAGTGCAGGATTACTGCCAGAGGGGAACGATAGATACCTCAGGAGGTTCACGTACATATCCAGGGTTCTACCTTCTTTGCGGTGGGGCTTCTTAAATAAAGGGCACCCTCTCTCCCCTCCCTCCTCGTGCACTGCAGTTCCTGTACTCCCGCGCATGTCCCTTAGAACTCCATATAAATAGCGCATATTACTATTTCATATTTTTGATATAATTCTATATTCAAATTTATAACAGTATAATAGGTAATGGCTGTAATTAGGTCGCGATAAGCCCAATGAATTGATAAGTGTGACTGAACTAAATGATGTATTATGTATGCGTGCATAGAAGCAAATTTTATCCTTATTTATATTAATATTTAAAAATTACTAGAAACGTTTGAAATGTGTCTTGTGTCTTTTTTTACGGAGCGTTGCATATCTTTTCTCACGCACCCCCCCTGAGTTCCCCTACAAAATACCTGTGTTCCCGTAGGTGGATCCTCAACAATACTTATTTATCCCCCACCGTAGGGAAAATCCCCTACGAGTGACAGCCAGAGAACTGAGAGAAGCGTGATTAACTCGAAGGCCTGAGAGTGAATGATAAAAAATGGCTGATGTAAAAACACTTGAATACTCAACTTTGAAGGTAAATATTTCACTTTTGTATCCTTTGAAAAGTCGTAAAAAGGCTAAAATACATTAGATGATATAAGGTATTTCTGAGATATGTAAAAAGAATCGTCCGGGCTACTTATTTGCAGGGTCAAATAAGAAGTATGTGACAGTTATCATTCATTGTTTAATTGCATCGAAAACGTTTATGCAAGAATGCGTCTAAATTGTTTCTTCTCTAGGTTCCGTACGAGGTTTTGAATAAAAAGTTCAGAACTGCGCAAAAAATTATCGATCGTGAGGTCTCTCATGTCTTGACTGCTAATTCAGATCTGTCAAACATTGTTAAGAAAGAGTCAGTCAAAGTCTCTGATGTCACTGGTATTCTTGATCGGGTCATTGAAGAGTTACAGGTCTTGAAGCGAAAGGTAATGTGGATTCATAGGTAGCCCAGAAATCTGTTTGTACTCAGCCTTCGATATGGTCAGCTTTTCTGTGTGTAGATTTCTGGGCTACCTATGGTAGATTTCATTCATTGAGGCCATAAAACCTTAACTGGTAATTCTCTTAAACTAAAAAACTAGCTTTTGTTACCCTTCTAAGCTGGAAATACTAAAATAGTTTCAATAATTGCTTTCAGGCTGAGGAATGTGTCTCTGCTGAAGAGAAGTGCACCAACCATCTTCACACCCGCCTGGATCATCTCAAAGAGCACACAGATGAGGGAAAGGGTTCCATGCTTTTATGGAAAAAGAAACGCCTCGATAGAATGCTTGTTGATCATCTGCTAAGAGCTGGATATTATGAGAGCGCTGGGAGATTGGCAAGAGATGCACAAATTGAGGTATTCAATTCTCAAAAAGTTTTAGTTGTTGCAAATAGAACTGGAAGCCAGAGCATCTGTGTTTTTTCATAGGAACTGGTAGATGTTGATTTGTTTGTGACAGCAAATAAAGTAGAAAAAGCACTGGAGGATCATAATGCAACACCATGCTTGACATGGTGCCATGAACACAAATCAAGGCTAAGAAAGTTGAAGGTATGTTTTTCCTGTCTGACATCAGAGTGTACAAATATTTGTGTTATAATGATTTTCTAATGTTTCTTTTTCAAGAGTACACTAGAGTTCAATGTGAGAACACAAGAATTTATTGAATTTATCCGAGCAAATGAGAGACAAGAGGCAGTTAGGTACTTGTTCTTCTTCTGAATATGATTGACTTTTTTAAATTGTGTTTGTATATAAATCATGTGAGATAAAGTTTGTAAATATAAATTTACTTAAAATGAATAACTGTTCTTGATGATTCTCGTTTTCAGGTATGCTCGTAAACATTTCGGCAGTGTTGATGTTACACCTCCCGAGGAGCTACGGAAGATTATGGCGCTGTTGGCCTTTCGACCAGAAACAGTTTGTGATAAATACAAGGTATCTATTACATCCATCTGTTGCCATTTGTGAACTCATTTCCCCCAGGAATGTAAAGATTTATTGATGACGTTTCCATATACCATTGTTTTCCAGGATTTTTTCGACATAAACAGATGGAATGAGCTTGCGAAGCAATTTAAGAGAGATAACTTTGCTTTGCATCATTTGAGCTCTGAGTCAACATTATCAGTGACATTACAGACTGGTTTGTCTGCTCTTAAAACACCGTATCCTTTAAGAAATGTAAAAAGGTGATATGAGTGAAGTTATTCCTGAGAAATATCACATAGTACAAGAGAGTTTTCTTAACAATTGTTCAGACATTGTGGTATAGATGGTCACACAAGTACTGAGTGCCCTGTATGTTCAAAACAACTATTTGAGTTAGCAAGCACTCTACCATATTCACACTGTGCTCAGTCAAGATTGGTCTGTCCAATCTCTGGTGAAGTAATGAATGAAAATAACCCCCCTATGGTTTTACCAAATGGATATGTTTATGGGGAAAATGTGAGTAATATTAAGATAATAGCAGTGAAAGAGGATAAGTGAGATAGGACAGAACTACTGCTAAATATTCATTCTTTTAAGTGCTTCCTTAAAATGTTTAGATAGTACTTGAAACCGGTTTCTCCTAAGCAAACAATGATATTAATCAGTTAAAAAAATTAATGTCATTTAACCTATATATTTTGTGCCAATGAAATCTTTGATAGCAATTGATATTTTTTCAATTTCTTCTCTATTTTCCTCGCAGTCTCTTCTTGCTATGGCAAAGAACAACAATGACATTGTGACCTGCGTAAAAACTAAGGAACAATTTAAAATGGAAGAAGCTGAAAAGGTGTTTGTCATGTAAAGATCAATGTCAGAGTGAATACAACACTTTTTGGAGGATTACTGTTGGAAAAGAAAGAATGTTGTGACTCTTAATATTCAACATATTTTCATCTTACAAGGCATGACAAAGTAATGCATCATCTCAGATAGTTCCTCAGAACTCATAGTTGCATGCAAAGATTTAAAAAAAATTACATTGTATATATCTAAAGAAACTGGATAGTAGCACTATAGATCATACAGTGTTTCTTTCCTTTGCTCTCAAATTGCCTGTAACCTGGATTAAAAATGTAAATATATTTTATTGTGAAATCTTTGTTTATGGCGCTATTCTCACGAGAGTTTACTTTTGCAATGGTTCATCGTTCTATAAAAGTATATTTTATCAATTCTTTTTGGCCTGGAAGGATTTAGCGGAAGTCCCCAGATTTAAACCCATGCATATTATTATTCACATATTTTTGAAGGATCGATCAAATTTCATGAATATTTTCGAAATACTTTCGCAGCTCAAAGCCTATTCAGATATATTCTGGCAACGACAATGTTTTGATTTTTGTCAATATTTAAAAGACGTTTGAAAGAGCAATTATAAAGTTGTGAGGCCGCTTTATTAATATCGAAATATTAATTCTTGAATCTCAAGTTAGTCAAGAAGCGTCGATTATTGTCGATTATTATGCACAACAATTTTTGAAATCTTCATCCAAATCTGTCAACGGTTTTTCTTCCTGGCCTCGGAAATCGAGTAGGGGGTACTATTGGAGGAGTTGAAAAATCTGTTGGCCTTTATAAAAAAATAGTTCAAGAATCTTCCTAGAGTGACAAAAATCAAGCGGTAAATATTTATTCACGTGTAAAAAACCTACTATAATATATCTTGACCTCTGACAAAGACGCGATATTGGCTTTTGTTGGCAAAAGAACAGCTGAATATTTTGTTTGTATTAGGGCATGCTGGCGATTTAAATGACTATAAACTAGCCGTTTGCTTGTTGCTGTTATCGTCGCAAAATCTCACGAACTACTTTAAAAGCCTGAATTCAATATCCCTTCAAAGGTGGTCAAAGCGTCGATTGTTTCATTCGATATATTTTCGCCCTTCATAGTGGCGTGTCACTACGAAGTCATCCAGCAATATCCGCAACACTTTAAAAGAGTTATTCGAGTGTGATGGAAGCTGGGTTACTGTACTTATAATATGGAGACAAAAAATGAGTACCAAACATGGAACTAAAGTGTTTCGTGTCCTTACTGATGGCGACGATCGATTTGGCTTCACTCTGATCGGTCAATATCCTTGTCAACTTGTGAAAATTCAACATGGCAGCCCAGCGGAAAAAGCAGGTATTCGAGAGGGCGATGAACTTATTGAAGTGAATGGAGTCAATGTTGAAGATTTAAAACATAATTGTGTAGCGACTTTTATTACACCCGGTAGCGACGGAGTCACTGAGCTAAGAATTCGTAGACTTTTAGGGGCCAAAACTTTGAAATCGGGTCATAATGTTCACAGGTCTGTATCCGAAGACTTGCGTACAAGGAATTGCAACGATTTGTCGCATGCCGTCGATCGCATAGTCGAAGGTTTAAAGGAACCGGACGTTCAGACATCAACAAAGCAGAAAGGTCCCGACCTGACTGTATTACATGGCTACGATGTTGCAAGTGATGAAGACTTAAAAGCGAACTTTTCGCCGGTCAGAACAAGCACAAATACCATTCTGACTGCCGATATTTCATCACCTATAACACTTAATTTAAAATTGAACAATGGTTTGTCCAAAAAATCGCCTTCCCTGAAAGTTCTAGTGGGGTATTTGGGCTCGATAAAACGACCCATGATAACAAATTGTTCTATGGGTTCTGTTACACATCTGCACGTGAAAAAGAGCTCTTCAGTGTGGGTTTTATTAGAGATCGGTTCTTCGGGAATCTATGTCAGGAATTCAAGCAAACAAATCATTATGATGAGCTCCCTAAATTCCTTAGTATACTTTGGCATTTGCCGTGAGAACAAACAAATTTTCGCTCTTTTTACAGCGGATTTAAATTCGAATGCTTCGAACGAGTCGATCGATAACGATGTTGCAATTACATCAGATTGCAACTTAAATTGTTCTTGTCATGTATTTGTGATCAAACCCTGCTTTGTCCGTCATGAAAACCACAAAATATTGATGGATAGTTTTCAGCTGCCGTGTGACCCCACGACCGGAAGCTGTCAGCGATCCTTCCCTACGTCAAGCAACACAATCCTGAACGCGCTCCAAGATATTTTACAACGATCTTTGACGCAAATCGCGTCCACGAACTTTGACTATTCCAACGTAAATTCCTATGGGACCGAAGTTGAAATTTTGCGGGAATTAGGGGTTATTACCCCTCAGGAATTAATTAAAAGTGATCATTTGTGTTCTTTATTGGACGGTCATATAAAGTCACAGCAGGATGGAAAGGAAGCCAAGCAAATTCTGTGTCTTTATTTACTACCTTTACACAGTGAGGCTAGTATGAAAGATAAGGAAACAGATTATCGTAATAAAGAAGATTACAACTTAGAGATTTGTGGTAAAGAGCAGGCAGTAACTATCCAGCAATCTGGTTCTACAATTCACACATCACATCATAACAACAGCATTACAACATCAAGTGCAGAGAACACCAACATGGCTGGCAGAGAGTTTTTCAAACCTCATGAACATGGAAAGGTTTCAAGAACTGGTCATAAGACACTGATTCATCAACGGTCACATTCTCTTGCTAGTAATGTGAAGAATGCACTACAAGCCCAAGCAGCAGCTGCTGCTGTGGTGGCTGCAACACAAACAGTTGAGGTAAGGTATTATTCTTTAATGTCATTCAAACATCAGACTGTCACAATCATAGGACAAGGCCATTACTTATCCTAATTTGTCTTATTGCCTTGTTTGAGTTGTTTCCCCCACCAGCCAAGAATAGCCATTGGTCAGAAATTGAGAGTGCATCCCATACCTAGATAACTGGCCTAATTTATAAGTGTTCATTCTGTAAATGTCAAAATAGAAGGTGTATAGGATTTCCTTTTTAACTCTTAGATACCCTTGCTTAGATTAGTTGCTTTTTATGATGCATCATTCCTAAATAAACAGTGGGTAAGCAATGCAAATCTGTAAGATTGCTAATATGAGAATTCCTTTTCATTAGGAAAAAAATCAGTCCTATAGATTTCATACTGAAATTCCTACCATAAATTAAACATTGTGAAATTAGAATGTTGTATAGTTTCAAACTTTTTAGGAATATATTGTATGAGGTTTAATGTCATTCAATTTAACCTGTAACATTATCCTATCAAAATATCCTTGACATATGGTGGTGCAAGTGAATATTTCATGTTTTGCCCATTGAATACTGGAGTAAAATTATACCACTAATAATACTAGTTTACCCTATTGAATGATCACTGCTTACTAAACTATGTACACTCTTGCTTTAAAATAAGACACAATGTTTTATTAAACATGTCCAGATATGAAATTAATTAGCAACTCGTAATTTGGCAATTATATCATTAAATCAGTTAGCATTCCACTGGGCCTTAAAGTGCTTTCAATTTTTCACAGAACTCTAAAGCCATGTTTTGTAGTATTCAAACACAGTAAAGTAGCTATAGCATTAAGTCAAGGTCTGCTAATTGTTAATTGGTCTTGATCCATATTATGATAAATGTAAGATAGTGCTGTTTCCTATGCATTTTCACAGATATATTTCTTCTGTAAACTCTCCTTAGCAACCAGTTATCGAAAAAATGCCCAGAGTGGAATTATTTTTTTTATGTTTATGCCATTGGGAAGCTAATAAATTTGCTATATTCCTACCTACTGAATAAGTCATTACTTCCTGATAATTACCTGATGGCACTTAAAAATGCACCTCTTAATAGTCAAATATTTCCTGAATTTGAATAGGTTACTTGAAAATGTCAAGTGTCGTCTTCTTATTTTGTATTGTCTTATCCATACAAAAATCGCTTAAATACTTAAATAGCTAAATGCGTAAGCTGCAAGGAAGCGGTTTAAATTATACATTATTGATAGGCCAAAACCCGGAATCGTCACGTATAAAAGAGCGTGTTTGCATATATTTTTAGAAGCAAATTAAAACCCAAATGTTTTTCCGTAATTGCATCTCAGAATAAATTGAAATTAATATTTAAAATGAAGAACAACTTCATGCAAAATAGAGATTTAGTTTCAAGTATACTTTCCTCGCTCGGTTCAACAGCATTTGTATGAAAGAATAAAGCGATCGCTGTGCGATGTTTTAAGAATATATACAGTACACCTGTAACAAGAATTTGTTCGTTTTTAAAGGGACAGTAATTTGTTACATTCTGTTACATTTTTCATCCGTCAATATGCGTTTTAATTTTGCATTGATCTGTGTCATTTTAAATTTCCCGTCATCGACTATATTCATTTAATTTAGCAATAGATTGTAAGTTACGTCGAAGGCTCATAAAATAAACTAATCTGCCTGCTGAATTCGAAAAATCTATATTCGTTTGGTGACAACATAATCACATAATTAATCTGTCATCGTATTAATCCTTGGCTTTAGATATATGCTAGATAATAATGGTCTCTACAGTTCCAATCCTGGCTAGCTTTGTCCAAAACGTATAGTACATGCGTATAGAGCTTCTTTCAGCTTAGCGAAATGTGAAAAAGTTAGTCCGGCGCTATAAAATAGCATCCATACCAAAACCTTTTTAAGCATGTACGCCAAAATGTTCTTATGTAAAGAGGTTGAAACAGATTCCATTGCAACTGCTCCTTGCGTATACACAACACACACTTCCTTTTGTGTTTATTTGAATAGCTGTAAGCTTAGCATAGATCTCTGTCGTCCAAGTCACAACAGCAGGATAATTTTTAAAGCTCGCTTTTTTTAAGGTTCCCTGCAGAGATAGACCACTTTAAAATCACAGTAAGTAGAGTGACTGGGATTGTCACTAATACTTGACGATAGAAAATGGAAAAAAAGGACACGGTTCGGTAAAAACTCGTTTCTTCTGTCAAAACAAAGAAAATGAATATTTTGAAGAGTTTCTGTTACTCTGACAATTTGTGTGAGCTTCGTAAATTGATAATGATGGACGCAGCCAAAATGATTGTATGAAAATAATTCCAACGTCCTTAGGACGGTAATTTTTGGCGGATTTTAATGAATATATGGAAATATTCTTACAAGTTTTATTGTTGTATCTTTGTATAGTGCTATAATTCTCAAGACTTACAGATTGGTAAGATATGTTTTATACCAAGGAAACAAGACCGTTGACTTCAGCCTTTGAAATAACAAGCACAAATTTTATTTTCTTCTGCTATCATTCTTCTCTAGGTAATGGAGTTCGTCAACTTTACCATGCATCATCATCAACTGTGCTTGCTGGAAACACGATCAAACCTCGTGCTGAGGGAAAGGTTGCAAGATGGGCGGTTTCTTTTGATCGCCTGTTGGAAGACAAAACTGGTTTAGACGTTTTCAGGGTATGATAATGATAGACATGTAACGAATAACAAATTCTCTGATATATTCAAACGAAAAAAGAACATTTCCTGAGCACGATCATTTACAGGCAGTGCAGGCAACAGGCGTTTTTTCCACATCATTGTGTGGAATTGAGTGTGGGTGATTGGTCGTTCTTGATCTCCTGATTTCCTTAGTCGTTCAACTGTCAAGTTTCATTCTTTTTTTAGAGTTTTCTGAAGAAGGAATTCAGTGAAGAGAATTTGATATTCTGGTTAGCGTGTGAGAAATTCAAGACTCTTGAGGATGAGAAGGAGGTTGGTGACAAATTTGTTTTTTGTTTAAGTCTCATTAAGTCAACAGTCTTGTATGAGGTCACTCAAGGTGCTAACTTTCCATTCTCATCCACAAAGCTGACGAGTAAAGCTAAAGAGATCTATGAAGAACATCTAAAACCCTGCGCGAGTTTACCAGTGAACGTTGACTCAACAGCGATCAAAGATGTTGAGGGTAATCTAGAAACACCATCTTCAGAGTTGTTCTCATCTCTGCAGTATCAGGTAGATTGTTTTAATCCCAACTTCAGCTTTCTTGTCATTCTCGTATTCCATCGATTTCCGGCATTTTGAAGGTCCATGCTTTTATCGCTTTCATAGGTTTATACTTTAATGAAGTTCGACAGTTATGCGCGGTTTTTAAAATCCGAGCTTTACCGTCAATGTGTTGTGTGTGAGATGGAGGGGAAGCCATTGCCAGTTGTGAGCCAAGAGGAAAAGAAGGAAGAAGAGGAGGGAACGAGTACTTTGAAGAGAATGGTGAGTTGAGAACTGAAGTAATATGTTACACGAGGTTTGATTGGCCTCACAAAACAAACCAGCCAATCAAACATCACGTAACTCTCCGCGTTTGAACTCGTATAGCAGTAATCTGAATGAAGTATGTTGTTGGAAGTATTTAGATGAAACGGGAATAAATATGTGAGAGATTACATTACTGAAGGCTCAAATGTAGCTCAGTTTTACTATAATATCTTTAAATTACTGCCTGACACAAAATATCATAACCATTAAATTAAATATCTATGAATAAACGGTAAAAACCATAAATTACGCTGCCTTGATTGTCAAATATTACCAGGTGAAACTTACATTACAATGTGGTGACCTTGAAATTGATGACTGTCTCAAGGACGATGATCTTAATATTCATCACTCGCCTAAGGTAACTTAATAATAAAATACTAAACGATATGAACTGTAATCTTTTAGTAAACCAAACCATGTATTTATTTCAACATTAATGATTAACCAAACGTCGTCTCTTTCCACACCATTAATAACTATACTTTAAGAAATAAATAGTCAAATGTGTGTGTCTAAATTGTTGAGCTTGAAATAAACGATCTTTTAGTCTGTAAATCCTACTTTCGAGTTGGGACGTCCGAAATTCAACAACTAAATCTTATAACTCCAATTTAAATTCTAAATAACTTGATAGCCTCGTCCGCAGGACCAACACAAACATCTTTTTCTTTCATCATTTTTTATCACAGTGACTTTTGACATTGTTTAGTTCAGCAGCACAAAAGGAAAAGGTCGAAAGGCAGCCCCGAAATCACAAACAAGCATCGAGACTGACGATAGTAAAAAGAAATCGATTCTTCCTTGGCGAGGTAGTCGCTTTCATTCATTTTCACAACAGAACGTTCACTCTACAGACAGTCTGAACTCGTGAACGCTAACTTACATATTATAGTTCATTGTTGTTGTTTTAAGTCGATCTTCAACTCTTTTCTCTTTAATTAATTTATTTTATCGTTGAACATTCCTGAGGTCTATACGAGATTCTTCATTTTCTTTTAATATTTCATCTAGGGAGATTGAAAAGTGACCAACCTAAACGACATAGTAAGTATAATCTTGCTAAGATAGTGGGTTTATTCAAATTTGATATGAATAAGTTTGCATCGCCACAATAATTTGAGTTCTTGGGTTAGTTATTTTGACATGTCCACAAAGCCAATCCACATTGGTTTCAGTAGCTTCTTCCTTATATTCTTAATCTTTTACGATTCATTTTCTTCAGCAAATCGCAGTTCTGACAGTCAAGCCAGCAGCACAAGAAGCTCTCTGTCATCGCTATCTGACTCAGTATTTTCATCCAACATCACCAACTCAGATGAGGTGAATTTTCACTGGTAGTCTGTCTTTTAAGAGGACCGTCACGTGACGGCCCAAAATAACGATCTTTACCGTTCATCTGTTACAGGCCCTCAATGATTCTGACGGCAAAGAACAAGCTCCACCGTCATGTAAAGTTATTTTACCAGACAGCTCGCTCATGTATCTATTCTGCAAAAGTACACGAAGTTTAAAAGAGGGTCTATCAAAGTTATGCGAAAACAAGGAATATTCTCTACCGTCCCTAGATGTATATCTCGCTGATAGGGTAAGCTCTGATGAGTGCCTTCTTCTGAGAGCATGAAGTCTGATGATTTATTACTGTTATCTTAAGCTCAATACTTAAGCTCAATTTACGGCCGGTCTCTTATTGTAATGACTCTCTTTCACCATGTTCTTGTAGAAATTGACAAAAGAAGATCTTCAGAAAAAGCTCACTCGATTTATCAACAAGGAAATTATTCTGAAGCAGAAAATCCTTTTCAGGTACAGCACAAATTCTATACGGAAATAATGTGTTTCAAAATAATGTGTTTGAATCAAATGGTTTATTCATTCCTCAGGCTAGAGCTTCCTAAAGATCGGACCATTGGCATCCAGGCTGACGAGGAAAAGAGCATTGAAGAAATTTTAGAACCGATTCTTCAGCAATCTGGTCTGGATATAAAAGAACACGACATTTATCTGGTAAGTCACAATGATAGCCGAACAGACCTTCTCTGGAAGTAAGTCAATGCTGTGAGACACTAGGAAATGCCAGAGACAAAGATTCGATTGTAACTTGTTTGTTTGTTTGAGGGAGTTCTGAAACCAAAGATATGACACGTGATTAAAAATCTTCCTTGTCAATTTTAGCGCACGAGCAACGAGCCTCTCAGCACCAGTGCCTCAGTGTCGCTTCTTCATCGACAACACGTGATTGTGAGGGAAAAATCAGTCAGTAGCAGTAAGGACTTTCTTGCTTAGCATTATTCTAATCTTAGTGATGAAATGTTGCCCTCACAGATCCCCTTCGGAGGATAGTTTGGAGGTAATAAACCTCTCTTCAGTAAATAAGATTATTTCAATAAGATAACTCGGCCTTAAGATAATCCATTTTGTGTCCAAATGCCTCGGTCTGTAGGCATCAAGGTTCATACATGAGCCTAACAATTATCAACGATTTTTACTCGATAGTTTCTGGATAGTTTTGTACAGTTGTTGTTCGTATTTTTATCCAGTTCCAAGCAGTGTGAAACCAGCGTTGACTGCTAAAGAACATCTTGCAAAAGCGTACGCTCAAAACAGTCCAACCAAGTCGATAACGGCGATCGATCACAAGGTATTTGAAGGAATCATGACAGGTAAACGTCAGTCAATGTCGGGGTTTCGTTTTGATGATACGGGCGTTTTTGTCCCCGTCGTTAAGTTGCAGTCCTCCGGCAGTCGAGAAGCTCTCACTGTAGCTGGCCAGGATAAAATCTCGCGGAGTCCAGCATTGTTTCGGAAAACGAAGAGAAGTGTTCGAAGCGTGACACAAAGTACATCAACATTTCGCACATACCTTCAAGAAGACAAGAAAAATACTGAAGGTAGGTTATCTCGATGCTTTACCTCGTTGATTCTTATCCGTTCATTTATCCACTCCTAAAACACATTTAAAAAAGTTATTTTTCAATCTTTTATATCTTTCATTTGATTAAACAAATATACCAGACTCTAAAAAACGATACGGTGAAACTGCAGTTTACTCCTTTGCGACAAGGCTGGCTTGTTTGGCTTTACACACCGATCAAAACATACAAAGCAAACTCCAACATGATAAGGCTATCAGTTTGATTGATAGGATTAGGACAAGTGGCTATGGTATCTACATAGACGTACTTTTTAACCAATCCTGATGACAAGCAAATTTTTCTTCAATTTCAAAAGCGATTGAGCCTTTTTGCGAAGTATTATATAAATACCTGTATGTACTTTCGTTTATAATGTTGAAGAGTCGCTGGTATTTGATCATATTTATGTTTTTAAATTGCCGTTGATAATCTATTTCCTGCTTTGTTTAGATTTCGATGGGTAACTATTTATTGTGAAGAAAATTTTATCGTTCTTGTAACTTACTTCCAGCAAACTATCATAAGAAAGATATAAAATATTGTAAAATAACTTTCTCTTGTATAGAAATAGAAAGTCGTTTAAATTTGATTCCAATAATCATTAATGTTCCTAATTATTAATAACGATGTAATTTATACTAATAATAATTTATTCCACTAATGACTTGTAATAAATGTGTTGCTAATAATATTCAGTCACTAATTTATTAATTGAATTTTTGTTTATAAGTAGGGTCTGTGATATTTGACCATGCGAGGTTGATTTGCTATTGATTAACAAATGATTACGCTGATTTGTTATTGATTAACATTTGATTGCATTGGTTTGTGATTGATCAATAATAGATTACGCTGATGAGTAATCAATTGATTGCGTTGATTTGCTATTGATTAACATTTGATTGCATTGGTTTGTGATTGATCAATAATAGATTACGCTGATGATTAATCAATTGATTGCGTTGATTTGCTATTGATTAACATTTGATTGCATTGGTTTGCGATTGATCAATAATAGATTACGCTGATGATTAATCAATTGATTGCGTTGATTTGTTATTGATTAACATTTGATTGCATTGGTTTGTGATTGATCAATAATAGATTACGCTGATGAGTAATCAATTGATTGCGTTGATTTGCTATTGATTAACATTTGATTGCATTGGTTTGCGATTGATCAATAATAGATTACGCTGATGATTAATCAATTGATTGCGTTGATTTGCTATTGATTAACATTTGATTGCATTGGTTTGCGATTGATCAATAATAGATTACGCTGATGATTAATCAATTGATTGCGTTGATTTGCTATTGATTATTGATTCAGCGCTTTTAATTACTATTTTCCAACTGTAATTACGATTGATTTCTGGGTTACTAACATACTTTGGTGGATACTGATTCATGAAACATCAGATATCCATCAACATTCCTTTTTGTATATATTTACCACCGCGATCTTCCTATTCCAGAATTTTTTGTTCTCCTTCACCGCTCCCAGAACAGCCGCATGGACGATCAACGCGGGCTCCTCGATCATAAAAAAATCCAACTACCAGATTTCCTGAAAACTCACGATGTACCATCAAAGACGAAACCCAGTCCTTTTTCAGTTGGCGTTCCCTCCCCCCGGTCAGTACATCAGCCATTGCAGAAAACAACGTCGTCGCCCCCCAGTTACGCTACTTGGGTGAATAAACTACGAGAATCTCGACCAAAAGTTATCAACGAGGGTTCCCGCGAAACTCTCTCAAGATTTACACGAAATTGGTCAGGTTCGGCCCAAGGCCGCGCAAAGGTTCACATTGAAACGGTCACTGAAACTCAGACCATAGATCGGAAGCGATTTTTCAAGAGTACACAAAATGAAACCGCTGGCCGCTTACGAGCAGGATCTTTGCCGTATACTCATCCTGATGACCGCTGTTATGATCCAGCAGGCGTCAGTGAACTTAGAACTCGGAATCGCTATCATTATGAAAGCGAAACGTCGTTAAATAACAACACTGAGGTGGTTTGGGTCTCCAACACATTGAACAAGAATCGCATGCGTGCGTCAAATAAAATGGATCGTTCAGGAGACGCGGGGTACGAAAGCACGACCGATGACGAAGGTGGAAATTTTCAAAAAACCGAAGTGATTATTCCTAAAGGAATAACGAACGCTGATCGCTTTGCCGTGTCGGGAAGTGTCGTACCTCTCCGTGATCGCGCGGTTTCGGAGGGTCCGTATTTTTGCGAGAATATGGCGACCGCTAGACGGCATGTGCGCACGCTCGCCGAGCAGTCTGCAGCTCGCGATTTAACTTCGGGTAACGATCGTGGAGCGATACTTGATAATTCCTTTTTACGAGATGAACTAAAACCTTCGCGATTATTTTCCCAATTAACCCCGGAGCAAGATCCTCCTCCTGACACTTCGTCCCCAAGAAATGGCACCCCTTTAAAGTGTCCTTTGTTTATCCCCCCTGGAAACTCCTATTCCACGGCAGAGCACCTCGGCCAAACAAACTCCGCGATCAATGAACGCGCCGTCGAACCCCGAGTTTGTTGGGAAGCGAGTGAACAAAAGAACGAGGAGGTGAATGTCCGTGTCACGTTTGTGTGAAGTTACGTGAACACGCTGGAGAACGTTCACGAATAACTTCAAAGAATTATTTTAACAAGAATCTAAAATGAAATTTCTACAAATCTTATTTTCCAGATATAATCTGTAACAAATATGACCAATCATGTCCTGTAAAATAATATCTTAATATTATATTGTGTAAATAAAATGTATTCATGCATATAAGGGGGCCTCATTTATACTGATATAAATTGAAATAGATTTATAAATATTTGATACATTACACCTTGTCTGATAATTGCAACTCTTGGAACACAGATGAAAGGTTATGCGGTAAAATGCTTAGAACACATTTTTCAATAATTAAACTTTAAAATCTTTACAAATAGTTATTTAAATGTTCCAAATATTAGACTAGCACACGAGAATCGTTATCTTTTCATCTAAATTTTTCGACTTTTGACGGAGTAGACATAAAGAAAATGAGCATTTCATATAGTTCCTGAAAAAAACTTTGTCGTCGTGCTAAATTTAAGCAGGACGGATTTTCATCTCGGCTTTTTTCAGAGAATTTAGTGACCATCCATTCCATCTTATTCCAAAATCAGAACTACGTCCATCGCTAAAGTACAGACCGTTCAGACTGGACTGATAGCATTCATAGAACCACCACGCTGCCTTGTAGCCGCTAGCGCAACGGTTATCATCATTTCTGTCGTAGGTTGAGAAATAACGTCCGTCGTGATAACTTAAGGAGTTAGTAGCATTACCTTGTAACGAATAATAATTGCACTTAGAGCTTGGAGCGCAGATATATGGGATCATTATCAGTCTTTGTATTGTGTATGATAAGTTATAATATAATCGAGAAGAGTTATAGTAATTTACATATATTCCGGGAGTTATATTCTCTTCTTTTTACCTGAATAATCATCAACACTCAATGTATAATTGCTAGACTCTGGAGCCACAGCAAACGTCACATACTTTGCATAGGCTGTTTCGTTATCAAAGTTCATCAGATCCACCCTTAGAACATTTTGCCCTGATTCTGTCAAACGATGTATTTTATCCAAGCCGAGCCATAAATTCCCAGTAAGATCACCAAAACCATCGGAGTAATTTTGCCAGTTACGATAGAAGTCAACACTACCGCTCACTCTTCTTTGAAACACCGTCCATCCGCCACCATCAGACGTCATATCACATCTGACTTGGAACGCTCCGAGATTATCAGGATTGATGGTATAAACACCATCTTTCCTTTCACCAGATTTAAATAAAGTCGCACAACTGCTGTTTCCTGGCACAGGTTGCATTGTTGTCGAGGTATGTTTGTCAGATGTCGGTTTACCAGTAGTTGGTTTAGGAGTGGTTGATTGACCAGTAGTTGGTTTAGGAGTGGTTGTTGGTGGAACTAACAGAATAAGGAATAAGGTAGTATTCTAATCTATATTTGTGAAATGAAAGTAAATGGATTTCAAACCTGTTGTAAGACAAGCTATGTTTTCTTTCTTGTCAAGATAGTTGAGTATTTGAGATTTCAAATTGGCGAGATCCGCATCCATCTTTTTCTCGTAGCTTTCAATGAGCTGGTTGACATACGAATTTTCCTGTGGAGAAGATTTACGATGATACAGAATCACCCAAAGCTTCCTGGAGAAAAAACAAGGGCAAACTTACCTTCAGTGGTTCTGATGTGTATGACATCACTGAGGTAAACACGACAACAGACAATATAAGATTCATCTCGACGTTATCTGATAGATTTCTACAATATAATTGAATGTGATGAAGTGAAAAAACTAGCTTTGACAATATGATTGTTTCTGGGCATATTTCTGGAGCGGAATGAAGACGATATGGTAAGCTGTTCAGCGCGATACCCACCAGCGCATTGTGATTATTAATCAGAGCTATAAACTTTTAATCAAATGTGATATAACAATTGCTCAAATGGACAGAAAACACTTCTCAAACGTTTCAACCTCAGGGCAAAGGCAAGGTGAGTTCTCACAAACTCTCCCGATTCAGGCAAGCCAGTTTAAACTCAAGAAGTGTTATGTATCTTAGGCCATCGTTATGGCTAATAGCAAAACGTTGAAGAAAACTACGGGGATATGAATCTTCTCAATTCTCAAGATAATAAACACGTTTAACTAATCAATTATAAATACCTGTAATATCTTTATGTCTTGTTTGAAATCGAAAAGAGCAAGATGTGAGTCTTTTAACTGATCATCAACAGAAATATAAAGTTATTTAGCCTGATACAGTCGCCTGGTCTGGAGTAATGACAGTTATGTAGTTAAGCCATTATCCAGCTGCGAGTGTAATAGTGCTCAATTCTTACGTAAAACTCAGCTTTCATTTAAATTTCTTAGAATAATCACACTACCAGACAAGTGTTTGTTTAAAGGTGTTTATTTAAAACGTCTTCTTAACTCAGGTATACACAATAATTTATTTTTTCTCTAGTGTATAATTTAATTTTCCCTAAATTTAAAATACCATATTATAGAAGTCACCACGACTAAACATTTTATGCTCGCATGATTAAAATAGTTTACACAATCCAGAGTATTCTTCTATGCATTGTAATTACAGTATAGATTGTAATTGTAATTACAGAATTTATTGATAGGATAAATAATCTATTCTTGTGACGAAATAAGAAAGATCAATGCTGAAAGGTTTAATTCAATGTTTATAAGCTATTTTTTGCCAAAGACAACTATTTCTGCTAAATCATAACCGCTGACACCAAAGGATTGACCAGCGTCGTCTAGAAAACGTCCACCACACAGCTGGCTGTCCGACACAGGAGCTTGGAAAACTAACTCCACCTAATTGGGATGAAATACCAAATGCATCAATTATTAGATCGGTGTACAATTATCTAGTATAGACGAAGTACAGTGGCCAATCAGAAACATGCCTCGTTAGCAAACTACGTTATAACGCAGACCTTATACAGGTTTTTTTTTGGATAGTATCGCGATCTCTCTATCGTAAACCTTTTAAGTTAGCTTGATTGCTTGACACTCACTGCGCTGTTGCTACAATTGTGAGATTGGTTTGGAAGCCTGGCGCATGTCGCAATTACGAGAGTAGCAATTACTAACCTTGTTAGATGAGTCTTTTGGTAACGCCCAAACTCTGACGAAGGAGTCTTCGCTGACTGATAACAGCTGTGAAATAACAAGATGACACGTTTTAGGATAGGAGTTCGGGTTTGGGATGAAGTGGATGATAGATGGGAGAAAAAGGAATATATGAGGATATGAAGGTGTATATGTGGACAAGACTCACCAGACAAGATTCAGACGCGATATCTAATGAATTGATGCATCTCGAATGAGCGCATATCTCAATTTTCAGTATCCCAAGAGCCAAGTCGTATATACGAATATGCCCCGAACTATAGGCTGCTAGGATGAAGCCATTCCACAGAGCAAGACTTGTACATGGTGTTCTGAAGTAAAAACATTGCAATGTTGGGATGTCGTGTGCCAGTGTAAGATTCAAAAATGTACGTTGAGCCAGGTAGATGGGGTAGGAAAGGGGGGACAGGAAAGTGGTACCTCCGACCACTACCCAAAGATCAGAGTAGTCCTATGACGAGGATTGATGGCCATAATATATCATAAATAAACCTCTCAAATGTTGAAAGCAGGAGGCCATGAGAAGTTTGAAGGATAAATTACCCTGAGCCTCGTATTTCTGTAATTTTCTTCATTGTCTGATCACATTGCCACACCACAATATTACCATCCTCGTCAGCGGAAACTAATTTATCCTTTACACTTGCTAGGTCTGTGATGCCAACATTATGATGGTCTAAGGTTTTGTGTAGAGTTATCGTTGTGCCTTGCGATGGAATGTCAAACACCAGAATTGACCCAGTGCATGTTCCTTCAGAGAATATAGGTGAGAGAAATTGAACATAACACAGGAAATGAACATGAGAATTGGAAGTGAAGCTTGTGTTTGTGTCCTGACTAAACCAGTTGATGAAAATCTATGATATCTTTTTTGCAATCAGTGCCTAGGTGCCATTGCTACAGGCACTACAGGAAGACATACGCATGTTTGATTTCACTTTTTATCATGCAAAATGCTTTGATAGATTTGCATTTGCTGACTGAAATATGATAAAGCTCTTTTCAGCAACAGCATTAATATTACAACCAAGCCTTACCAATGCACAGGTATTTATTTAAGGTAGAACAAATTCCTCTTGCAAAATATGAGAATGCTGTAAAAATATGGTTTTATAAATTTTAATATACATTTACTAGTTAAGCTATTACTGGAAACAAGATGACAAAAAGTTTCCAGAGAGTTAGGTTTCACATATGTCAGGTCAGCAAGAGAATCAATTTTGTGCAAGAATTCTGTGCTTCAACTTACATTTATTTTCCAGCTGTTGCTGGGAGACGGAATGCCAGAATATCATAATTGAACCATCTTGTTCATACATCTTAAAAAATAATGATTTAGGGATGAAGATCAAGCCTCAGCTCTTAATGTACAGTTTGTCGAAACGATTGATTGGTATACCCCTATGTAGCATCTTGTCTGTATAATATTTAAAAAAACGAAAATTGTAACTAATGCAATTTATGCTACCTGCACTCCTTTCGCAGAAGCAATTACCAGGATGTCTCTGCCTGATACATGACACCACTTGGCCTAAAGCAATTGTAAATGAGTTGTTGGGGTGTATATTCATACAAGATGAACCATTATCTTTATCTACAGCTCAGCAGGAGGAAGAAGGACTTGTGCGACATTAGGCAACTTGTCAGTTTTAGGTTTATATATATTGACGAGTTGTTTTGGTAATCATTAACTGGTAGTACTGTAGCACAGTAGTAACAATACCCTTCCAATGACAAACAAAATCATCTGGCATTAGATAGAGTGTACTCAGTGTAGTAAAAATAATTCATAAATGGAAGCTAATGTTTTTGTGTGAGCAGCAACCATGCTGACTCACAAATAAATTGCATATGCAATAGTGATTTATTCCAGAACTCGATAAAACACAAAGCATAATGCGCACAGACTTGAAATTGCCACCTGCCCTGGGCTAGCTTCCATAACATAATGTGCCTGATATAATTCCACTTGTAGGAGACCTAATAAAAAGCCATAAATCAAGACAAAATCTGCACCTGCATAACAGTAACATTCCCTGCTGAGCCATCTCCTTTGCATGCAATCTGCTTTTGCACAGGCGATGAACCAGCTGCGACTATCGTGTTGACACAAACAACAGACTTGTGTACAACTGCATACGATAAATGCTTCGTTTTGTTTGTAGCCATATTATTAGGAAGCATTGAAGGTGTGCCTTTTAAGGCCATCGATGCCTGCTTCTTGTACATCCTCGCAAAATTTTGCAATAAATAACGGGAAAATGAAAAGATGTAAAAAGATAAAAATGCTAGAAGTTTGGTTGTTTATGAACCTTGGTTGCTGTTCACAACCGTGGCTTCCCGGTCCACAATCGGAAACTATCGGACAAGGAAGATTGGGAATATTTGAGTAAATTATTTCCAGCTTATCCACTAATTGTATTTAACACCTTCGTCCATCTTACTTACCCGATTGGATGGTTAGGTGTTAGCTCGTCGCTCGCGGGAGGGGTGGCTTGGAACGAGTGCTGTTACTTGGAGCCAGGTTGAGATCCCTACGGTATCTTAAGCTGAGCACGCACCCCCTCCCCACGCCGAGAGCTAACCCTTCACACCAACTTTGTTGGTGGAAAAGACAGGCAAATGAAGGGAGTAAACCAAAGAAGAAAGAAAGAAATTTACTAATAGCACTTTACCACAAGCTGCTGTTGTCGACGTTGTCGCTCGTTCGCCGACGGGTTGTTAATGCCCTCTGCGGGCTCTGCTCCGCACCTTGCCTCCACTCGCCCCTCCCCTTCGGTCACGTGGTTACCTGACGTCACTGACCGGTTTCCTCGTTGTTAACCTTGGTTATTGCATAACCCCATTAAAAAAAGTAATGGGTATATTAAAGTGTTATCTTCACTCTTGATTTCAACAAAAAAGTTGGTTTTCGGTATAAATTTCCCTGTTCTCCTGTCCCCCTAGGGATTCCTCAGTCAGTTAGTACGAGACAAGCCCGAGACAGTTCCGACACAGAGGAGACTTTTGATTGACAGTTCTCGGGGCTGAAGGCACTAACTAGAATGCAGAGTTGACTGTCTGAATGTCTTTGTCGCTGTTTTACTGCTGTAAGATTGATGAAGATGTAAAACGAATGTTTGATATTTATGAATGATCTCTGTCTGGTATTGTTTCATTCAGAGACTCAGCCTGTGACTCAGCCATGCAGAGACTGGGGAGAGTATTCAGGGGTTAATTAAGGTGGTTTTTAGTCGATATGATTTTTTTTTCCAACCATATCAGTTCCATATATGTTTAATAACAGTATTTTCTTGTATGTAAAAGAAAAACTTGGAAAGCACGCCAAAAAAGAAATTTGGAAAGAGCGTAAAAACACCCAGCAAAAGAGATCATCCAGCCTATGCCACAATCTAACCTGGTTATACAACCGGCTGCAATATTCAGCATAGTTACAACTACGAAAGGTGCAAGGCGGTTGCTATAGGAAGAACTCCCCCCCATAACTCACATCTTAACGGCCGTCTAGGGGGGAGATGCACTACGGCCCCCAGACCATGATGTATGTGCACCTAACCGTTACGTCTCAGTGAGAAACAGAGTATGCATTGCCACAAGCCTAGCGTCATAGACGAATCAGCTACAGTGGCTAGCCCTGAGAGCGAAGATAAATTTAACGTATTTAAGCTTTTCCTGGTCTCGGGGGGGCGGTCCCTAACAAGTATATGCACAGAAAACGACTAATAAGGCACACGCTTGGAAATGTTAAGATTTAAACACCTAAACGTTTTTTAAGTGTTTTTAGCGAGAAACTTTAGTGTTTTTATATTCTTTTAGAAATTTTAGTGTTTTGAAACAATCCTTGTTGGTTTTTAACGTCAAAATAGTCATCGTTCTCGAAAGGAAAGTCAATATAAATGAGTGAACGGCTTAGTTTACTAAAATGTTTTGTTAATTTTGTGTTTAGTATAGCCGCTTGATTCGCCGGTACACTTTGGGCCTAAATTGTATGTATTTATTTCACAAGTTTTTATTTTTTTATCTTCGTTGATTCTGTTGTATTTTTCTATTTTTATTCTTCTTTATTTCTTTTACTAACTATCCATGATATGACGGTGTTGGTTTTGGTTGGGTCTCTCCCTGGCCTGGCCTCCCCTCCCTTCCCAGCCTCCCTTAGCCTCCCCTCTAAAGGAAAGTGGTCCGATGACAGTTTTTGAGCCTGTTGTGATAGAAGTCATCTGTAATTTGGAATAAAAACAACAGTAATTACAGTTTAGCGCTTTCGTTTTTGGAAAGAAAGAAATTTTTCAATTCATTTGGAATTTGCGCGGATATTTTGTGAAAATGTTGCGAAGAATTACTCCGTAATGGCAGGAATTTTTTCCATTAGTGAGGACGACTTTCATAGCCATTACTGGCCCAAACTGGAGTCCGCTATCAACTTAATTTTGCAGCAAAACCCAGGAGAATTCATCCCAATATCATATGAAGAAACGTATAGGTATGTATGACATTCGTTTCAATATTAAAATGATTTGTAAATTGTAATCATTGTAAACGATTTCTGTATGATGCTTGCATATCGTTATAGTGCTGTTTACAAATGCGTGTGCCAGCAACATTCAGAAAGATTGTATGGAAATTTGATGATATTAATCAGTAATATACTCGCCAGAATCAGGGAGGAACTAGAGGTTTTAAAAACTATTTGTACTTTGTGGATTTGTTGTATGTAGCACAGCTCTCTGATTGATTTCTCATGATATATATATAAATACATTTATGGCATTTTTTAGAGCCAACCCATAGACATGTACTTGAACAGATTTGCATATATAATGTCACAATATTTGCAAAGCGTTGAAGGAATTGCAGCCATATTCAATTACATGGTAAGATGTGCTCATATTGGCCTTTCTCTTTGGGTCAGTACTGCAATAACTAACAATAACAGCTATCCACCTGGATGTATTCATGATGGTCTATAATACCATGCTTTTGAGCATTTACATGCAGTCTGTAAACCGTTATCAAATGCTGCATTTGCTCTATTGTAGAATCGATTTTATGTGAAGCCAAAGAAAAACAGTGAACTCAAGGCTGAGTTATTAACATTATTTTCAGCATCAATTGCTGATAATGAGAAACTTTTTGGTATGATGTTCATTGCCTGTCAGTTTTGTTTGTTGCCTGTCAGTTTAGTTCATTGCCTGTCAGTTTACATTTTTGAGAAAGCAGTGAACGTAATTAAATATCGTAAAATAATTAAATTAGATTGAAGAATTTAATTAAATATCAACTGTCCATTTTCAGATATTCTCAATCACAGTGCAGCTCAACCATTTTCATCTGATCCAAAAATCTTAATGTCAATTGTCCAAGGGCTTTACATGCTTAAACCTGGTAAAGTAGTATTGTTTCATTGGTTAGAAAACTTGTTCGGCTTTACTGAAAGTAAAATATATTTGTATCTATCTCTTCTAACGGAAGAATTTGCAGAAAAGAACCGAGATTTATTCTCCCGGTTTATACCAAATCTTGTTGGTCATGCAAGCTCCTTGGATCAGGAGATACAGGAAACAAAAGCATTGCAAGAAACCCTACGAAATAAGGAAGAATTTTTAAGGTATAATTATCAAAGTTAACAAAGCAACATCATCGATTATATCAGTGATTATATTGGCAAGCTTGTTTAGTATCAAAAAACAAATACATAAATTAACATATATATTTCTTTTTAGAGATTTTAGAGAAGAATCTGGACTTAAACGAAGCATTGATGTTGCAGAAATATCAATGGATGGTAATTTTATTTCCCTAACCTTTCTAAGCTGCTATTTTGTAGCAAAACCTGTAAAGTTTTTTTGTCTTTTAAGGTCCCGTGAAGAAATATGAGCCAATGACATAAACATTACAAGTGCAGTGATTTTCTTATTTACTAGTGTAATGGATATGCCAACTGACAGATTCAGTGGTTTGATGTGTAAATAGACAAGTGCTAATATTGGATTAAGAATCCTCGATATGTCCGTCTGTATAAATGTATACTTCTATTTAAAATCAGCTCCTTATTCTGCATAAGCAGAGTATATAACATAGCGTGGACATATGAAAATATGAATTGGAAATACATAAGATTTAAATATTTCTTGGACGATAGCATAGTAATATTAAAACTTAAGCACCATAAGTGTTGTAATGGTGATAATATAACTTCAAGTCTGGTTCTCATTAATAGTAATCACAGTCGGCCATCAGGCCATCATGTATAACAATGTTGGTGGTGTGTGATAAAGAAATTATATTCAAAATAACAAGGGATCAATTTATTCTCCAGTGGTTTAGGCTTGACGAACAGTCAGTGACCTATGGGAACTGGGTGAAATACCCCTCATGTAATGCCCCACTTTTGCCATAATGCTTTACTTCCCATCCAATTCCGGTGCATGGTCTAATCTTATTTGTCTTGCCAGTGGAAATAATGGTCATGGTGCTATTGGTGGTATTGGTCACTGTATTGGTGTGATGGTCAGTCACTCCGGGGGCCCAAATTTACGTGATAATTTGAACGCGAGAAATGACGGCAGATGTCGGTGGATGACAGGAAATGACCTTTTTTTTACATTAATGCAGTATTAATGTAATTATTAATTATGTATTATTACACCATATTGACAAGTTGCCGAAAAATTTCTCGCGTTCAAATTATCACGCATAATTTGAGTTACTATGGCTTTGCAGAAATATCTACAATCTGATTTATATAAACTACAAATCATGTCATCTTGTGATATTTCCTGAACATAGTTTATGCTTGTCTTGTAATAGAAAGGAAATACAAACCGCAGTTTGCTGATTTCATTCTGGTTTCCTTTCTAGTAGTGCATAAACAAATGACTTATTTAGAAGACGGACAATACAGGTGAGGGGCAAATGTATTAAATATGGCAGTGGCAATGTTCCCCTATACCTTTTGCCATGAAATATTAAAGCTGATAATGTTTTAGGAACAAAATCCAACATTTTGTCGCATCAAAAGCAGACTTATTATTCAAACTAAAAGGAAAGGAACGACTGAGAAGTGGAATTGACTACAATGTGGACAGAGCTCAGGAGGGTATGTAGTTAAATAACTTAAATTGGGCCTCCAAATGATGATTGGACTTAAAAAATACTGAGATATATTTCTATTTTGTTAAGTTTACAGTATTTTTGCATTTCCCCTCCCTCCACTGGAGAGTGGAATGCAAATATCAGTTGTGGAAAGAAGAGCTCAGATTTTTGAGGTAATAAGAACAATTGGTGATAACAAAACCTTGTTCCTTGAGAGAACAGTTTATATACACAGAACAATTCATTAACAAGGATTTTATTCACAATCTTATTGGATCAGCTATTAAAAATTGGTGATATTGTTGTTGGAAAAGTTGTTGGAAAACGCCCCTTTGGTGTTTTTGTGAAGGATCCTTTCTCTGGTTTGTTGCTGTGCTATTATGATCTGTTAATATATGGTTCTCTGACTATAATAGGCTTTATGTCCAAAATCAGAGTTGGAAAAAGATCACAAAACACGCGAACATCTAGATCCAATTGATGACTTTGATATGGATGACATTGTTCAAGGTCAGAATAATAGGATATTTAGTTACATATAATATGCCTTCTACTTTGCATTTTGTAGTTTTATATTCTTCTATCAAACACTTTGTTCAAAAGGATCAGTTTATTCTAAGATTTAAATTTTTTGCCAGGCGTGATTTGTTCTATATCAAAAGATGAGGAAAGAATCGCTATATCTTTTCGTTCTTCAAAGCTCCCCTCAGAATATGGAGATATTGAATTGGTAAAGTCACAGAAATTGTTTTTTGTACATGTGTGTTGAACTATTTTCGTATGTGAATGTTTCAGTCGTTTATTGGAAATTTGGAATATCTGTCTAGGGGGTTATTGAGGACTTGGAAGAAAAGAACTTAAGGTTAGAAAGGTTTTCTTTAACGTGACAAAATGATTTTACAAGAAAATGAATATTCTGTTCTGTCTCATAGAGCCAAATCATTTGATGACATGGAGTATAATGAACATTTGAGAAAAGATCCTGGTTTTTCTAATCCAACAAATGTTCAAACTTTGCTTGACATTCTGGGAATTGATAGCAGACCTCCAAACTCATTACTGAGATTGTGCCAACGGTATGAGAATTACTTCCTATTTGTCCTTATTCATGCATCCATGTGTGCACCTGACCTGCCCTAGTTGATCCATGAGTATTCTTGACCATTTTATTAAGTTGATCCCTAAGAGTCCTTGTTGATCCCCTGAGTGTCCCTGACCGTAATGATCTCTAGATCTCTAAGTGTCCTTGTTGATCCATGAGTGTCCTTGATCCTAATGATCTTTTGATGCCTACATGCCCTTGTTTATCCTTGAGTATACCTAACGCTAATGATCTCCTGGCCAACTCCTGGCCCCTTAATGCCCTTGTCATGCATGAATGGCAGACGTACTCACAAATGCTGACCACTGATGCTGACTTTGTATGACAATTTTTTTTATTTTGCAGATGGAAGTTTATTGACAACGAAGCAGAGAGTTTGAGAAAACAACAGTCTAAAAAATGGTCGATGGAGACGTTAGTGTAATTTTGATTTTAAAGTTTAAGTCAAATAATTCAAAATCGTGTCGTAATTAATGTCACCATGTGTAAGAAATAATTGAAAACCAGGGTGATATGAACACTACATTTTGGTGATAATCATTCGCCATCATTCGTCCATTTTTAGAACCGCGACTGGTGTTGAAAGCTTCAAAAACGGAGACCACGAGAAGGCTTTGAAATATTTCAATCATGCTTTAAAGATTTACGAAGAAAACTGCGAGGCATTGGTAGCCAGAGGAGCGCTGTAAGAATTGAGAAATCTCATTGCTATCATTGCTTTATATTGAATGGTCTTTCGTTAGAAATCAATTGTCGTTTAGGTACGCCAATCAAAACAAGTTGGAATATGCGATTAAAAATTTCAAGGAAGCCTTAAAACTTTATCCAAAGCATCACAACGCAAGGAAATATCTCATAGAAACATTGTTCGAGAAAGCAACACGGTTAGTTCAACCGTCAGTCGTTCCTCCACATACATAAATCTAAACGAGTTAATGTGTTTCTTTATTAGCATGCATCACCATGCAAGTGTTTAAACATACAGTATTTTGTTGAAATAACTCGTTTTCTTCTTCATAAAGGTTAAAAGATGTTGGTAACATAAAAGACGCAATTGGTGTGTTTGAGGAAGTGTTAGAACTGGACCCTCGCAGTACAGAAAGCCAGGAACACTTAAACGAGTTGAAATCTACGTTAGCAGCAAAGGTACAGCAAAACATGATTGATGTAATGACTCATACATTTATAACCCAGCCTGATTTGATCTTGCCTTTTTTTCTCTGCTGACTGGCGTTTACCTCCTGTTCGATAACGATGTCTTGGCCTGGAATTTATCGAAAATTATCATCATTTCATCAACTCTATGACATGATATGGTGGCTGCTAAATATTCGACTAATTCATGATTGAATTACGCAAATTCCCGTGGTTTGTATTATCGCATGTATGAATGGTTTGTGCATCATCTTGTATCCCCAATAATCAACTTGTGTCTACACGTATACTCTGGTAATCTTTTACAATTTTACTCCTCTTCTGTTTTGAACTATACTCGTAAATGTTTTGTTTTTGTTCCGTATATCGCTGTCTTTATTTCTCGTTCAACAATTTCGGATTGTGTTTGTTTAAAAATGTTTTGCTTCTCGGAGTTGGCGGAGGAAGAGAGTCGGGCTCCGCAAAGCTGCAAGTTCGCGACAAGAAGGTCGAAAATTTGACCATGTACGAAAATTAATCAAATCGGACCCGGACGTCGTCAAGAGCCGGCGAAAAAAGAAAAGGTGGGTTTGCTCAAACTTGGAGCCGTCTGATTACGCGATTTGGCGAAACTCTTTGATTGATATAATGGAATTTTGTTGCAGGAAAAAGAAGAAGAAGGTTAAGAAAGGGAAAAGCAAAAAACGGCATCGCAGAAGCGACAGTGAAACAACAAGTACAGCAAGTGAAGGAAGTCAGGATTGTTCTGGTGATGAATGGATTGAAAGAAACCTGAAGAAGAATTCGCCTAAAAAACTTGAGAAAAAAGAAATCTCCACAACAGACAGTCAAACTCAAGCCATGCATTCAAATGTCACTTCTTCGTCCACTTCACAGCCATACGAACTTGACAAAAAAGAAAGATTTCAAGAACAATTGTTTGATCCTGTTCAACAAATAAGGGAAATAAGAGAGAGCATTGGAGGAAGGAATGTAATTGTGAGTGAAAATTATGTAACTAAAGAAATGTCACCTGCGAGTAGGCGTGACTGTTTCCAGGCCTCTCGTTCAAGAAGTAGATCTCGTGGAAAAGAAGATGGGAGCCTGGTGAGGAGAAGGAGTGCTATAAGTAGTGGAATGAAAACAAGTGAAAGTGATGCTGCTGGTAGTGGAGAGAGTTGGGACGGAAGAAGACGAGATCGTAAAAGAAGAAGCAGCAGTTCAAGAAAAGGTTGCAGTGTTAGGAGAAGCAATAGTTCAGATAGGGATAGGTCCAGGGTAATTAGGGGAGAGAGGGGTGGAAGAAGGACAAGTAGTGATCGAAGTGGAAGAGAGCGATCAAGAAGCAGTAGTTTGAGCCGTGATAAGTCTAGGATCACGAGAGCGCGTAGGGATAGTGATGGTCGGCAGGGTACAGTTAGGGATAGAGAAGGACAACGAAGTCCAAGTAACAGTAGCACGAGGAAACCAAGTGATGGAGGTCAGGGTAGAAGACGGAGAAGTAGGGATAGAAGTGGTCAGCAAGGTTCAGTTAGGTATGATGAAAGACGGCAAAGAAGTAAAGACATTTGTGGTCAAAGAGATACGTAGGAAAAAACTTCAAGTGATGGGAATTAAACACTATATCTAAGGTTGTAGTAGACTAATAATATCATTGAACTAATGATGATATGTATTGTTTATCGCTGTCAATAATTTTGTCTGTGAATTGTCAAATATGTTCCTTGTCATCGTGACTCAAACATATATCGTGTTTGCTATCTTTCAGCAAGTGCATTATGAGCCCTTAGACTGAGACGCCTTAGTCTACATCAACATGTTTGTCTTTCCGTTTCTTCTGTCACACCTGCACCAAGTATGTTGAGAAACGTCACGAATGAAATATTAAAATGAAATACATAAAATGCCATATCAAATCTCTTCCTATACTTGAATTTATACGCCTTGATTCTTGCTCATTTGAGGCAACAACTTTTCTTTTATGAACCACACACAGTAGCTTCGAAGCTAGGCAGGAGTCACAAGACTGGTCGACGGTCCATGGTCGTTGCCAATCCTATTATACGCATTAAGTCGTTGAATCGAAGAAGGGGATAAAATATCGGAAGTAATGGATCAATGAACAAGTTCAAGTGATCGTCATGGAATAATCCTGCTTATCATAATGACGCTCTTCCCTTTTTTATCAATAAAATCACTTCCGTCTTGCGAAATATTGATAAGTGATGATGGATGGATATGCGAATGAATCATCACATCAGTCCATACTAATGCGTGTATATTTTTCATAGAACAGTCCATCAAATAGAGCGGCGTATCAGCGGCTTATTCTAGCTATAAGGAGAATTTCTACTGCCATTTTTGAAGCTGTAAAATTATTTTCGTGGAAATGAAATTACGCAGAGACAACAGTGCGTACTTTTATCGAATTGAGATGCAAGAATTAAACTTCGCTGTCAGTTATTATACAGATGAATAAGAATACGTTTTTAAGGGTCACAAGTATAGCGTCGCAGTAAAGGTTTCACATATTGAAATAATCATACACAAGACGTTGATTTTTGTGAAATGACGTGTGTTGTAAGGTGTCATGATATAGTGCGCAAAGTACGTATTCCGTTTCAAAATTCGTAAATCAAATATTTGCCAGCAAGTCGGATGTTCTAGCAGCGCCTGGAAGTCCAATATACGCGGAAAAACAGTAATATCTAATTATATAATTCATCACAGAACGTCGTTGTGGTCACGCAGCGATGTTATAGAGAGGTTATCATCAGGTTAAGTTTATAATGTCGACCGGTGAGGCTCTGAAATCTGAGTGCTATCAGACAACAATAGAAAATTCTTTGGCAGTCACAGCGGCCGCAATACAAGCACATTTTAATCTAATAAACATCGTATATGTTTGCCACTTAAAAACAGTTCATTTATACAACGTATAAACCCGAAAACCACAATGTCAATAATAGAAATTTTGTCTCCATATTACTGGCGATGCTAAGAAAGTTAACTCGCCATCCATTCAGCAGTTTTAATGCACATAGTGACTCTGTCACTGTGGACATAAGTCAATGTGCGTTAAATAATTTGATTAGAAAAATCATGAAAAAAAGTTTTTATAGTGCATTGTTACGATATTTAGATTAAAGACTGATCATGTACAAAAATACACATTACAATCTACACGTTTGGAAAATTGAACTAAGCCGCTATATTATGGCCTAATAATCCCCTTGACTGAAGTACTGCATGGGATGATCATAAAATTGTTTTTTATAGTCTATAGATAACGATGCTTACTTCAGGACTGTACTAAACTGTAAGGTTTCTGTGGTTTCACTAGCCAGTCTTATCTCAGTGTGTGTGATATTTATGTAGTGACTTGTCTTCGTATATCTACATTGAACCCCTGGATGTTTTTCAGATTCTGGGTACGAGGTTGAGATGAAACTGCTTCCTCATCAAGGAATTAATTAGGTAAATGTCCACAAATATGTTTACAGCAATTTTGACTTATTTTTTGTATCTTTTTATGCTTTTTAAGAGCAATTTTGCGTTGGATTTTAACTTTAAGGAAGACTCTCACCAGAGGTTCAGAAGAGGAACTATATAGTGTCCACTTGAAATTAAATATTTTGGATCGTTTTTTCTGCCGCGTTTTTGCAAACGTGCAAACGTTTTTTCAACAAACAACAAAAGTTATGTCAACATGTGTTTCCTGAATAACACTGCTTCCGATAAACACTAGTTACAGCATGCCTTATTTGGAAAAGGTTTGTAATTTAAATGATGCGAATGATTTCCCTGTGTTTTCTATAGTAAATTTGCTCTGATACACGTCTCTGCATTTGTTTTAATAGGGAGCAGCGAAATAGCTTTATTTAGCCATAGTTTAGCCTGGACTGATAGCCGTGCATCATGGACATGGCGACAAAAGACGTTTTCAATTTGGAACGGAACTGTTCATTTGACGAGAGTTGGGTGCGACAAATGAGAAATTTGATCTTCTCAAGTGCGTCAACCATGCCTAACCCAAACATCTGCGGGAATGGCACATTTTTGACATGTCAATGGTAACCCTCCTGAGGATTTAGGAGAGTATAAATAGAGAGTCTGCTTTGGCTCTGATCAGTTGTGTGAAGAACTTCAAGTAAAGAGAAGTAAGAAAACTGAAAGTTCGTTGTTTAAAACTTTATGAAAATGTTGGCAAAGTTATCTGTTCTTGTCCTGTTCCAAATCATCGCAATCACATATGGTAAGTGTAGCCTCTTTCCTATCGTATTTACCCCAGACTCAAAGGGTCGATCAAACATATTTATTACGACCAAATAGGTGTTAAACCGACAGCTCCATAAAATATGTGCGAAATTTGTCATTTTACAAGCTCTAACGTGTTTCAAACCGTGTTCAGTTCAAATACTAAATCAAGTACAAATTGTTTAGTACAAATTGTGCAAGAATATTGTCTTATTCGGCTTAATTGGACAAAACGTTTGCGTAAATTTGAGACCTTTATGTGGCAATAAAAAAGTGTGACTGAGTTTTAATCATCTTCGACAAATTATCACGCATAACAAGGTAGCATGGACCCTTCAAATGGCGGTTGAGAATTTGTAGTTTCAAAAGTATATGTTTGATCTCTGTTGAAAACAATGTCAACTTCGATTGCGTGACAATTGTAGTCATAGAGGATTGAAGCAATTTCCGCGCTGTCGAGTAATTTTGGGGACAACCCGTTCTTCATATTCCGTCAGGCAGGTAATCCAGGCATCAAAGACGTAATTTGTGGTCAAACTCTTCTCTCAAGATTTCCTAATTAAGCTGATAAAAGATTTGTGTTTATATAATGGTCGTTCGTTCCTTTGCCTTGGGTTTATTCTTAGATTATACCATACCCCAAAACTAAAACATCCATTTCTCTTCATGAAGGTGGTGTACTATCCTTTGCAAACTCAGATGATGATGACGATTGCACTGGCTGGTTTGTTAATTGTACGACACACGAGGAATGCTGTGGTTACATGAGATGCATTGATACTGGTAAGCAAATAACGTTTTTATCAGTCTCACGCATGCATATGTTTGTAAAGGCAATTGATGGATAGCTTAGATCCAATCGATGAATTCGTTGGGTTGAAACTTGAAAGTGGTTTCTGACATCGTTCCGTTTGTTCTTCAGGTGATCGTCAGATCTGTGCTTTTGGCACGGACAATCCACAGACTAATAATAAACCAGGCGAAGCTATCCAGCCACCGATCGACATCATAAATGATCTTGGTTGCAGTTTGTATGGACAATCTTGTAAGGATCAGAATTGCTGTGCTCCTCATGTTTGCTCTTGTAAGTACGCCGTTCATCTTGTACCTTACCTCTTCTGTTAACATGAAATATTGCTGTGATTATTGATATCATGCTTTAGGTTATAGTATACAATGCTATATATATATATAATATGTAATGTTAAATTCGAGATGAACATGTTAAGGGTTCAATTTCTCGGTGCCGGTGAAGAATGCTAATTTTCTATGCCTTTTTTAGCTGATTGGACATGTAAGGAGAAAGAAAGCAATTTTTGGGGAATAGGTATACCTGGGGCTGGGTATCTTGGAAAATAAAACATCTTCCTTTCTGAGAACGGAACGACTACCATGCGTGAACCATGGCGAGCATGCATGGGTAAACGCATGATCACGCCAGTGCACTGACCTAAACATCATCTGAAGTGTTTTTATAGACCTAGAAAAGTTATACGTCTTAGTTCAACATATTGTACATTTAGAGTAAAATGTATGTAGAGATCAGTGGTCGAAACACTGACTAAATTTGTGCATAATATTTTATCAATGAATAATAATTTGAAACATTGAAACAAACTGACGTTGCAGTTTTGCGGGCTCGGATCTTATGCGATCCTCATTGGAATCTGAATTTTGTTCAGCAAGTTCTGCGCAATGCATTAGTCCTTATAGCCGTCTACTTCCGACGTACGGCCGTTCTCAATTCGTCGCCTTTCGTAAATCCTCGATACTCGGTCCTCGGCGAATAAGCGCATCGAGGGACTTAAAGTTGGCGTGATTTCTCGCGTATTTTTTGTGCTGGTATCCATCCAGATGTTTAAGAAGATCTTCGTACGTCACTTGACAAGGCTCACAATATCCTGCGGAAAAAATATCAGTATTTTTAGAAGCAATAATTGGTTGGACTCCTTTGTGATAGTTCTTATAGATTAATTGACCCGCAGGCTTGAGAATATAGACAATGCATTCTTTTGAAATTTAGCAAATAAACTCGCCTACTCGAAGGCTTTTGGCAATAACAAATTATTAAGATGCATCAAGTCTACGAGGCGCAAGCGAGACATAAAAACAGCCGCTGTTTGTTTGGGAATTCAAAGTTAATTTGTTTTGGCATACCGCGCTGGCTTTGTTTTGTCTGCATTTTTAATTTGCACTATGAAACCGTAGGATTAGACTGCAATATCTCTTTACGTCCACGTTGCAGACAGATAACATGGCATTGGTTGTGATCTACTTGCATGATAGAGGCAGCATTCATTATGCTAACCTGATTGCTTGAGCTTGCCTTTCGAAATCTTTCCTTTGTGCTTCATCTGGTTTGCTCTAGTTCCTTTGTCAAATGGACAAGGCCGGGAATCAATATGAAGTGTCGGCCATTCAATCATTTCCTTCACCAACGGTCTATACGACCTGAAAAAACAATAATCTTTTTCTAATATTGTTCATGTAAACATGTCCACCTCGTGGTCTGAGATATCCCTTCATAGTTCAGTCTTACCCATGAAAATCTTCAACTTTAATAAAGGTCCCTTTGAGTCGTCTGACACGAGGTGTTTCTCTGAGTTTTTCACTAGCTTTCATTCGTTTTTCAACATCACTTAGCCATTGATTGACAGCAGGCAGGGATTTTATTTTGATGCCCCAATTTTTTGCAGCTGTGATAATCTCATGATACTGGCAAGAATATTTCAAATTGACTTTCTTGAGAACGGAGCTAGAACGAGTTGCCTGTTAGAGGAATATATATGACAGTGAACAAGGAAATACTCCAAATTATTTACTTTTTTGTATTTCAGGATTACGAAACTGTATTTATATGAAGTCTTTTTCGTCTGCTTTTTACTCGGAATAAATGTTTTTTAATCCATCCTGAATTTGACAACCAGGGAAACCATCTTTGATAAGTAAGTCTTACTTACATATTTTGTTTTAATTGTGTTATGTCTTGATGCTTGTCTGCCTCGCGTTTCGTATTCTCTGTTTTCAAGACGTTGTTGTTCCGTTGTTATCACAAAATTTATATCTTTGTGAAAAACTTGTCAACCACCTGTTTAAGATTTGTCACAGAATATCACAAGTATGTGAAGGCAAAAAGTGACACAGCAACAACAAATACACATCACTGAAATGCAGGCAGCGGCTGTGATCTGAGAAAGCTTGACTTACAGCTCCAAATATTCTTAATCTTTTTTCTAATCTTTGCGTCTTCGGTGAATCAGGGAAATGGATGTAAAAGGTCTGACCCCTCAGTAAGTTTCCCCATTTTTTTTTTTATATTTTCTTGGACTTGAACTGCGAGCTGAAGGCAATTTCATTAAAGACCCCGCCTTGAGTTGTTGCGACGCGAGAAAGAGAGAAAGCGCAGCGAAGAGTTCTGTCAAGCTACTACAGTGACGTCATTAATTTTAACATATTTTGCGCAATGAATCAATGCGCAGAATCACAAATTACGGTGGGCTACTGCAAAGCAATGTGAGAACAGCAAGAATTCGATGAGCTTATATAGATCATATCTAAAAGTTTATTTAAATTTACTTTTTTGTCTAGTGAACAAACTTCCCTGTGCTTGTGAAACTATGTTTGACGCGCTTGATGTTATCCACGATGCAGGATCACAAGATATGTTATATAAAATGTCCTACTTTCTCCCTAGTAGTAGTCATTTACTAATCATAATCATAATAACTGCACATAAAGAATTTCGTGTCAGTCTTGATGAATATATAAAGTATTTATGCTATATGAATACTGCGGTTCTATAAGATCCACTTCTAACTAAGAGCATTTAATGCCAATTAAAACGTTTTTAAAACGATTTACATCGTCTAGCTATTTCTCATATTTCTTTTTAAACGACAGAGATGCTTCTTGCATGTAAAAACTACAGTATGATATCATATGATAATTAAAAGTCAAAATGATGCAAAATATTGTTAGTACAGCATTTTAAAGCAAAGAAATACAGGGACTAAGGTTAAGGAGATCGTAATCTGTACATCTGACACTCCGCTAGCTTCTTTGGCTGATGGCTTGCTAAGATCTTCAAAGGTTTTAATGATGGTTTCACAGCTATCCTTAATGGCATCACGTAATTCATCCACCACACTTTCCAACGCTTTTCCCGTGATCGAGTTTAACTTTTCTGTTGACTTGGAAACGCTGTTGAATTGAGATGAGAATTTAAGTTAACAATGAAATGACTTGCAATGCATGCATGGGTAGGTTGTGGAGTCAGGTAGTCGAAATGGCGTCAGGTTGTGCATTCTTGGAATATTGAGCATCTCTTTGCTGCTAAATTTAGTCAGTACTCAACAGGTGTTCCAGTAATGTGTTGTTGTTTTTTTATGATAGGTAAAGCGTTTATTTTAGTTGCAGTAAACCAGTTTCTTTTTGCCCAAACCTTTAGTTTCCCTCCCGATGTTACAAACTATACCAACCGCAACTCACCATTCCATAGCTTTAGTGCAATCCTTTCTCTTGTTTTTCATTTCAACAATATTATCATCATTTTCTGAGCAGTATATTGGCATACACGGCAACTCTCGCACAGTTTTCAGACAATTATCATCCCAAACATTATCAACTATATCGTTTGCCTTATCAAGCAAGTCTTTCACCGGTTTCATGACATTGGTTTGTGCCTGGTATACTTGGATGTAGGCTTCTGGCATCTTGAAAAATTAATAAGAGGCGATCAGTGAAGGGATTCGTAAATAATTGATTGGTATACTCAGCGTGATATACTTAAACTGTTTTGAAACGCTTACTGATGTTTCAATGATGAGGTTTCTCTGCAGTCTCCTGCAGTGCAGAGTAAAGTCCTGAGTTAATGTATATGCTATATAGCCAGTCATTCAGGAAATGAATTTGTTTAGTACGCGGGTATTTTATATCGTGCCTCAATGTGTTTAAATTTAAATATTGGTGTAAGTGTAAAATGCTCTGTCTGCAGCTGCTTTTAATCAGTTGATCTTAACTGTTTTCAAACTTGAGGCCAACATATGCAAATGCATTAATTAAGTTCTCTCATGTTATTATATGTTGATATTGGTCAGTGAAAGAGCATGCTCTGAATTTCTCGACGGAAGTGGGACATTGCGATGAGATCTCTGTAACAAGTCTAACTTTTGACACCATATGAATGATTTTGACACTATATGAATGATTTTGACACTATATGAATGATTTTGACGCTATATGAATGATTTTGACGCTATATGAATGATTTTGACACTATATGAATGATTTTGACACTATATGAATGATTTTGACGCTATATGAATGATTTTGACGCTATATGAATAATTAGAAACCATTTTTTAAAAGGGGAACTGTTTTCCTAAATGTTTGTCATAGGCAAATTACTTGCATACAATATCAAACTATTTATAGGCTCAAAGCTCTTTGTTTGTTGTCCAAACGGATTTAGAAAAGTAAACTAAACAGAACGACTGCTATATACTAGTCAAAGTCGCATGCTTTATTGCCTGGTCATTCAGTTAACTTGTTCAAAATAGGCACCTGCGTGCTCATTGTGTGAAAAAACATATTTTGCGTACAAAACTGATCATTTTAGGATCGAAAATGAAGTCAATTCGTCCGTCATACTCCGGAAGATGCAAAAGAATATATATTGGCACTTGGCGGTGGATGAGGCCACATGATCGTTGGTACGCAGAGCAGGAATTGTACAACAAAATTCGGTCAAGTAAAAGAATTATATTTAATGAGAAAAGAGACAAGACGTCTGCTTACTCATTATAAAATGTACTTGTGTTGTTTAAGTTACTGAAGCAACCAGCATTCCTTGTGAATTCTTTACGGTTGAATTCTTTTGTCTTTAAATGACTTACGGTAACAACGAACGAAAAATCTGATCTAGCTAAGTCTTGCGTTATCTTACCTTTCTGTTTGGACGGGGACAAACTCCCTCTTTAAAATCACCTCCGACTGTTTTGCATGTCATGTCAGAAAATTCTCTTTTCAGATATTTAACACATTCGGTTGTATAGTCCAAATTTTCTCGGTCCGAAATTGATGGGCATTTCTTGTAAAGGTCTGTACACACACGCCTCTCAGCACTGTCATCACCTGATGTACGGTCCTCCAGACATAACGGACTTGGTCTTTCGAACAGATTGCATTTTTCAGTGGATCCCCGCACTTGGCAGCCTTTTCACCTTCCTTGGCCTGGTCGTCTTCTATTGTGTTTTTTCTCCCATGTTCTTTATACTTTCAGCAACATCGTCAAAGTTGATGATGTTGTCAGTACACATTGCTTCTTTGTGTAAAACTGGGCAAAGATCTTTTTTCTTCATTGAGATCCAGTCGTCTTCCTCTGCAACAATGCCAAATACATTTGAAAGAGTAACGATCGCTACAAAAACAAGATGAATACACTTCATTTTCATATCTTGTCAGTTCAGGACTGTAAAATCAGAATCAAAAGTATATTCTGGAAAGACTTTTCTTCCAGACTGTTATCGACTCCGTGTCCAAGCAATAAATGCGGAGCTTCACAAAATTTGCATCCGAATTATTTTCTTGCATGAGTAAACACTGACATCTAGACGACGGTGGAAAGTGGTGATTGGCCAAGATTTTATTGTTTGGCACCGTTCTGTTCAAAGTAACTCTAATCTTTGTATTTTCTCTACATGGGGTAGCGATAGCTAAGGTTAAGAGCAGGCCGCAGGGAATCATTTTTGCAGAAGTCTCAACTATCTCTGTCAGATTAGTTGATACAAAACAACACTCATCACATTAAACAAGATGAAAAAGTTGTTCACTTGCTGCCATAAACAATTTCTCTTTCAAAATTAAGTTAAAAATGACACATTGCAACATGATGTTCGCGGCATGACTTTTTGAACAGCATGCAGGCAGCAAGGGCGCGTTTCTAAATGAAGAAAGCACACCAATCGTGAAATATGGCATGCAAAGAGATGCAGGCATCCTTGGCATTTTCAATCGGTCTGTTTTTCAACATTTTAAGCAGGCTCGCCCCCATCAGGGGAGGGATGAAGAACTACAACAAAGATTGCCACTGATCTATATGATCTTATATGCACGAAATGTTAATTAAGAGCATATGGGGTAACTGGTGAGGTCTCGAAAAAGGTCTCAGTATCTATGGGCGCTTTCCTTTATACGGGGATACTCGACCATGGTCGAATATACCATTTTCCGGTATGCTCGACCATGGAGCGTGGCTGGTATAATCGATGGTGGCTGACTTTCTGGTCGTCTTGAGTCCGTAATACACGTACACTGCGGTCCTACCCATGGTTGCCATGACAAACTCTGACGCTTTCAAAATGGCGGCCGAAACCGAAGCAAAATATCTTGACAGAAAACGTGCTGCAGTTCGATATTTAAAAGACAACGAAGTCCCAAAACGCTTTCAAAGACTACTAAACGATGTAGTAGTTAAAAGGCCTGATGATATCTTTGGTTACATGGTATGGAATTTTCATAAAACTGGAGGTCATGCACAGGTCTTTACTAGCTCTTTTTAAAATATAAACTTTTTAACACTTTGTTTTAGGCAGAATATTTTGCCAGGGAATCCAAACCGCCGACAATAGCAAATGTGAGTCTCAGTTTTATCAAATTTTGAACTAGTCTATTGTTTTATATCTTTGGTTAGTACCTCAGTGATATGATTTTATTAATCGATCTATTGTAGGTAATAACTTCAGAGGTCTTCAGTACCAGACGATATCCTAGTTTCCAAGTGGAAATTCAGGCTTTAGTTCATGGAAATATCATGGTTTGTTGAGGAATTATACTCATGATCATTCTCAATCAATAACATATTGTCAATTCTCCTTTGCAAGGATTCTGCAGGCACCATGCAATCAATAATAATTCAGGCACAAACTGTGGTTAATTTGAAAGTAATTTATAGCGGAACCTTGTGCATGAAATCTTTACAGGTCAGATTATCCAAGCAATATATTTCAAAGATTACCAAAAGGTTTCAAATTTATTCCAGACCCTGGGTAGCTGTAAAGCACCATGGGATGGTAAACCAGCCGAAGCAAAACCTGCCGTGAAAGGTAAAAGCCCTGCTCCTGTGGATTCTAAACTTTCCAAAACAGATGGACAATGTTCGCCAGAAGATCCGGAAGATGGAATACAAGCAGTTATTCAAAATATTCATGATTTTATCAAACCTTTGCTTCTTGGGTGTCAACTTTATGATCAAGAAGAAATTAACAAAACTTTAGAGTAAGAGTTAGATTCTGATGTTCTGTTAGTGTGTACCAGTGGATTAAAGAAATTTAAATTTGATTTTTTCACTCTTGCTGCAAAGGGAGATCATCTCACAAAGATTGACAGATATAGCTCAAAATTCAACAATGTGTGTAAAAGAAGACGTTTCATCTGAAAATGAAAAGGTGATAAAGGAGGATGAAGCTCTTCCAAATGATGAAATGGAGCCAGAGGAAGACAGCTCTACTGAACCAGCTGTTCACTTGGACATCCTGACTATATCAATGGCTCTTGTTCAGTCTGCAAGTTATTTACAAAAATGTCAGCTGTACCAATATTTGTATAAAACAATACATAATGAGGTACGGTTTGTGGTGTGTTGGTGAACATATTAGACCACATTTGATGTAAAGTTGTTTAGAGACATTGCAAAGCTGCTCCTTGGTTATATTGGAACACAAATGCATGTTCTCTGAAACAATGTGCATGTTCTCTTGGAGATAAAATGGTACAACTCTCAGAGATTGTCCTTTATTGCAGGAGCCAACCTCTCTTTCATTGCCCACACCATTGATGAATGTGTTAAGATGTGACAGAAGAACTGCAGGAAAGCTGTACATGTTCAAAGATGTGATGATTTTTATGAAGAAAAATACACCAGCAATGCAGGTTAGCAATTGTATATGTCACTGGTGGATATGGTTTTGAACTAGCTATAACTTATGATTGTACTAATTAGTTTATTTTAATTTCCGGCTGATTTATTTTAATAATTTTCTTGTATGATTGCATGGCGACTTTAGTAATTATAATAACTTGTAGGTACACCACGTAAGTATTAAATACTGCAAAGCTTTCGGTCCGTTAACCCGGACCTTCATCAGTGCAATTACTTGAATACACGTTATCCTCTGTCTGTTTACCATATATTGGCCCAGCTTCATATAAAATCGTTAGGATTTTAAAAGAAGTTGGAATACAAGTTTACCATTCTAGCAATAACAAATTGTTTCGCGCTCTTTACACACACAAGGATGGCGTCGATGAACAACAGAAACCTGGTGTGTACCGCATTCCATGTGAATGTGGTTTGGTTTACATTGGAGAGACCGGTAGAAATCTCTCAATACGTCTTAAAGAACATAAGACGAACTGCGAGAAAGGTAAACTGGATAAGTCTGCAGTAGCTCACCATGCATGGACTTATGATCATCGCATTAAATGGAACGATGCTACCATTTTAGCAAACGATAAGTTTACTGTCTCTCGTAAAATGAGAGAATCTATTGAAATTTATAAACATCAAACTATCGTCCAAGAGGGAAAGCCACTTAATAGTACGTGGCGTGCTCTTTTCGGTGTCTCTTAGTCAAATACTTGTCTAGGGCGCGCGCATTAGTTAGAACTTAATTAAATGAAAC